TTACGGAAGTAAACATTTTTTACAAAATTAATAAATTTGTTGTTCAGAGTATACGAGTACAGAAGTGAATATTTATCGTCATACTAAATACTTATCAGAGGTGGTACATATTAAAAATAGTGAGACGAGATATAACACAAAATAAGTAAACATTGAATTTCAGAAATGCATTACAAATTTTGTCAACAGGTCCAACTAACACGAACGTACGATTTGACGTACTCGAGTTACTGAAAGCTAGTTAAAAGCCAAAAACAATTAACAACAAAAAATCATGCATCAGAGACTAAAATCAATTAAAACACATCCCAGGGATTTAGTGTTTTAACGCCAAAGCACATGCATGTGATTAAAATTAAAGAAAGTAAACTGTCGAAGCTACCGAAAATCAACATTTGCCAGACCGTTCAAAGACAAAGGGAACGAAATACATACACAGAGTGTTATAGTCGGCACAATGATAGGAGGCACATATATATCAACTTTTGAAATGGTGTACATCAAAAATGAATTATTGATGACGATTATAATGTCCAGCAACAAATTATGATTACGCACAGTATTCAGGCGATAGCTGGTCATGAACTCTGCAATTTAAGTTGTCACGCCGAAGTCGAAATTCAAGGACGACTATAAGTCAAATAATTTATGGAGAAACAAATGAGAACAACATTATAAATGTTTTGTTAGTCCAAACATCAACATCGCAATATAAATTCATTCTCCCGGTAAAAACATTGGTTGATCCCCACTTATTGACCCAGGATCCTCAATGTAGTGTAGTTATATATCAAATAGTATCACATTCGCAGACCTGACCAACGCTGACAATGACAGGACCAAATGAAAATGTTAATAACTTTTTTATTTCTCAAAGGATTTATGTCAAACTTGAAATATATTAAGATTAGATCATTTAATACATAAATATAAGAAAAAAGTATAAAAATTCCGAAAACGTGACCTGACCAAAGTTGACAATGACCGGACCAATAACGGCAATGGCCTGACCGATGAAAAGTCCTAATTTCTTTGTTATTTTACTTGCAAAATTTTTAAATTGTTAAATGTTGATCTATGATTAATAAGATATTATCAAAAAAAAAAAAGGAAAAATATATTTTTGGTGTAAAAAACTTGACCTGACCTGAGACTACTATAACACAGTAGTCTCAGACCTGACCAACGTTAACTGTGTCCTGATCGCTTTACTACTTTATACTTATTTATATGTTATAGGATTTGCTTCAAATTTATAAAAAAAAACATTAAGATTGAATGGTTAAGTTTTTATCAAATAAATAAAAATGAAAAATTGGGAAAAAGTACTATGACAAGCATCGTGTTATTTGAATTTGAATATTTTTCTTATATTTATGTATAAAATGGTGAAATCTTATTATATATCAAATTTGAGAGAAATTTTTTGAGAAATTAAAAAAGTTATAAGCATTTTCATTTGGTCCTGTAATTGTCGAGGTTGGTCCTGTCATTGTCAGCGTTGGTCATGTCACATTTTCGCAAGCTTTTGAAAAAAATCTATAATTTTCTTAAATTTTTGTTTTAATTGATGAAATCTTATATTTAAAATTTAATAATTCCTTTGAGAAATAAAATAGTTATAAGCATTTTTATTTGGTCCTGTCATTGTTGAGGTTGGTCTAGGAGGAGAACGAAGGCGTCACAGAAAAAAATAAAATAGCCTTTCAAGACGTCATAATTATTTGGACTAAGGTTGGTCCTGTCGTCATTGTCAGCGTTGGTCAGGTCACGTTTTCAAAAGCTTTGAAAACAATCTGTATTTTGTCTTAAATATATGTATTAAATGATGAAATCTTATTATATTTCAAATATTTGAGATGAATCCTTTGAGAAATAAAAAAGTTATTAGCAATTTTTCATTCTGGTCCTGTCATTGTCCAGACTGAGTCATTAGTGTAAACCCTAAAAAAAGAGGTTCTAGCTCCAATCGCCCGTGGCCGGGACTGCGGAAATAGTCAGAATAGTCCACAAATCAAGATGATGTATTTCTGACTTTGCTGCCGTGAACATAGTCCAAGAACCAAATATATTTGACAAATGTCATACTCGTTTCTCTTCCTTATCGCCTAAGTAACTCCATAAGGTCGACCAGATTGGGTGAAGAACAAAAGTATCAAAGAATGTGAAAGAATAGAATCTAATTTAACAAACTAAACTTCGCTAATCATCAACAAAGTGAAAGGAGGGGAGGGCCCCCCCCAAAGGACATGCCACTCAGAAGATATTGGGTTACACTTCGGAATCTTCGGAATTACTGTGTATAACTTGACTGGGACTATTATACTAATATATAGTATAATAGTCGCAGGTATACACAAGGATTTGTATACTCACTATACAAATCCTTGGTAAACTAAAAATTATTTTTTTTAAATGAAAACCAATACAAGCATACAATTTATATATTTTATATAAACACACTTGATTTTTCAAAATTATTTGCCACTGTTTACCCAGAGACATATATATATATATACACATGTCTCTGGTTTACCCTAGTAGAAGTTTAAAATTGAAATTGAGATAAGATATTAAAACAGTTTCATAGTATTTTGATGAAGGGGGAACCTATAAAGAGGGGGTCCCTGATTCCCACTTCCTTACCCTTTAACTCCCACTCCCCTACCCTTCTACTCCCAATTCCCTCCCCCTACTCCCACCCCTTTTACTCCCAAACAAAAATTGGTCAAAATTTTTTCCCGAAAAATATCCCATTTTTACTCTCCCTCTTCCCAAAGTTCCCGCCCCCTAGACTCACACTTCCCTCTCCTGTGACTCCTGCTTCCCACCACCTCATTCCCATGTTCCCTTACCCTTGTCCAACCCTCTACCAAAGCAACCTATGGAGTGCACTTTTTAAAAGGTTAAACATTAACCATACATAGTTCCATAAGGGAGAATCGTCCCACCCTAAATCTGTGTCTGTTGATTTAGGTCATTACACTACTCTGATTTCAGTGATGGGTCCACAAATTTCTAAAGGGTGTTTTACCCTTATTTCAAATATCCTCTCCTATGAAAGATAGGCGAAAGATACCAAAGGGACATTCAAACTCATAAGTCAAAAGCAAACTGACAACACCATTGCTAAAAAAGAAAATGACCAACAGACTAACATCAGTACACAAAACACAACATAGCAAACTAAAAACTGAACAACACGAACTCCACCAAAAACTGGGGAGTGATCTCAGGTGCTCTGGAAGGGTAAGCAGACCCTAATCCATATGTTGCACCCATCATGTTGCTCATGTTAGTACCAATCCAGTGATGAGTCTAATGTGGTAGATCACATTTGGGGAAAAGGGGACGGGATTGTAGTTACGACAATTGGAACATATCAGTTCTCATCTACTTTGCATGTAGATCTTGTCTTGCTGATCATTTTCCATTTTTTTTTTAATCTAATATAATTAAAGCCAAATATGCAAATAGTGGGTAAAAAGAAGATGATAAATGTTTGACATTCTTTAAATGTCTGTCTTACATATGACATACATGGCCACTACCACAATTTCATGCTTAATTATTAGGTTTAAAGTTTTAGACGAAGTTTATATCTCATCAGTTTTACATTATTTATTCTGGATCTCCACAGGGGATATGGGCTTATATTCCCTTCCAGTGTTTTATATCCCCTATAAAGCACCAAATAACAAAAATATTATACTGAAGTGTACTGATTTCAACTACATTTATAACCATTGTGATCTTCATTTTTGTTCACAGTCCCCAGAAAAGGTACAATTATTACAGTAGGCGAGAAATCAAAGTATGTCATCTCTTGTGTTGTGTTTAAAGTCTTCCTTTCACCCATTTTCCGATCATGTTGCTCATAAAAAAGAGGGTGAAGTTTAAGAAAAGCAAAACGATTACGTGCAGCAAGAGCAAGTGACCTAAAATAAGAACCTAACAGCAGGTAAGTTTAACAGATTTCCTATGAAATTAAAATTTGTTTTTAGTCCAAACTACAAAATTATTTCTCAAAATGTATAAAAAAAATATAAGTCCTGAAGCACTCAATACTGGATAAATGACACCTTTAGGGACCAATTGCAGTTATCACAGTGTAGTATGATTGATTGATTGTTGGTTGCTTAACTTCCAGTGGCAAATATTTCATGCATATTCAGGACGAACACACACAGCGTATAAAGCTTAACTACTGTGGATTAATTATTATTCATTGATTTCATTTTTTGAGGATTTTCTAGGTAAACAACGAATTTAAATATTTTAATTTTAATGAAATAAGAATTTTCTAATGGGCAAGTTTGTAGACTTTGTCAAATCCACATTATAAAATATACATGAAAAAAACGATTTTGCCTCAAACCAGGAAAAGTGGTACTCACGAAAAACCAAGTGAATCCACAGTATGTCTACCACTGAGTGTGAATATATTTCTTTTTTTCGTCTCATTATTTGAAAACAAGAGAATATAATTATGTTAGACGTAGATTAAAGTTCTATGAAATACTAGAAAACAACCAATTTATCAAAAGAACAGTGCTTTTATTGCTGCTCTTCATATTTAAATAACTGGAAGGTCTTTAATATTTTAAAGAGCTAACAACTTAAAGCAAGAATATCACAGACTCTATTGTAAATTATAAGTGTTAGAAATAATCCATTCAATGGTAACAGCTGGATTGGTCTTTGAAGTACAAAAGTTTTTAGTAGAGTTTAATATTTACAATTTAAAACACATGATTGTTTCTAAAATTACATATATGTCAGTTTGTTTACCACTTCTTCACCATAGGGCCTCTAGTTTTTTATAATGCATGGGATTTTTATTTTAACAATTTAAGTGTCTAGAGATAACATGCTGATTTGTAGATAAACATAATTTGGCACCCATTCATTGTTTAATTCTTAGAAGATTACACTGATAAACTCTTTCCCATCCCTCAGATAAACAAATTAATAGCTAAAAAATAAACAAAGTGAGAATTATCAAAACAATTTGGCACTTTCTTCAGTTCTGGTTCATATCAAGAGCATGAAAAGGGAAATTACCTTCAAAATTTCGTAAATGTGATTTTGTAATATAGATGTCGTAGAAATGAGGTTGTCAGTAATTTTACTTTTCTTTTTGGACTTTTTAATGGTTTATTCTGAGTGAGTATATCTTATCTTATGATGTATAATAATCAGTTCAAAATCTGTATATCATTTCTGATTTCAATATATCAGGGAATTTTTATGATTGTGTGTTATCAAGTAAACTTAAGAAAGCTAAATGAAAGAAGATGAACAGCGTCATAGCGTAATTCAAACCATAAAACATGTAATAAGATAGTTGCATTGTATATAAGAAGTACATTGTTATATAATAATATTTTTTTAAAGGCTTAAGGAGAATATGCAAAGTTCAAGGTTAAAGGAAAATGTTTTGCAATGTATGCATTTCTTCTTCAATTTGGAGAGTTGCAGACTGAAATTGTTAAATCTGTGTAACTTTGACTTCGTTTATCACTATTTAATGGTATGAATAATCAAAAATTTCAGCACTAACTAGGTTCTGTTCAGTACATTTATTTTTTTATTCTTTTTTAAAGCTGACCAAGCGAAATAGATTGCTGTACCTGATTCTGGTTTCTAGTGATATATAATTATCACACATACACCCACAGATAAAACATCCTATTACATATAAAAAAAAATATATCTGAAGTTAGATGTTACACTGACAAAATTAAATGAAAATGTTGCATAACTTTAAAATGGAGTTTTTATTCCCCCGCTGTAGTAGAGGGGGCATTAAGTTTTACCCTTGTCCGTCTGTACGTCTGTATACGTCCGTACGTCCCAAAGTTGGTTTCTGTTCTCTAACTTTAGTTTGCCTCAACCAAATGTTATGAAACTTATACACAATGCTTATTACCACATAATACAGATCAAGTTCAAAATTGGGTGGCGTCACTTTTACCGTTCTTGAGTTATGCCCTTTATAAACATAAAAATTGCTGAATTTTTGGTTTTAGTTCTCTAACTTTAGTTTGCCTCAAACAAATGTTATGAAACATATACACAATGCTTATTACCATATAATACAGATCAAGAATTTGGTTGGTGTCACTTTTACCGTTCTTGAGTTATGCCCCTTTATAAACATAAAAATTGCTGAATTTTTCGTTTCCTTTCTCTAACTTTAGTTTGCCTCAACCAAATGTTATGAAACTTATACACAATGCTTATTACCACAAAACTCAGATCAAGTACTTATTTGGGTAGTGTCACTTTTACCGTTCTTCAGTTATGTCCCTTTATATCTTTATATGATATGCAAGTGGGGGCATCATCTGTGTCCCATGGACACATTCCACATTTATTTAATTTACAAAACACATGATGTTTTAAAAATTGATCAACTAAAACAAATGCTGTATCACCTCTCCATTCTATCTGGAGGAATATTTAATATCAAAATGCTTAGGTTGGAGAACTGATGGAAAAAGAGGAGATTATGATTATGGTTAACATCATAAGATCATGACTTATTGCAGAGAGTTCAACTTGATCTTTAATTGTACAAAGATGTGAAAATAATTTGAAAACATGCTACTGTGGATTCAGTATTATTCGTGGGATACCAATTTTCGTGGATTTCATTGATACATGTGAACCACGAATTTAAATGCTCAACGAACTAAAAATTTTATAAAAGTTTGTATGCAGACTTTGGCAAAACCAAGAATTCAAATATCATGCTAAATAATATATATTTTCCTATCTATAAGGGGGGAGGGGGGGCTGTATGTGTACAGCATTTAGTATTTTGGATTTTTGTCTCACCTTGACGAGGTAAAAAAGCGAGACTTCTAGGTATGCTGTTTCTGACAGTGGTGGCTGCAGCGGCGTCAGCAATGTACTAGTTTGTGATTAGGTCAGTTTATTGGGAACCACTAGTGGTAGGTCAATACTATTTGATATGCAGTTGTATTAGCATTGGCACATCTCATTTCCATGGAGATTATTTAACCTGCCCCCTCAGTCATGGTCTATTGACTGAAACTTTTGCTTACTTTATATGTATTAATTTATGATAAGGTCAGTTTAAGAAGAACCACTAGTGGTAGGTCAATAATATTTGGTATGTAGATGCATTAGTTTTGGCACATCTCATTTCATTGGAAATTATTTGGCTTCACCCCCTCAGTCATGGTCTTTTGACTTAGAATGTTTTGCATAATTTACATGTGAAGTTTGTGATTAGATCAGTTTAAGAGGAACCACTAATGTTGAGGCAATGATATTTGTTATGCAGTTGTATTATCATTTGCAAGTCTCTTTTCCATGGTAATTATATGGCCCCACCCCTCAGCATGGTTCATTGACACTGAAACTATTACATTGTTTACAAATTAAAGTTTGTGTTTAGGTTATTGTAAAGGGAACCACTTATGATATAGTCAGTGGTATTTTCTATGCAGTTTTATAAGCATTGTCATTTCTCATTTCCATTGGGTTATATGGTACTGCACCATAAATCATGGTTGATTGACTTTGAATCTTATGCATAGTTTACATGTTTAGATATTGCCATTTGGATTCAGTATTTGCATTTTACTATCAAAATTACAGAAAGGTGAGACATATATCTGTGTGAACAGTTTATTTATTATGTCACCTGACAGGGAAGCTATAGTGATTAGTCTGTGGTCTGTCTTTGTTGTCTGAATCACACATTGTTAATCTCAACTTTTTGAAAACAGATTGACAGAAATCCACCAACTAGAGTTTTCTACAGGACATGCATTTGTGCACCTGCTATTTTAATATTTGATCTAAGCAATTTCTGGGGTTTTCATACAAAAACATGGACTTTGCTAATATTCATTAGAGACGGCAGGCAATACACATCCTCCTTGGCAATATTTTGACATTGTTGTTTAATTGTCTTTTTGTTGTTTATTTGTCTTTTTGTTGTTTTTCTTTATGGCAATGGTGTTGTCTGTTTTTATTAGACTCATGATTTTTTGTTGCCCTTGATTTCTTCTTTCTCTTTTGTATCTATATATTGGTACCTTCCAGTTTATTGTGTCTGTTTATTGTAAAGGTCTATCTGCACTTTATTTTAGAAATTAGTTAATTAAACCAAGGGTTTGGTACTTTTCAATTAAATTTTCAGAAATATACAACTGCATACATACAGTTCCTAATTACATTGTTCACCTATTTCATTTTTTTATTTGAAATTTTTGGGGGATTCCTCATAGAAAAACTATACCTTTGCAGAGGCAGTGGTTTAAACTAGTTGTACAAAGCTTTATCTAAAGAAGTTAAAACCACCTCAATGGTCTACTGTAGCGTGTTTGTAGTATGGGAAGTCGCGAGTTCGAACCCTGGCCAGGTCAAACCAAAGACGTTGAAATTGGTATTTGCTGCTTCTCTTCTAAGCACATGGAAGAAGTAAGAACAAAGACTGATTGGCTCAGAGTCAGAATAATGTGTCTGGGTTGTGTGACATGACTTCCTGGAGACTGTTACCTTGTGAATGTTAAAAATCTGGCTCAGCCTGTCAGTCTAGTACAAAGCAGGGTAAATTTTCATATAACATTAACATGTTCTCGTTCTGAATATGCATTTAATTTGCAGCTGGACATTAAACAGCCGTCCATCATCATTAGAAGTTAAAAGAGCTGGATAATAAATATCTTGTATAAAGATGTGTTATGGTCTGAAGTTTCTTTCAGGCATATGTCTGTTGTCTTTGACCTCATTTTCATTGTTCAGCATCTGTTTAATTAAAAAACCAAACTTTAACACATGCTTTTATGAGAATATAAATGGACAACTATATTTAGTATAAAAGAATCATTGCAAGGTCTGTCAGGCATGATTCACCTGACCCTTAACTCATTTCAGGGTTCAGTTAAGTTCTAGTTGTACATGTCCCTCTGACAGGGTTAATCTGACCTTGACCTTATCTTCATGGTTCAGTAATTAAAATTAAGTTTGCATGATAAGGCTAGTTTTTTGGATATTATGAGTTATGGATCAATTATTTTCCATGCATAGAATGATTGTAAGGTCTACGTATCCATGGCCTAAAAGAACATTGTAAGACATACATGTTTGTCTGACTGTGACCCCATTTTCATGGATCAATGATAATGTTAAGTAAATATGATTTAAAGTAAGAGATCTTCAAGATTTTCAACAAAAATTCAATCATAATTTGTTAAAGCAGGCTAGACATTTTAACAGTTTAAGAGTTTCATATATTTAGGCATGAGTATGTAAACTCTGACTATAATTTTTATGGTTGAAGTCTTGTATGTAGTTAAAATAGTGGTATCTAAAGTCATCCATGTATAAGAAAATATTCATGTATGATGGAAATTGACCCAGGCAAAGACTTTAAATTTTTTATGCCCCCGCTGAAACTTATGCACAATGCTTATTCCCACAAAAAACAGATCAAGTTTGAATTTTGGTAGCATCATTTTTACATCGAGGTCATTCCGATGTATTGCTATCGCCTAGATTTCCATTATGTAAATTAGTTTTGGGTTTGTAACCGATCTATAAACATGATAAATATGCGCACATAAACGAGTGCAAAATAACATTCCTTGTCATTTGATATAAATACGTATACATCTCTTCAATGAATACTGATAAAAATATTTTTGTTTACAACATAAATTAATAATGTGAAAATGTTTTGTAGTTAGATATATATATATAAGTAAAAAATCATTGATAATATCAATGCACACGTACCGAAAAATTGTGTTAAAGCATGCGGAAGAATATCTCAAAGAACGTTTTGCGACAGGACCGGTAACTCTGTAATTGTTTTTGCGGGAAAATATGAATGCCTACTCGTATCCAATCTTAGAAAAATCGAATTTTTACAGAAAAGTGACCACCATGCACTTGCATTGCACTATTATTAGAACAGTAGAATAGAATGATATACAAACGGATGCAAATCATATATATATGTAACTGTTATTTTAATATAATATATAACAACAAATCAGTGTATACTGATTTGTATCACTACTGTTACGTGACCGAGGGGAGGAACGACAACGACACAGACGGACGGACATAGCCATCTATGGCACGACAATATATCCTGTGGTAAATTCCCAGTAACTAAATAATACGGTATATATATATAAGTTTATTAACAAATGTACATTACTTCCGACTTATTGACAAAGTTAGCTACAAAGTTTAAACATATAAACTTTAAAAACAAGTCCTCCAGAATCTTTACTGATTCAAGACTTAAGGAATACACATCCTTTCAGTATCACAGCTGATACACAATCCGACAGTCTCTGACCAGCTAACCTTTATCATAGAGTTTAATTACTTTCACTCTAGACAAAACAAATAGGCATAACTTATTTTATTACCCTACACCCCAAGACATCGCTACTTGTCTTAATTACATCTGACAGTTCAACTTTAACTGCAGATAATAAAACTAGCCATTTGTCAAATTAGCCTTGCGTCATTAATTTTCTCTGTACACAAATAAACAGTTATAAAGCCAATTTAACCAGAGGTCAATATTTACAAAACATTAAAATATTACATTGCCTCCCTCTTTGAAAAACATGTGTCCCACATGTAAATTAAAAAAAACCAACTTTAACTTATTAAAGTATGGAAGACCACTTTCAAAAATAAAACAAAAATACTCAATAAAATTTAAATGGAAAAATCAAAATGTATCAAAAATCAATTTCAACATTTTAACAATAAAATAAATCAAATAATTCAATCATAATCATGAAAACATGCAATGTTCATTTCAATGTTCATTTTAAATGTTCATAGTTTATAAAGTTCAATAAAAGTTTTAATCAGGCACGAATCTGTTGGGTGGACGTTTCACACGATGTCCGCGACCGTATTCAATATTGTCAGTTGGAAAATTAGACATATCGCACTGTTCATTTTCACTCAATTCAATGTCAGACTCAATGTTATTTTCTTCGATTGCGGTAGCGTGAGACTCGGTGTCTTTTTGAATTACAATTTTAATTAGCCAATTGTCAAAATCTCCATGATATGGTTTTAGTCTGTTGTAATGAACAACTCTTGATTTTGCTGGTTCTGAATTTTGAATACGGTAAACCAAGTCACTAATACTGTTTGTATATAAACATGATAAACTAAATAAATGTTCTGGAATATCTTCTTTTGACGAATCTAGAGAACAAGCTGACTCGTTAAATACTGTTACTGCTTCACATGGCGTTTCAATAGTTTTTTCATACACTTTAACAGACTTATCTGTTGCTTTCAAAACTTGAATCGGAACGACATTTGATGATGAATTAAATACTGTTTTAGCCAACAGAAGCTGATGTTTCTCCACAAATTTATCTGAAGCTACTAACATGCTACAATCTGGAGCATAACCAATATCAATAACTTTCCCCGGAATAATCTGCTCGACACCCGGCGGAATAACTGTTGTTTCTGACACAGCAACCCGACAACATCGCACACCTTGTGTATTTACTACTGCACAAGATATCTGTTCTTTGTTAAAAGTCATTGTATTGTTAGCCACATCAATGCAACACATATTTTGTTTCATGAAGTCAAAACAGATAATACAGTCTATATCTTCATCTATATCAGCTACCCACACATCGTGTGTGAGAAGTGTCCTTCCAATTTTAACGTTCATTTTACCTATTCCTCTTACTTTAACTGGTTTACCGTCGGCAAGTTTCATGTTTGTATGTGTTGGACGCAACACCACTTTGTTTCCATCGGACAGAGAATCGTATACCTTACTGTTCAAAATTGTCACATTTGCACCTGTATCTACTAAACATTGGATGTTTTTACCTTGAAATTTACCAGAAATATACATTCCTCCATCGCCACTCGCTACACGACCGGTTCTTACTCTGTCTTTTTGTTGATAATTTCTGTTACTTTTGTCATCATTAGGACAATTTCTTCTGATATGACTTGTCTCGCCACAAGTCCAACATCCCCTTTTCCCCGGCTTGTTGTTATTGTTATTAAATCCGCGTCTCTGTTGACTCATATCGCGCTTAAGAAACTGAAGCTCACGTCGAAGTTCCTCTACCACATCAGATAAGGTTTTAATTTGACCAGATACTTCTGAACTTTCCGAAATAGCGAAATTCCGAACACTTGAAGGTTTGTCCCTCTGTTTATCCGCAATATAAAAAGCCTCAAGCTCAACAGCCAACTTAACTGCATCATCTAGTGTCTTTGGGTGAGCTTGATGTATACGCAACCGTGTATCCGCGTCATCTAATGCATCAATGAAATGATCTCGGCTCAACATCTCTTGTAGTTCCAGTTGAGCTTTGGGATATACTTTACGGCTTAGTCTCTTGATATGTTGCGCCAATTCAGGCAATTCTTGATCTCTTCTTTTACGGATATTCTTAAGCTGCACACGGAAAAGCTCTGTTCTGTTTTCGGTTCCAAATCTACTTGTTAATGCTGCAGATATCGATTGATAATCTTTACGCTTTATCGGATCAATATCGACTAAAACACTTTGCGCATTCCCACTTAGACTTGTTGCAAGAAACATTGCTTTCTGATTATCCGTCCAACAATTTAATTCGGATATCATTTCAAACTGAATTTTATAATCTTCCCAAGAAACAGAACCATCATATTTCGAGGGTGGGACAACTGGCTTTTCAATTTTCATACGCTTAGGTGAATGCGATCCTTGATTACTAAAAGGTTGAAACACGGATGGAATCGGTGATCTTCTCGGCGTCAGAGCACTTGAAATTTCCTCCTGAAGAGTTTCATACTCTTTAGTTAAACGCTGAATTTCTCTTTGGGTTTCAATCATTCTAGGCGTTGAAGCTGATAACACAGTTGAACTCAATCCTATTCCCGTATCCATTGATATTTTAGGTCTTGCACCTCCGAAATAGATTTCTCTATCAGAAGAATCACGTTTATCCATTTTATAACAATTTAATTACAGTTCCTTTATTTATGCACAAGAAATATTTGATCCATTTGCAATAATCCTCTCACACAAAATTATCGGAATATTACTATAAATCCACTGAATATATTTTGCGTAAATACAATGTTAAATTCCAAATTGCACATCGATTCTTATAATAGAAATAAACTAATCCATCTAAATAATATCCACACCGCTGCCACCAAAAATTGTAACGTGACCGAGGGGAGGAACGACAACGACACAGACGGACGGACATAGCCATCTATGGCACGACAATATATCCTGTGGTAAATTCCCAGTAACTAAATAATACGGTATATATGTATAAGTTTATTAACAAATGTACATTACTTCCGACTTATTGATAAAGTTAGCTACAAAGTTTAAACATATAAACTTTAAAAACAAGTCCTCCAGAATCTTTACTGATTCAAGACTTAAGGAATACACATCCTTTCAGTATCACAGCTGATACACAATCCGACAGTCTCTGACCAACTAACCTTTATCATAGAGTTTAATTACTTTCACTCTAGACAAAACAAATAGGCATAACTTATTTTATTACCCTACACCCCAAGACATGCTACTTGTCTTAATTACATCTGACAGTTCAACTTTAACTGCAGATAATAAAACTAGCCATTTGTCAAATTAGCCTTGCGTCATTAATTTTCTCTGTACAGAAATAAACAGTTATAAAGCCAATTTAACCAGAGGTCAATATTTACAAAACATTAAAATATTACACTACAATATAATAGTTATTACGGTGAAGTTGAATTTCCTGTCATTTATTCATCATACTCGCACGCACTTGTCTAGAAAAAAATATATCTCTGTACATTAACCTCAGTTTCAGGTAAAGAGATATGTTGTTTTTTTTCTGAGACAAGTGCTTTTGACCATCCTCAAGAACTTGTGGTCATCTGATGTTCAGTACTTCAGTACTTTGATTAACTTTCTAGAGTAATGCCCCTTTACAAATGGAAAAATTGCTGAACTTTTTGTTTCTGTTCTCAAACTTAAGTTTGCCTCAACCAAATGTTATGAATCTTATACACATAAGTAATATTACTGCAAAACTTAGATCATGTATGAATTTGGGTAGCATCACTTTTACAGTTATTGAGTTATGTCCCTTAATAATGTTATATGCAAGCGGGGGCATCATCTGTGTCCCATGGACACATTCCCAACTTTTTTTTATATTTATCATTAAAGATGTAGTATTTGCTTTATATCTGTAGTGACTGTATGTATCTTTTTACATTGCCAGACCAATATACTTCATAACAGCTCCAAGTGTGTTCAGACTGGATGCTCCAGAGACGGTGTCTGTCAGTATTTCTGGTATAGACATTATCTCAATCCAGCTCTACATACAGGACCATCCTGCCAAACAAAAGATATTGTATGAGAGGACTGTCACAATCTCATCTGGTAAGTCTTTTATACTTAGATTTCTTATTTCTTAAATTATTACCAATTACAACTTCACAAGATTTTTACTTGAGCAATATTACAGGTGGTCCAGGGACACATTTATTGTCCTTTGAGGGGCCTCGGTGGCCGAGTGGTCTAAGTAGTTACTACTGTAATCACTAGCCAGTCAACACTGAGGTTGTGAGTTCGAACCCCGCTCGTGCGGGTGCACTCGACTCCAATCTTAATTGACTAGGATTGTCAATTTTCCTATCGAAGGTCGGTGGTTTTCTCCGGGCGCTCCGGCTTCCTCCACCAATAAAAACTGGCCGCCACGAAATAGCCCAAAAGCGGTGCTTAAAAGTGGCGTTAAAACACCAAAAATCAAATCAAATCAAATTGTCCTTTGATTTTTGTTGTCCAATTATAGTCCCTAGTGTGTCCAGTGTATAACTCAAATTTTTTTTTTACAAACCTTCCAAACTTATTTTCATAATTATGCATAAAATAGGAAGTAGGGTGATGATTTGGTCCAGTTCAAATTTGGTGAAAAAACTAGCATGTCTGATGCTGTCAAACTGAATTAAAGATAAAATTGTTCCGATTTTGAGTTAGAGCGTGTAGACTTTTCTATAAATTTGATTTGTCCCAAAAGTAGTACACTACACTAAAAATCTAATTGAGAAAACACAGGTGATTTTTTTTAATTTGCTTTTATTGTTCTAAAGAAATGCACTACATAATAATTGTGTTCTTAGGCCAGTTGCCTCCAAGCACCTAACTTATCCCTAAAGGTGCATGTTTTTTCAATCCATAAGTTTTTTCATTATTTTCGGTTTCTTTGGGCCTTTTGGGGTAAAGATTCCATGAAATGCAATCCAAATCCTATTATCCTGTGTTTGTTAGATTTTCGAGGCCATAAATCTACCTTTGAGAGCAAAAACAACATAGTTCAATGCTGTGAACATTCTTAGATCATTTCCATGTCCATGTCAAGCAGTTTATTAATGAAAAATACCAAGTTTTTCAAGAAACAAAATGATATGTGCATGTAGAACCTCATACTATTCATTTTGTTCAAAAGTTAGATATGGTCAAAGGAAGATAACATCTACTATTCAAAACATTGCCTAAATGTGTTCCAATTTGCTCAATACAATGCAATGTTTAATTTGAAGTTCACAGTGCAAAATGAACAACAGATTTAAAAAATGAATAGAATACAAATTATCTCTAGGCTTGTATGCAGACTTTGACAAATCCATAAAATAAAACATTCATTAAAATTTTATTTTTTCCCCCTGAATCTATGAAAATTGATACCAACGAAAATAAAAAAATCTGCAATAAATTATTCTCTCTGGATTACCTCTAAAGCATTAATTTTTGTTATTGAACAGGTGAAGTGAAGAACACAACGTTTACACTACAAGCATCAGATCTTCAGGACACGGATGGCAATACCATACAATATGTGTCACTTGTAGCCAAGTCTACAAATGGGAGATTTATATTTGAGAAAGAGAAAGTGATTCTTTTGTCTAGACAGAGTGGATATATTTTTATACAGACAGACAAACCTGTGTATACACCTAACCAGGAAGGTAAATTAAGATACTGATAACAGTAAAACTCTTGGGACAAGAAAAATACTGACCTTATAAGGGAACTACCATTTGATTTTTGATGGGGGGGGGGGGGGGGGGGGGGGGGGCTAGGATGAAATTTGAAAAAAAGGCAGGAGTTTTGAGTAAAAAAAAAAATCAGGATAAACTAATAAAAAAAAAGTTAGGACTGAATAAAGTGAAAAATAAAAAGGCAAGACAGAGATTAAAACTTAAAAAAAATGCAGGACTAAATTTTTCATCCTAGCCCCCCCCCCCCCCCCCCCCCCCCATAAAAATCAAATGGTAGCTCCCTAAGAGAGGTGACTTTTGAATTTAGGTTAAAAATGCATAGGCTTTACTATAGCGTGACAAGAAGTGTTTTACCGAACAAGACAGATTTTTTGTCAAGCCTGCGACTTTTGTCGCAGAAAGCTTGACATAGGGAAAGTGATCCGGCAGCAGCGGCGGCGTTAGCTAACTTCTTAAAAGCTTTATATTTTACAAGCTAGAAGACCTGGATGTTTCATACTTCGTATATAGATGCCTTATGTTATGAAGTTTCTGTCTGTTATATGTCCATTGTCCTTGACCTCATTTTCATGGTTCAGTGGCTACTTGAAAAAAAAGTCAACATTTTTTGTAATGTTAATTTCTTTCTTATTATGAGCAAGGATTTGTATAGTGACTATGCAAATCCTTGTTATGAGTAATAGGATAACTATATTTAGTATGTGCCTACCTTGCAAGGTCCTCATGCCCGTCAGACAATTTTCATTTGACCTCGACCTCATTTCATGGATCAGTGAACAAGGTTAAGTTTTCGTAGTCAAGTCCATATATCAGATACTATAAGCAGTAGGTCTACTATATTTGGTATATGGAATGATTGTAAGGTGTACATGTCCAGCTGGTAGGTGTCATCTGACCTTGACCTCATTTTCATGGTTCAGTGGTCAAAGTTAAGTTTTTGAGTTTTGGTCTTTTTTTCTAATACTATATGCAATAGGTCAACTATAAATGGTGTATGGAAATATTTTATGATGTACATGTCAGTCTCACAGGTTTTATTTGACCTTGACCTCATTTTCACGGTTCATTTCTCAGTGTTATGTTTTTATACGACCGCAAAAATTTTTGCGGTCGTATATTGGTATGACATTGGCGTCGTTGTAGTCGTTGTTGTCGTCGTCGTCCTGCGTCGTCCGAAGACACATTGGTTTTCGCACTCTAACTTTAGTTTAAGTGAATGGATCTCTATGAAATTTTACCATAAGGTTCAATACCACAAAAGGAAGGTTGGGATTGATTTTGGGGGTTATGGTACCAACAGTTAAGGAATTAGGGGCCAAAAAGGGGCCAAAAATAAGCATTTTTGTAACTTCCAGACATAACTTGTGTGTAAGTGTATGGATCTCTCTGACATTGTACCACAAGGTTCCATATCATAAAGGGAATGCTGGGATTGATTTTGGGGGTAATTGCCTCAAAATATTAGGAATTAGGGGCCAAAAAACAAGCATTTTTCTAGTTTCATGACAATAACTTGTGTGAAAGTGTATGGATCTTTCTGAAATTGTACTACAAGGTTCAATATCACAAAGGGAAAGCTGGAATTGAGTTTGGGGGTAATAGCCCGAAACGTTTAGGAATAAGGGGCCAAAAAGGGACCAAAAATAAGCATTTTTCTAGTTTCCAGACAATAACTTGTGTTCAAGTGTATGGATCTCTCTGAAATTGTACCACAAGGTTCCATATCACACAGGGAATGCTGGGATTGATTTTGGGGGTAATTGCTTCAAAATTTTAGGAATTAGGGGCCAAAAAAGGGGGAAAAAACAAGCATTTTTCTAGTTTCATGACAATAACTTGTGTGTAAGTGTTTGGATATTTCTGAAATTGTACTACAAGGTTCCATATCACAAAGGGAAAGCTGGAATTGAGTTTGGGGGTAATTGCCCGAAACGTTTAGGAATAAGGGGCCAAAAAGGGACCAAAAAACACATTTTTCTAGTTTCCAGACAATAACTTGTGTATGGATCTCTCTGAAATTGTTCTGCAAGGTACCATACCACAAAGGGAAGACTGGGATTGAGTTTGGGGGTGATGAATCATAAGGGGGTTCAAAAAATTGGGGGGGGGGGGATTTTTTTTTTTTTCCTTTTTTTTTTCTTTTAAAATTTTCCATTTTAAGTTGGTTATTTCTGATTTATATTTAAAAGCAAATAATAATGATATGGTAGGAGATACACACCAAACAGGATGTGTAAATTATTATATTATAAGTATTGTGCAATAGCAAGAAATTTTCAATTGCACAGTATTGCACAATACCAAGAAATCTTCAATTGCACAGTATTGCGCAATAGCAAAAAAATCTTCAATTGCACAGTATTGCGCAATAGCAAGAAATATCCAATAGCACAATATTGCGCAATAGCAAGAAATTGTCAATTGTGCAGTATTGCGCAATAGCAAGAAATATTCAATTGCACAGTATTGTGCAAAAGAAGATACTTTGTATAAATTGCTTATTTCTTGACCAATTTCAATGGGGTTTTATTCTTGAATTCTTGGGGTTGTTTAATATGCTGAATCTAACCGTGTATTAAGTTTTTGGATTTTGGGCCCAGTTTTTAAATTGGTCCACATTGAGGTCCAAAGGGTCCAAATTTAAACTTTGTTTGATTTTATCAAAAATTGAATTATTGGGGTTTTTTGATATGCCGAATCTAACCGTGTATTTAGATTCTTAATTTTTGGTTCCGTTTTCAAATTGGTCTACATTAAGGTCCAAAGGGTCCAAAATAAAACTAAGTTTGATTTAAACAAAAATTGAATTCTTAGGGATCTTTGATATTCTGAATCTAAACATGTATTTAGATTTTTGATTATGGGCCCAGTTTTCAAGTTGGTCCAAATCGGGGTCCAAAATTAAACTTTGTTTGATTTCAACAAAAATTGAATATATGGGGTTCTTTGATATGCTGAATCTAACCATGTATTTAGATTTTTGATTTTTGGGCCCCGTTATCAACTTTGTCCACATTGAGGTCAAAAGGGTCCAAAATTAAACTTTGTTTGATTTCATCAAAAATTGAATTCTTGGGGTTCTTTGATATGCTGAATCTAACCATGTATTTAGATTTTGGATATTGGACCATAATAGGTGAATGTCCAATTTAAAATTTTTAAGTTCTTAGACCACATTCATTCTGTGTCAGAAACCTATGCTGTGTCAAATATTTAATCACAATCCAAATTCAGAGCTGTATCAAGCTTGAATGTTGTGTCCATACTTGCCCCAACTGTTCAGGGTTCGACCTCTGAGGTCGTATCAAGCTGCGCCCTGCGGAGCATTTTATTGTGTTTTGTTCTGTTTTTCTTCAACTATAAGCAATAGATCAACTATATTTGATGTATGGAAGGATTGTAAGGTGTATATGTCTGTCTGGCAGGTATCATCTGACCTTGACCTCATGTTCATGGTTCATTGGTCAATGTTAAGTTTTCATGGTTAAGTTTGTTTCTTAGATACTATAAGCAATAGGTCAACTATATTTAATGCCTAAATTGATTGTAAGGTGTACATGTCTGTCTGGCATGCTTCATCTGACCTTGACCTCATTTTAATGGTTCATTAGTCAATGTTAAGTTTTCTTGTTTAAGACTGTTTCTTAGAAACAATAAGCAAATAGGTCAACTATGTTTGGTTTATTGAATGATTGTAAGGTGTACATGTATTTCTCGTTTGGTTTATCTGACCTTGACCTCATTTTCTTGGATCATGTTAAGTTTATGTTTTACTTGTAGTAAAGCTTTGTATTTAGGACTATCAACATAAAATCAATGGTTAGTAAAGAAGGCGAGACATTTCAGCATGTGCACTCTTGTGTTAAGTAGAGGTGACCTTCATAGCAGGGTTTGACTGTACTGTGAAATGCTTGCTAAATGAGGTCCAACTGTTTAAGTGTTTTTAGTCCCCTACCGACAAAGTGGAAGGGGACTTTAGGTTTGCACTCCGTCCGTCTCTCTGTCTGTCTGTCCATCAGTCAGTCCGGGAAATCAGGTTTCCACACTTTCTTTCTTCGTGCTTGAAGATATTGATTTGATATTTGGTATATTGTTTTATCATGACAAGTTACAGATCAAGTTTGAATTTTGTTCCGGTCTGATGATTTTGTGCAGAGTTATGGTCCTTGGACTTAGAAAATTCACTCTATTTAAATAATCAGTTTTCTGTACTTTTTTCGTCATGCTTGAAGATATTGATTTGATAATTGGTATATAGTTTTATCATGACAAGTTACAGACCAAGTTCGAATTTTGTTCTGGTCTGATGATTTTGTGCAGAGTTATGGTCCTTGGACTTATAAAAATTCACTCAAATTATCAGTTTTCCACACTTTTTTTTTCTTCTTGCTTGATGATATTGACTTGATATTTGTTATATAGTTTACACCATGACAAGTTATAGATCAAGTTAGCATTTTGTTCCAGTACAATGAATTTTTAACTGGTAGGGGACTATGTATTGCCATGCAATACTCTCAGAATGCTTGTTATTTCTGGTTTTCTCATTTAAAGCATGTACCGTAACTATGTTAATTATTACAGCATCATAATACATTCATTTTGTTAATTTATCAACCTTATGCTTTTTGCTTTTTGAACTCTTATTCTAAATTAGTTAAATTTTACATGCTTAATGAATAACCTGATGTGCAGTATATGTCACTATAGTATCAATATGAACAACAAAATGATCTTGATGTGACAAATAGTTTGACAATGTGTATTATTCATTGAAAAGTATATTTTGTTTGTAAATGCAAAAATGATAACAAGATAAACATTGCAATGATTAGAACTTGCAGTTTAATTATTGCTAGGTATATTCTAAAACAACAGGAGAAAAATGGTCATTAGTAACACAAATAGTGATATTGAAGATTCACAATAATAAGTACACATGTTTAACGTAGATTTTTGTTAACTTATCATATAGAGATTTGACAATGTGTTTTGATAGATACCTTAGATTAAGTGTTCCAGTAAATTTGTGTGTAATTCTGACTTTTGATCGAAAACTTGTCCCAATAATTGTAAATTCAGATATTATTGCATGCAATTATTAACGTGATTTTTAAAGAGTGGACAAAAATCTGAGATTAATTATTGCAATTTTAGAAAAGCAGCATATGTGCAGATTATGAATTTGATATGAAAATATGAGTTCTGATTATTGTGATACCTACCCAGTCCCGTTATTCACATTAATAAAAGCCTTGCAATAAGTTCTGAATTTTCAGTATTACATGTCTTTTAATGTCAAATAAAGGCATATTGAAATATCTAAACATACAATATTTCAGTAAGGATAAGAGTTATTCCATTGGATGAGGTGAGACGACCATCAACTGTACCCGTACATATTGATATCAAGGTATACCAATTAACTTTACATTATCAATATAACAGAAATTATAATTTATCCAGAAAAATCACAGAATTATGCTCAGTTGTTTAAACCTTGCTAACATATGTAGCGTTGATTTTATGGTATGTTATTGTGTAAACAAAACTCATCAAAGATACCGCGCTTATATTTTGTATGCCAGACGCATGTTTCTTCAAAAAGAGAGGTGAAAGATACCAAAGGGACATTCAAACTCATAAGTCGAAAATAAACTGACAACGCCATGGCTAAAAAAGTAAAAGACAAACAATAGTACACAAAACACAACATAGAAAACTAAAGACTGAGCAACATGAACCCCACCAAAAACTGGGGGTGATCTCAGGTCCTCCAGAAGGGTAAGCAGATCCTGCTCCACATGTGGCACCCGTCGTGTTGCTCATGTTAGTACAAACCTGGCAAAAGACTCATCAGTGACACTTGAAAAATAAGAGTTGTTTATACATATTCTGAATGAGTATCAGTATAGTTGACCTTTTTTTTACTTACCAATTTAGGTACAAGTAAGACTTGATAAGGGGAAACCCTTTCAAGTCCCAATTTATATGTACGCCTCCACAACGGCAGTAGGGGCTTTTATGTTGTCTGGTCAGTGCGTCAGTCCATTTGTCATTCCCTAGTCTGTCCCGCACTACGTTAAAAATTTTGTTTAACATGGCTAAAGTAGTTTACCTTGAAGTTTTGATCACATCAACTTGAAACTTATTACACATGCTCATTATGATATGAACTTTAAATCTTATGTACAATTTCAGCTTTGACTTAGTTTTCATGGTTTACTGAACATTAAAATGTGATAGCGTGAATTAGTATATTCTTATGTTAGAGTTTTTGGTTAAGGTAGTTGACCATGAAATTGTGGTCACATCAACTTAAAACTTAGTGCACATGTTAATTGTTGGATGAAATTTTAATATTATATTCTAAATTTGGATTTTGACCCTAATTTTACAGTCTTAACATGGATGTATGATACTGCAAGTGGGGCTTGGTGTCCTATAGACATACATATTCTTGTTTAAATTAATGTTCTAAAAAGGTTTTATTGCAGTTTTGGGACTTTTGGAAATGATTCCAATTAACACACCCTACAGGCAGTTGAGTTTTGCTTCTCCATTCCTTCACAATGGAAATAGGCTTAGGACGAGCACAATTTCTGTCTTTTCTGACTTGACTTTTTATGTCCTGGATTTTATGTCTCTTTATTAATCATATCAGTATGTCATTACATATTTATTACCATTATTTTTTAGAATCCACAAGGAGTTATAGTCCAAAGGAAGAATGCCTCGTATCATGGCAGTTTTATAACAGACAGATTTCATCTACCGTCACGCCCATTCTATGGTAACAACTGGACTGTCGAGGCTAGGTTCACTAATGGGGTAGGTATAAAATTGTTAAATTTCATATACACCGTTCTGTTTATATACATGGATTCCTTATCTAATGTTGGAAATTTGAGATCATAGGATAAGTGGTCTTTTTATATGACCGCAATAAATTTTCGTTCATATATTGCTATCATGTTGCTGTCGTTGTCTTCCGAAGACATTTGGTTTCCGGACAATAACTTTAGTATAAGTGAATGGATCTCTATGAATTTAACCACAAGGTTCAATAGCACAAAAGGAAGGTTGGGATTGATTTTGGGGGTTATGGTCCAAATTGTTTAGATTTTGTGGGTTGTGGCTTTAATCGTTAAGAAACTAGAGGCCAAATAGGGGCCAAAAACAAGACTTTTCTAGTACTGGCTAAGCTGATTCTAACATAAATTATTTCTGATCTATATAAAGAAACAACAAATACTGATATGGCAGGAGATACACACCAAACAGGGTGTGTAAATTATTATATCTAGTTTGTAAACAGATTTACTAAGTATTGCGCAACAGCAAAGTATTGCACAACAGCAAGAAATCTTCAATTGAAAATAAATACAAATCTTTTACCCAATTTCAATGAGGATTAATTTAAAGTCTTGAATTGTTTGAGGTTTTTACCATGTTTTACTATATTGGATATTTGGACATTTTTAAACAGGTCTACATTGAGGTCCAAAGGGTCCAAAATTAGACTTTTTAAAAACTGAATTCTTGTGGTTCTATGATATGCTGAATCTAACTGTGCCTACAAATTTTTAATTTTGGGCCCTGTTTTCAAATTAGTCCATATTAAGGTCCAAAGGATCAAAAATTAAACTTTGTTTGAATTCATGTTTTTTTTAAGCCCCTGCCGTAGCGGAGGGGGCATTAAGTTTTATCTTTGTCCGTCCGTACATACGTCCCAAAGTTGGTTTCTGTTCTCTAACTTTAGTTTGCCTCAACCAAATGTTATGAAACTTATACAAAATGCTTATTACCACAAAACACAGATCAGGTTTGAATTTTGTTGGCATCACTTTAACCGTTCTAGAGTTATGTCCCTTTACAAATGGAAAAATTGCTGAATTTTTCATTTCCATTCACTAACTTTAGTTAGCCTTAACTAAATGTTATGAAACTTATACACAATGCTTATAGCCTCAACCAAATGTTATGAAACTTATACACAATGCTTATTACCACAAAATACAGATCAGGTGTGAATTTTGGTGATGTCACTTTAACCGTTCTAGAGTTATGTCCCTTTACAAATGGAAAAATTGCTGAATTTTTCGTTTCCGTTCTCTAACTTTAGTTAGCCTCCACCAAATGTTATGAAACTTATACACAATGCTTATTAGCACAAAATACAGATCAAGTTTAAATTTTGGTGGTGTCACTTTTACTGTTCTAGAGTTATGCCCCTTTACATATGGAAAAATTGCTGAATTTTTTGTTTCCATTCTCTAACTTAAGTTTGCCTCAACCAAATATTATGAAACTTATACACAATACTTATTACCACAAAACTGAGATCAAGTACAAATTTGGGTAGCGTCACTTTTACCGTTCTTCAGTTATGTCCCTTTATAACTTTATATGATTTGCAAGCAGGGCATCATCTGTGTCCCATGGACACAGTCCCCATTTATTTTTTTATATGCTGAATCTAACCATGGAATTAGATTTTGAATATTGGACAATTAAGTAGATTAAATGTCCCATTTCAATTTTTTATGTTATCTGACCTCATTTATTCTGTCAGAAATCTATAATGTGTCAAATATTGTATCACTATCCAAATTCAGAGCTGTATCAAGCTTGAATATTGTGTCCATACTTGCCCTAACTGTTCAGAGTTCGACCTCTGCGGTCGTATCCAGCTGCACATTTTTGATATATAAGTATGTAAGTAGATCATTTATTGTAGTGACATGTGTAGCATAAATAATATTACATATTAATAATACAATAATAATTTTAAATTACCCCGGCCAGTTGGACCTATATGTCACTTTAAACTTAATGTTCATATTTTCAATAGGCAAATGTGAAATTGTTACTTGTAAAGAAGTTCCTTCCTTTTCCAGAAAAATAAATTCAAATATTTGGCTGTTTGTTATTGATGAACAGTCATCAAATTAACAAATGTTCTATCATTAATAGAATTCTTGTCAATGTTCATTGATTCAAATAGCAAGTTTCTAAAATCATTGTAAGCTTTACAATATAGTAGGAAATGTTTCTCATCTTCGACTGATCCGCTCTAGGTACAGCTATTTATTTGATAACTTAGATTCAATGGTAAATTCATGGTTTTTTTTTTAATTCACATTCGTATCAATAAACTTTTACGTTTTTTCAGCTTGAAACAGAAACAGTAGTTACCTTTGAAGTAAAAGAGTATGGTAAATATAAAGAAAGTTAGACAAAAGAATAAATAAAAAATGAATTTATTTATTTATTAACAACCATTAGTACAGAGTATAATTATATCTTAGTACTTTTTAATAATTTAAAAAGAAATATCTGATTCTGAGGTCAGAGTTTGCTTTAATCCACATCTCTTGATAAACATTTAAGAGAGCAAATTGAAAAAAAAAATGTAATCATATGAAAAAGTCAAGAATTATTAGAATTTAATGGGAGATAACTCATATTTAGTCTGTTCAAAGAAAACCTTTTTTTCTATTATTATTTTATGCTGTGATGTAATGATTTATTGACAGCCTCTCAAATCTTGCCTTATTAATCATTTTCAAAATAGGACAGTTACTCATTAGCCTTCTGCTCTTGCAGACACAATGTTAAGCAAACCCTATTAATCAAGCAACCAATAGATGAATGGATTTAGTGTTTTATTTTTAGGTAAAACTGAGTAACCTAATTGTACAAATATGTGGAAAATTTATGTTTAGGTTTGGTACCTGTCATTATCATAGCTTTGGAATATTTTCTGGGCTTTATTTTAATTATTCTTTCTAACACTGTACATTAAATATGCTTGAATATTTAGTTATTCTAAGTTACCAATTTGATCCTCTGACATTTCAGTTTTACCAAAGTTCAGTATAACTCTGCAGTCAGAACCAGACATTATTCTCCCAACAACAGAGACTATAAGAATAAATGTTTCAGCTAAGTGAGTATTTGCTAATGTTAAGGTAGTAAAGGAGTTCTCTGCAATCTTGAATTGCAAATGGCTGCAATAAGTCCAAATATTAATTTGAATCAGTAAATTTTGTTTTCATTCAATGAATAAATTAATTCTTATGATTTTTATTTTATGGCAATAACTTCTTTTTACAATTACAGAATTCATTGTTTCTTTGTCAACATTTCTGTTTCCAGACACTGCCTTTTGACCATATTCATAGACAATATCTTGACCAAACTGGTTTGATAATGCCCCATGGGTGAAGAAGACCTCTATTGTCTTTGAGGTCACTAGGTCAAAGATAAAAAATCAAGGTCAGAGCTGCAATAGATAGACTAAAATTGGGGGAGGGGTGGGAAAGTTTGCATTCCAGTTGATATCATTTGAACCATCTTTTCTTAATGTCTAAATATTGATTGAATTTCAGTTATTTTCATGGAAAAGCAATAGATGGTACATGTGTATTATCATATGGAATTATTACAGATGGACAACATAAAATCAGTGATGTTGATCTTAAACAGCAGGTAAAACTTCACATCTACAGTTAATGTACAATACAAACTAAACCATAGCTTCCAAAACGGTCATATATTCCGGACATTTATAAATTTACTGGACATTGTCCGCCTGGGATAAGCATGAACCGAACATCTACTTTTTAGTGTTCAAGGCTTTATTAAGAGATATAAAACACAATTCGCGATATTTTTGACACGATTAAAATTATAAGAAATACGTTTATAAATATTTGTTGAAAAATTTAAAATGGTTTTAAACGAAAAATCGTCAGAACCACGTTGTTTGAACTAGTACACGTGTGGGCATGTGCACAGGTTGGAAATTTAATTATGCATCCTAATTTCTTCAAAAATGCTAAAATTATCATTGATACCTGTATCTAACATTCATTCGAGTATTTTCTTGAAGAAATAACGTGGAAAGAGCTTCTTACACTCAGTCGTGCTTTGTAAACACACACGGATTTTACGTATCCGTCTCTGGTCCATGTTTTACCATCGTCAAGTCAACATCCAGTATTAGGTAAATGTGCTTTTAAAAACGAAAGTAAAGTTTTTGACAACGTTATTTTGCGCATATAAAGAGTCTAAGGCCGAGATAATAATGCTGATGTTGCACACTTCAAATGATGCACTGCCAATTTAACAGTTTACGTCAGAACATTGAATTTATATCAAAGTAAAGTTTGATATCGTTTTTTTTTTTATTGTCAATCATTGGGATGGCCAACTGATTACCATGATTGCCTTTTGTAACTTAGCCTTAAGGGATTAAAATTGGGATCAGATATAAAATGTCTGGCTGGCTCAAATATTTTTTGGAAGCCCTGAACTAAACTGGAAATCCTTAAGCATAAATATAAATGTCTTGGGGGGGTCTTGTGGTAACCTACTCATCTCATGTGTGGAAGGCATGGGTTTGATCTCCAGCTTTGTCTTATCAAAGATTTTGAAATTGGTACTTGCTGGCTCTCTGCCAAGCATGTGCCGTTATGATATGTCTGAAGAAGGTGATATGTCTTCCTGAAGACTGTTTCCTCTTGAGCTAGCATGAAAAAAATCTGACTGCATTTGTTTCAGTGAATTTTTTTCTGGCAAGGTACCCTTTCCTTTGAAAGAAATATATGTGTTAAAATTCCCTGACATATTTTCTCTAGGGTTTCATTTCTGATGGAATAAACACACTAGTGTGAAGAATAAATACATGAGTATAAAAATTCCATAACATATTTTCTTTAGGGTTTCATTACACACTAGAGTACTGAAAGTTCTACTCACTGGGATGAAAGTACTCTTAATACACATGTTAGTGTACTCAGTTATGGTTTTGAATATGCAAGGATACTTTGCCACTAGAAGTTAAGCAGCCATCAATCAATGAGCATGGAAATATGAGTAGATAGGTTTCAATATGACGTCATGTGAGTAAGAGTTTCCCTTGGCCACCATTTTCGAGGGGTAAATGGCTGGTTTTGTTATTTGTCTAACCAAATTTAAACATGTGGTATAAACAAGTCTGATAAGAGATCCTTCGTAACTAGATAGTTGCGATGAATCAAGCAAGACTAAAAGAAATTAAAATTGTTCAGAAAACAGCAGTCTAGTAGTCAGTATTTCTAGTTGAATTTGGCTAATTTATGAAAAGATTTGTGAACATAGACCTCCAATGTGGTGAAAAAAGGGAAGTAACTCTTGTTCAAATTGTGTCAATCGAAATCCATCTATGACAAGTTTTTACATAATTAATTATTATTATTAAGTAGAGTTGAATATAAACAATAAATTTTCATTTGATATTTATAATTATTTGTGATAGATGTTATGGTAATTTGTTGTTTGTAGATGACGGTAGGATCAACAGATTTTGAAATAAGTACTAATACATTGGAAGAGAGATTTCCATCATACTGGTTCCCAGATGGTGCAAGACTATATCTAGAGGTTACCATACTAGATAAGGGAACAGGAAGAAGGGAACAAGTGTCTGACAAGAAAACTGTGTTCTCTAACCATCCATACAAAATATCTGTAGAAAAATCACAGAAATACTTCAAACCTGGAATTCCCTATGACTTGGTAGTAAGTATTTGAATAAGTACAGTTGTGGAGGATGCTTGTCACTTCTTGTTATCATGTTACTTGAAATTTGTTATGCTTGTGATTGCAAACTGTTTGTTGATTATGAAATTGGATTTAGGGTAAGTGCCTCAATGTGTACAGGTAATAGCAAGGACAAAACAGGATCCAATTAATGTCTGTCCAAAACACCCTGGGTAGAAAACTTTTATTAAGAGTTTTCTTGGCTTCTATGAAAAGGAATAATTTTATACTTGGTTTGCAGCTTAATAATGTTGGGCTGTAGTGTGTAAGCAATTTTTACATCTGTCTGTGCTGCCATTTCCTGTTTAACTGATAGTTTGAAATTTTACAACAGTCACTGTACATGGAAAATTTTCATCAATCATTTCTTGTCTTGTTTTTGGAAATGTCTTCATCATTTATGCTTCAGTACACATGTTATCTCAATCAATTGCATGCAATGATGCAGGTTGAGACAGGGTATTGGTATTGATTTTTAAGAAATATATATATATTTTTTAAAGGGGCACTAGCTACGAGATATATAAAAATCTAAAGCATGACTTTTTTGTTCAATCATTAATAAAAGTGAAATAGCGAAATAATAATTCGCTTTTAGCAGCCAGTATGGTTCAATTTTGTCAAATTTAGCTAAGAAACATTGATGATGAATTATTCACTTGCAAGTGAATAATACGACCTCATTGAATCCGTATTCATGTGAACTTCAATTTAACCCCTTAGCTAGAGATGGACAACGCTTGCATTGTGCGTGTTTGGTTATTTAAAGGAAAAGAATGTCAACATTTAAAGTGAAACAAAGGTAAATCATTTGATTGACTGATTCGATCCACAAAAATCATTCTTATACAGGTAAAAAACGATGATTAACATATATTTTTAATCTATAATATGAAATTAGATAGACCTAGAAAAATCCAATTGCACGAGTTTTCTTTCTATTTATATTTATGTTTATATCGCTTATATGACCATCGGAGGTGTTCGGAGGTCAACTTGATAGTTAACTAGATGGTGTCAAGACTAAAATACACACGAAACGAAGCTACATATAATCTAGCCCATGCCCTGTAAATAGTTTATTTTAGACTTTTTATAATTTGGATAAATGTTTTACATGGTTATAAATCAAATATAAGAATTTGAGTCAAATTGGTGAACATGAATTTGATAGCTAGTGCCCCTTTAAGAATATTAAATGAAAGGAGAATGATGTGAAATTTTTTTTCACATACTGTTTACATTAATATGACTAATAATAGTTATATATTGCAGGATTAAAATGCCTATTATTTTTAATGGGTACTAATATTCATGAATTGAGGAACAATTGTATTTTCGTTTTGATTTCATGGTTTTGCAAAAGTTTGCTCACAATCCTATAGTAAATTTACACTTCTTGAATATATAATTTGTGGTTTAACCATACTCACAAAATACATGTAAATTGGTATCCCATGAATAATAATGAATCCACAGTATCTTACAAATACCTAAGCCAGTTATCAGTTCCTGTAAATATTTTTGTTTTGTTTTTCAGATTGACACTTTCTATGCCAATGGAAAACCAGCACCAAACTGTCCACTTAGTATATATTGTGGAAAGAGAACAATTCATGGCAGTGTAATACCTTTAAGAAGAAGTAATTTAGAAACAGATGAGACTGGACGACTCATTAAATCTGTTAATATTGAAAACATAGATACAAGCTTATCATGTACAGTATGTATATTACAATATATTTTGCAGATTTTTGTAACAGGTGGGGTTTTGGCCTTGGGAGTTTGAGGGGTTTATTAAAGATTTTGCACCAAAAAAAATAAACAAATGATTTAATAGATTCCTAAATCTAGATCTTATTTCTTGATTTAGGCATGGACTAATCACTTGATAAATTCCACTCTTTAGTTCAGACGAAAAGTTATCTAAAACTGACATTATCAAGAGGCTTGATTTTAAATAAAGAAATTTTTATGCCCCCGCTGTTCAAAGAGGCATTAAGGTTTACCCTTGTCTGTCTGTACTTCCGTACGTCCCGAAATTAGTTTCTGTTCTCTAACTTTAGTTTCCCTTGACCAAATGTTATGAAACTTATACACAAAGCTTATTACCACAAAAAACAGATCAAATTTGAATTTGGGTGGCATCAATTTACCGTTCTCATGTTTTGCCCCTTTATAACGTTTTATACAAACAGAGGCATCATCTGTGTCCCATGGACACATTCTCCATTTTTAGCTCACCTGGCCCGAAGGGCCAAGTGAGCTTTTCTCATCACTTGGCGTCCGTTGTCGTCGTCGTTAGCTTTTTAGTCCCCTACCGACGAAGTCGAAGGAGACTTTAGGTTTGCACTCTGTCTGTCTGTCCGTCTGTCCATCTGTCTGTCTGTCCATCGGTCAGTCCGGCAACTCAGATTTACACACTTTTTTTCTTCGTTCTTGAAGATATTGATTTGATATTTGGTATATAGTTTTATCATGACAAGTTATAGATCAAGTTCCAATTTTGTTCCGGTCTGATGATTAAGTCCAGAGTTATGGTCCATAAAAAAACTCCATAACTAATTTTAGAGTACTATATTAACCATATACCTGTACGAAGGGAGATAACTCATTTTTTAAAAGACATTCTTTGGTAAATTGTTGGAGGAATTTTGTGGCAGATTTATATGTTATTTTGTATAAACCAATTTTCTGAATGCTACATGTATATATATATATATATATTTTAATTAAGTGAAATCCTTTAATTAGATAATAATCTATTTTTATTATACGACCGCAAAAAAATTTTGCGGTCATATATTGGTATGACGTTGGCGTCGTCGTCGTCGTCGTCGTCGTTGTCGTCGTCGTCTGGCGTCGTCCGAAGACACATTGGTTTTCGCACTCTAACTTTAGTTTAAGTGAATGGATCTCTATGAAATTTTACCATAAGGTTTAATACCACAAAAGGAAGGTTGGGATTGATTTTGGGGGTTATGGTACCAACAGTTAAGGAATTAGGGGCCAAAAAGGGGCCAAAAATAAGCATTTTTGTAACTTCCAGACATAACTTGTGTGTTAGTGTATGGATCTCTCTGACATTGTACCACAAGGTTCCATATCACACAGGGAATGCTGGGATTGATTTTGGGGGTAATTGCCTCAAAATATTAGGAATTAGGGGCAAAAAAAGAGGCAAAAAACAAGCATTTTTCTAGTTTCATGACAATAACTTGTGTGAAAGTGTATGGATCTTTCTGAAATTGTACTACAAGGTTCCATATCACAAAGGGAAAGCTGGAATTGAGTTTGGGGGTAATTGCCCAAAATGTTTAGGAATAAGGGGCCAAAAAGGGGCCAAAAATAAGCATTTTTCTAGTTTCCAGACAATAACTTGTGTTCAAGTGTATGGATCTCTCTGAAATTGTACCACAAGGTTCCATATCACACAGGGAATGCTGGGATTGATTTTGGGGGTAATTGCCTCAAAAAATTAGGAATTAGGGGCCAAAAAAGGGTAAAAAAACAAGCATTTTTCTAGTTTCATGACAATAACTTGTGTGTAAGTGTATGGATCTTTCTGAAATTGTACTACAAGGTTCCATATCACAAAGGGAAAGCTGGAATTGAGTTTGGGGGTAATTGCCCAAAACGTTTAGGAATAAGGGGCCAAAAAGGGCCAAAAATAAGCATTTTTCTAGTTTCCAGACAATAACTTGTGTTCAAGTGTATGGATCTCTCTGAAATTGTACCACAAGGTTCCATATCACACAGGGAATGCTGGGATTGATTTTGGGGGTAATTGCCTCAAAATATTAGGAATAAGGGGCCAAAAAAGGGACAAAAAACAAGCATTTTTCTAGTTTCATAATAATAACTTGTGTGTAAGTGTATGGATCTTTCTGAAATTGTACTACAAGGTTCCATATCACAAAGGGAAAGCTGGAATTGAGTTTGGGGGTAATTGCCCAAAACGTTTAGGAATAAGGGGCCAAAAAGGGGCCAAAAATAAGCATTTTTCTAGTTTCCAGACAATAACTTGTGTTCAAGTGTATGGATCTCTCTGAAATTGTACTGCAAGGTACCATACCACAAAGGGGAGGCTGAGATTGAGTTTGGGGGTGATGAATCATAAGGGGGTTCAAAAAATTTTTGGGGGGGGGGGATTTTTTTTTTTCCTTTTTTTTTTCTTTTAAAATTTTCCATTTTAAGTTGGTTATATCTGTTTTATATTTAAAAGCAAATAATAATGATATGGTAGGAGATACACACCAAACAGGATGTGTAAATTATCATATAATAAGTATTGTGCAATAGCAAGAAATTTTCAATTGCATAGTATTGCACAATAGCAAGAAATCTTCAATTGCACAGTATTGGGCAATAGCAAGAAATCTTCAATTGCACAGTATTGTGCAATAGCAAGAAATATCCAATAGGACAATATTGCGCAATAGCAAGAAATTGTCAATTGTACAGTATTGCGCAATAGCAAGAAATATTCAATTGCACAGTATTGTGCAAAAGAAGATACTTCGTATAAATTGCTTATTTCTTGACCAATTTCAATGGGGTTTTATTCTTGAATTCTTGGGGTTCTTTAATATGCTGATTCTAACCGTGTATTAAGTTTTTGGATTTTGGCCCCCGTTTTTTAATTGGTCCACATTGAGGTCCAAAGGGTCCAAAATTAAACTTTGTTTGATTTCATCAAAAATTGAATTATTGGGGTTCTTTGATATGCCGAATCTAACCGTGTATTTAGATTCTTAATTTTTGGTTCCGTTTTCAAATTGGTCTACATTAAGGTCCAAAGGGTCCAAAATTAAACTTAGTTTGATTTTAAAAAAAATTTAATTCTTAGGGTTCTTTGATATGCTGAATCTAAACATGTATTTAGATTTTTGATTATGGGCCCAGTTTTCAAGTTGGTCCAAATCGGGGTCCAAAATTAAACTTTGTTTGATTTCAACAAAAATTGAATATATGGGGTTCTTTGATATGCTGAATCTAACCATGTATTTAGATTTTTGATTTTTGGGCCCCATTATCAACTTTGTCCACATTGAGGTCAAAAGGGTCCAAAATTAAACTTTGTTTGATTTCATCAAAAATTGAATTCCTGGGGTTCTTTGATATGTTGAATCTGACCATGTATTTAGATTTTGGATATTGGACCATAATAGGTGAATGTCCAATTTAAAATATTTAAGTTCTTAGACCACATTCATTCTGTGTCAGAAACCTATGCTGTGTCAAATATTTAATCACAATCCAAATTCAGAGCTGTATCAAGCTTGAATGTTGTGTCCATACTTGCCCCAACTGTTCAGGGTTCGACCTCTGCGGTCTTATCAAGCTGCGCCCTGCGGAGCATTTTATTAAGGTTTATATTTCATAACATTACATTGTTTAGATGAAAGTTGTTGACATTTTATAGATAAGTTACAAATCTATATTAGTTTGTGACAAATGAAAGAAAAAAAATTTGGAACTATTAATTATATTTGATTGTAATTTGAAAATAGATATACATTGTATTACATCATATCTAATTTTAGAGAACTATTAATCATATCTAATGTTAGAGTGTTATAGGTTTTCCACACTTTTTTTCATCATGCTTGAAGATATTGATTGACAATTGGTATATAGTTTTATCATGACAAGTTACAGATCAAGTTAAAATTTTTGTTTCAGTCTGATAATTTTGTGCAGAGTTATGGTCCTTGGACTTGAAAAAATTCACTCATATATTCAGTTTTCCACACTGTTTTAGTCATGCTTGAAGATATTGACTTGATATTTTCTTTTTGTTTACACCATGACAAGTTATAGAACAATTTAGCATTTTGTTCCAGTATAATGAATTTTTACCTGGTAGGGGACTAGATATTGCCATGCAATACTCTCAGAATGCTTGTTACAAAAATCTTCTCCTCTGAAACCACTGGGCCAAATTTAACCAATCTTGACCACAATCATCATTAGGGTATTTAGTTTAAAAAATGTGTCCGATGACCCCACCAACCAACCAAGATGGCCGCCATGGCTAAAAATAGAACATACGGGTAAAATGTAGATTTTGGCTTATATCTCTGAAACCAAAGCATTTAGAGTAAATCTGACATAGGGTAAAACTGATTATCAAATTTAACCATACTTGGCCATTATTATTATTAGGGTATCTAGTTTATAAAAAATGTTCGTCATATTTAGATTTATCTGCCCTGTAATTTTCAGACGAATCTGACAACCTGTTGTTGGGTTGCTGCCCCTGAGTTAGTAATTTTACAGTATTTTGTTATTATCTTAGATATCATTATAATATCTAATATCTAATACTATTAATTATGATTTTAACCTTATTTTACATGATTTCCAAAGCATAAGTAAATACAGGTGAGCGACACAGGCTCTTGAGAGCCTCTAGTTTTCATATACTATGGATTTATTACTATTATGGGATACCAATTTTCTCAGATTTCGTTGGTAACCAGGCTTGTACACATGTTCGTTATGAACTGAAAATAGGGTTTTGTAACAAATTACACAGTTCACTGAATTTTCAAATGTAATAGTGCATGCTGGGTATGTTTTCCTATGGACACATATTCTTGTTGGTATAATATTTTATCCTTACTTGATTGCTTAGATAAAAACAGATGCAGATAGAAATAACTATGCTAATACAGTACAGTCAGAGGTCACATTTGCTGTGGCAGCCATGCAATCATCATCTAACAGATTTATCAGAGTCAAACCTACATTGGTAAGTAGCCATGTGCATTCTTTATGAAATATTTTGTATACATTATACCCTCACCGGTACCAGCCCAATAGTCAGCACTTGTGTGTTGACATGAATTATCATTGATATGGTCATAATTATAAATTGACTGTTCACAAAACTTTGAGTTTTTCGAAATACTAAGGATTATTTTAGCCGTATTTGACAAAATCTTTCAGAATTTTGGATCTTCAATGCTCTTTAACTTCCTACTTTATTTGGCCTTTTTAACTTTTTAAATTTGATCGTCACTGATGGGTCTTCTGATGTACAAAATTTTAATCCTGGTATCTATGATGAGTATTATCAATAAGAAAGATGCTAAAGAAAGTTTATAACAAAACAAAGACTATCTTGAATACTTGAATTTGTTCCATTAGTAGAAGATGTGTAATTCAAAACATACTAGAAGGGTTTTATTCAGCTTTTACCATAGGTTAAGTGTGAAACATGGTTACGTTGGGTATACATCAATAAGACAGCTACCAAGTAACAAAAAATATGAAGACTTCTAGAGGCTTTTCACACTGTTATTTCTAAATTTGTCATTTTTCTTTTTTTAAAAGTTATATATTGCAACTTAGTTAGACCATGCCATGGAAATAGTTGTTATAATTGTCAAAGTTGTCTTGAGTACTCTTGTAAGGAGACCATTTAACTTGACATCATCAGTATTACTAGGTATAAACACAACAAATCACAATACTTATTAGTACCACTTTAAATTGAGTAGCTAATATCATTATACATCAGTTTTTTGTTCTAGAATGATGGGAGATTAACTGCTGAAATTTCAACCAGAAGATTAAGATCAACTGAGTTTTACCACCTGGTAAGGCATATATAACTTTTTGTTGTTTTTTTTCTCTTCTAAAATTAAGTGTTACTAACAACATGATTTAAATTGAAAAGCTGTGATGTGCATGTTTAAGATAATGTGAGAAACATCTGATAGAAAAAAGACATTTTAAGAGGTAAGATCTTTATTAAATTTTTCAAACGTTATATCCAATATTTTGAAAGATTCTAGCAATTTGGAATGATTTTCAGATATAGAATTTTGAAAAACCTTATCTTTCCCAAATCAAAGGAACAAAATATCAACCAACTTATATTTGTAGATACTTTTTCATGTTTGGCTCTTTCTTACCTATTTCACAGCAATTTATTTACACTGTTTTTCTACATTCTTTTTTTGTATTAATATATGAGAAGATCAAAGTTTGACAAGTTCGCAAAGATTTATATTCATGTTATTTATCTACTTGCAGAGGTTGCAAAAAATAAATTGCTCTTGAAAATTAGTTTGTTTACAGGTTCTCATATGCATTTTTACATGGTTTATGTATTTTAAAATTTGAGTTCACTACTTCTTAAATATTTCTGATTTTCTTATTGAAATTTGAATATAATTTTTTTGAGTATGGTTGTGATGGCATCACTGCAAGGCACTGGTATTAAAATTTTAATAAGAAATATTTGAGTATGAGAAACCAAGTAGATACACTACCACAATGTCTATATGGGGCAATATGCACAATTGATTTTCCATAGGTGGTAATGGTAACATTTTCTTCTGTAGCTCAGTCCATATCGTAAACTTGGATATGTATGATGGATCGTTTCACATATGTGGTTAAATTTTCGGGGTATGAAGTGTGATTCATTTTTCCGTAAATTAGCATACCCTGAAAAATCCTTTCGGGATGCAGCTCCTTGTGGTAAAAAATCCCCTTTTTCACACAATTAGTTCTTTGAAAATTTAATACTTTGAATTCATTTAATAACTCCATAGTTTTTACACATTTATTCTATGGTCCTCTTCTTTCTAAATCGACACAAATGGTTAAGCTCAGTCACTTGTTAAAAATAGAAACATGTGCAATATCACTACACAGAGATTTTTTGTTTACGCACAACTTTTGAGTTCCTCAATTTGAGGCCCATTAGAGATATTGACCCATATACATGAAATACATCTCTTCTTTAAATATTTTTGTAGTTCTTTTATGCACTTGATATTTTCCAATCCCATATGATGTCAAGACATAGCAAATTTGACATTTCTGAACAAAAATGAAATTTATCCATTCTTTCTATGTAAAAATCTTGTTGAATATTCATTCTTACAGTTCAGACTTTACTACCTATGATTCATTATAGTATAATAATACTTCATTCTAAGTCAAATAATTCCTTGTCACACCTACTTTTTCATTCTATTGTAATGAACATATATTTTCAGCTGATTTCAGGTGGTAGAATTTTATCAGTTTTACAGTCTAGGGGAAGTAACTCTTTCTTACAAACTATCAACAGTGACATGGCACCTAACATGCGTATTGTGACTTATGCCTTTAATCAGAGATTGAGAGGATCTACAGAAGTAGCAGCTGATTCTGCTGTAATTGAAGTTGTTTCTTCTTGTAATCATCAAGAGGTACTTTTTTGTATGGCTATATGGATTTGTATATTGGTTTTTACACACTGAAAATTCTTAAGGGCTATTCCATTAAAATGTATGTGGGAGGGTAGGAAGGGACTTTCAAAATATCCCTACAACCAAGAACCATTTTTTAAATAATTTTGCATAATGGTAATAGACGCATACTGAAAAAAGACCCATGACCCACATTCAATAATTAACCTTCCCTTCCTACCCTCCCACATACATTTTAATGGAATAGCCCTAAATTAGTGCTTTCATTTGTTAATGCTAATCCTTTTCTTATGGCGAAAATGCAAAATCTAATTAATGTGCTTGCAAAAATTTTATGAAGAAAAATCAATACTGAAATTATGAATGCAAGTTTTTTATTTTTCGAACTTGAAACTGTCAGATTTTATGCATTAATAAAAACATCTCAATAATTTCTGAATTTACAGTATATATTGACAATTTTAGTTACTTATTATTACAAACCTGCCAACTAGCCAAATTTATTGGGGATTACCCCCATGAGAGATGTTGACTTGACACTTAAAGTTCTACATTATATAACTGAAAACCTTCAAGAAGGCATTTAAAGGAGTTAAAAATACATTATAACATATATTTACTCATTTAAAACTGTAGAATATTAAATTGAAAACACTGATGACAAGTAAAAAAGATGCATCAGGTCCTCTTCTGCTTAAAATCCCCCATGGAGATTTTTGAAAAGTTGACAGGCAGGTACATGTATTACCCTTCCAGAGCACAATGTTATTTTCATTTTAGGAACAAATTTTTGAAAAGACTTCAATCTTTTTTTTATATGAAAGTCCAGATCTAGGCAACTTTAAGTTTAAGGATCAATATTTTGTCAGTAGGACACATCTTTAATTGTAATAAAAGTCAGTTGAAAAAAAGTTGGTTACTTGATCTTTAGTTTCGACAAGAATTGATTCAATGAACATTGGAAGGGGCTAGAATCTTATATTAGTGTAACATGCCAATAGATTAGCTATAGTTAAGGTTGTAACTGCTTTATTCTTTATCTCACTAGTTTGTCTGTTTTGGACCATTTAGAATTTAATTATTTTTGTGTTCATAGATGTGGAATGAGTGCCAATGAGACAACTCTCCATCCAAGTCACAATGTGTAAAAAGTAAAAAACAATTATAGGTCAGAGCCTTGTCTCACACCGAACAGCAAGCTATAAAGGGCGCCAAAATGATTAGTGTAAAACAATTCAAACAGGAAAACCAATAGTCTATTCTATATAAAAATACGAGAAAGGAGAAACAATTATAAACCACATCAACAAACGACAACCACTGAACAACAGGTTCCTGACTTAGGACAGGTGCAAACAAATGCAGTGGGTTTAAACGTTTTTAACAGGCGCCAACTTTCACCCTAACCTGAAATAGTAGTGTAACATTACATCATACCTGTTTAGTCATTTTAAACATAGCAAAGACTTTTTTAAAATTATTTTAGCAATCATTATAGGTCTGATTTGAATTTAAAGGCATAGGCATCAGAAAATTAAGAAATGTATGTATGCGTTATAAAAAACAATTTTTATCGACCATATATATGAACATTTTATCTTTGTAGCTTGAGGTAATGGTGCCAAACACAGAAATTAGTCCAAAGTCTGTGCTGACGATTAATGTCACTGGACCACCGCTCAGTAAAGTGGGCTTTATGGCCATAGACAAAGCTGTGTATCAAATTAGTGATAAAAATAGACTGAAGAAAGAAAAGGTATCATAACTTATATTAAGGATTACAAATGTGTCAAGTTTAGCAATTGGATAACTACACAGAGATGGCAGTACATATTCATGAAACATCAGGGAAAAATAAGACTTTTTTCAGCTCACCTGGCCCGAAGGGCCAAGTGAGCTTTTCTCATCACTTTGCGTCTGTCATCCGTCGTCCGTCGTTGTCGTCGTCGTCGTCGTCCGTCGTTAGCTTTTTTACAAAAATCTTCTCCTCTGAAACCACTGGGCCAAATTTAACCAAACTTTGCTAAAATCATCAATAGGGTATCTAGTTTAAAGAATGTGTCCAATGACCCCGCCAACCAACCAAGATGGCCGCCATGGCTAAAAATAGAACATAGGGGTAAAATGTAGATTTTGGCTTATATCTCTGAAACCAAAGCATTTATAGTAAATCTGACTAGGATAAAACTGATTATCAGGTCAAGATCTATCTGCCCTGAAATTTTCAGACAAATCTGACAACCTGTTGTTGGGTTGCTGCCCCTGAATTGGTAATTTTAAGGAAATTTTGCAGTTTTTGGTTATTATCTTGAATATTATTATAGATAGAGATAAACTGTAAACAGCAATAATGTTCAGCAAAGTAAGATCTACAAATAAGTTGTCATGACCAAAATTGTCAGTCGACCCCTATAGGAGTTATTGCCCTTAATAGTCAATTTTTAACAATTTTTCGTAAATTTTTGTAATCTTTTACAAAAATCTTCTTCTCTGAAACTACTGAGACAAATTTAACCATACTTGGCCATAATCATTATTAGGGTATCTAGTTTAACCGATGACCAGGCCAACCAACCAAGATGGCCGCCATGGCTAAAAATAGAACATAGGGGTAAAATGTAGATTTTGGCTTATATCTCTGACATGGGGTTAAATTGTTTATCAGGTCAAGATCTATCTGCCCTGAAATTTTCAGATGAATCGGACAACCCGTTGTTGGGTTGCTGCCCCTGAATTGGTAATTTAAGAAAATTTTGCAGCTTTTGGTTATTATCTTGAATATTATTATAGATAGAGATAAACTGTAAACAGCAATAATGTACAGCAAAGTAAAATCTACAAATAAATCAACATGACCAAAATTGTCAATTGATCCCTTAAGGAGTTATTGCCCTTAATAGTCAATTTTTTACAATTTTCATAAATTTTGTAAATTTTTGTAAATTTTTACAAAATATTTTCCACTGTAACTACTGGGCCAAGTTCATTATAGATAAATAATAGTAAGGAGCAAGAATTTTCAGTAAAGTAAGATCTACAAACACATCACCATCACCAAAACACAATTTTGTCATGAATCCATCTGTGTCCTTTGTTTAATATGCACATAGACCAAGGTGATCGACACAGGCTCTTTAGAGCCTCTAGTTTGTTATTATCTTAGATATCATTATAATATCTAATATGTAATACTATTAATTATGATTTTAGCCTTATTTTACATGATTTCCAAAGTATCAGTAAATACAGGTGAGCGACACAGGCTCTTGAGAGCCTCTAGTTTTACCCCGAATGGAACTTCTGCTCAGGAAATATAGTTGGGATTGTCACATACCATGTCTGAAACCTGAATAACATAGAATATGCTGTACATACACTGAATTTCTGTAATTAGAAATTTTATCATTTATTTGGTAATGATTTACCAAAGTCTTTTGATTAAAAGGATATGTCATGGAAGAAAATTTCTCATGTCTGAAAAACTTGTTCTGAATGGTGTCTGATTTGATTTTGAGTAGAAACGAAGATTTTATTTCTCTGAAAATAGATAACATAACAAAACAAACATTATTTTCAAGCTTAGTTTTATTTTACAGATGTTTTCATCCTTTAGTGATCATGATCTTGGTTGCAGTGTAGGTGGAGGAATTAATGTCAACAAAGTGTTTGAGGTGAGTTTATTTACAGTAAAACTGTCCTCGTAGTAATTTGATTTTGAAGATTTGAGTTATTTTAGCTCACCTGTTCAAATATAAGTGTGGGTTATGGTAATCTTTTTGAATTTATTGTTATTTATGGTCACCTATAAATTCAGAAATTTTAGGAATGTTTTTATTAACCAGACAAAATACAGGAGTAGGTTCTATAAGGCCCTAATATGGCCCCTATTGTAGCTAAAATTTCGAATAGGGATTTATTGAGCAATTTAACAATGATTCATATAGCTTAAACAATGCCTAGATAGGAAATCATGTAAAGGGTTCTTTTTATGATGTCACGTCACTTGAAGCACAAATTTTGATTTTGAAAGGAAATTCAATGAAAACAGGTCAATTTCCATTTTTAGGACTAGAAGGATAGGGCATGTGTCATAAAAAAAGGATCTTATAACATTAATTTTGTTATAAAAATTTACCTAACTTCCATGTTTGTTGAAGCTGGCACTGTATGTTTCCTAGGCTTAAATTTGGTTGAAATCCTGACAATTTTATCAAATTTTACTAAAATCTTTGTTTTTGGCCTAGTTGGTGTCCATGTCATACAGTTATAAGAAAAGCATTAACAAAAATAGTTTCAGGTCATTTTATCACATGTCTTTTCATGAGAGTGAAATATTTCTTTTCTTAAAACATTGGACTTAATATTCGGGGTCAAGTATGACATTTTGCTAACTTACTTTTTTTTTCAGCCCATCAGTCTGTCTGTCATTTTATTGGCAGGTGAAAGAAATCCTGCAATTTCACTCCTCTGATGTCATACAGCAATGACCGTGTCTATGACATTGCATCAAAATGAAATGAGAATGCTTTAGAAAAATACACAGTCCTTTGCATTTTCTACATAATATTTATGCCCCCGTGTCAGCGGAGGGGGCATTAAGTGTTTCCCTTGTCCTTCCGTCCGTATATCCCAAAATTGGTCTCTGTTCTCTAACTTTAGTTTGTCTCAACCAAATGTTATGAAACTTATACACAATGCTTATTACCACAAAACACAGATCAAATTCAAATCCAGGTTGCCTCACTTTAACTGTTTTTGAGTTATGTCCCTTTATAAAATTATATGCAAGTGGGGGCATCATCTGTGTCCCATGGACACATTCTCCATTTATTCTTGATGTATCAACATCATAAAAAGAATAACTTATCCAGGAATTCAAATACAATTAAATATTCAATGAGTGACAGAACAACACTGATAATTCACTCATGTGCTAACTTCGTTAGTGAATTAATGTATTGGGCCATTTCATTTAATTTCTGGACATAGGTAGTGGATGGTTACCTTGTCAAAGACCTTCTTAAGAAAATTTTCAGGCAAATTTCAATCCCTCAGATGCTTGGCTTACAACCCCTCAGATGCCAAATTGTGTCATCAACCCCTCATTTTTACATATTTAAACAAGAAAAGACCCCACAGAAACAAAAATGGGTAACTCTCAGATATATTGTGAGCCAATCGATACCCCTAAGAAATGACTTTTGATACCCCTAAGAAAAAAACATTCACACCCATTTTTCAGATATTAAATGGAATAGTCCATTGTTCCTACACTCCATGAATATTTTTCGATATATGAATTTTTGGATAAGTTATTAAATAATTAAAGAAACTTTTCATATTATTCACCATATATTGCCATTGTGCACCTCCTATTTTGTTTTTTCATTTGATTAATTTCTGGGTGTCCCTTTGCAAATCAAATGGATGGGGTATCATTATGTAAACTTTGATTGCAGTACCTCTAGTTTGATTAATTTCTTGAATAAATTCTTTTACAACAGGATGCTGGTTTATCAGTTCTTACCAATGCAGATGTTCAAACAAGTCAACGAGACAGTGTTCAATGTCCTACAACTGGTCGAAGAAAAAGATCCATAAGTAATTTTAATTTTTATTGCAAAAAATAAATATTTGTTATTTTGATAAAATGGACAGGGATCTGAATATCTTGTCATTACCTATTTTTATTAGAAGTTTTTAATTTTCCAATTTGATATTTTTGAAAATCTTATACATTATATATATTATGCATAATATAATCCACATAAACCATATTTTTCATAAAGAACTTGAGTATCATATTCATATTTGAAACTCAAAGTTCAGAACAGCACTTAAAAATTGTTACAATAAATGTTGGCTATCTTTGTTTTAGATGAGAATCAGTAGGCAGTAGCTTTAGGTGTGATTAAAAGGAAAGGTAGAGTGTAACTTAATGAATCAGGAATCCTACAAAAACAATGCAAGAAACAACAAAACATAAAAACACCTGATATCTAGAGGTCAATTTATAGACTTCTAAACATCAGACTAGGACTTCTTTTAAGCTGAGTTTTACTGAGCGTTTTGCTGTGTTTTTTTATTCCACATTGGTTAGAGGTATACGGGAGGGTTGACATCTCACAAAACAAGTTTAACTCCGCGGCAATTTTGTGCCTGTCCCAATTAGATTTTGGTTGATTTGTATGTTTCAGAGTTGGGTGTGGCGTCCATTTTGGTGAACTAAAATACATTATTGTTTAGGGGCCAGCTGAAGCCCCTATCAGGATGCAGGATTTTCTCTCTGCATTGAAGACCCATTGGTGGCCTTGGGCTGTATTCTGCTCTTTGATCTCTTTGACACACTCCCTTTGTCCATTCTGTATTCTATATTCAACAATAAATAGGTGTCAATTCAATGTGTTGAGTTATGAAATGCCCTGAATGTAAAACGTTTTGAACATAGATAATCAAAGATTTGCCAATGATACTGAATTCCCTCAAATCTCCTGCTCCACATGTGACACCCACAGTGTCCTAGAAGTGGCATTTACAAGGGTGTTAAGAATGACTGTCATAACTTGGATTTCTGATTTGGTCCAATTTAGATGGGAAAAGTCACTTTGTTAGACCACACCTGTTCTTAATTTCAAAAGTTTCAAAAACAAGTATCCTTAAAGATTTGCTGTACAAATTTAGATCCAAGTGAAGAGACAAACCCATGTTGTCAAGCTGGAAGAAGATTTGCTTTCCAGTATGGCCAGACCCATTTTATAGCTGCCAGTGATTGTTACACAGAAGGACAGAAAGTTCACAATCTAATAAAAAGTTCTAGATGTGCCAAAGCTTTCTATAGATGTTGTAAATCATATGAAGAGAGACTAAGTAATCCTGAACATATGATATCACATGCAATGTTGGAAAATAGAGGAGACTTTTTCGACTTTGGTAAGTAAAACCTCATTGAAAGGGTTTGTGTGAATACATGTACAAAATATATATATATTTTTTAACTTAACAGGTGCGGTAGCATTAGACCTGAAAAAAGAAAGGAAGCTTCTTGGTTATAGATGTTTCTTTAAATTGTGTAACCATCACATGGCATTTCATGGGTTATTACATCTGGTACATAAATATAGCATACCAGATTTAATTATACCCCACGTAAAAACGTTGCGTAGGGCATAATGTTTTACCTGCCTGTCCATCCGTCCTGTTCTTGTCATCGCAACTCCTTTGAAATCACACACCAGAAATTCCTGAATTTTTGTAGATTATAAGGACATACTATGAAGATGTGTATATCAACAGGAATTTATTATTAAATTTTTTTCTAGGGGTTATGCTCCTTTGAACTTAGAATTTTGGCCTAAATATACTACTGCAAAATTTGTCATCCCAACTCCCCTGAAACCACACTACAGAATTTCCTAGAAACTTTGTAGATAATAAGGACATACAATGTAGATGTGCATATAGACAGGAAATTATGATTCAATGTATTTTCTATGAGTTGTGCCCCTTTGAATTAAAAATTTTGGCCATAATATACTACTGCAAGTTTTTCAGCCCCACTCCTCTGAAACAAGACATTAGAATTTCATGAAATTTTGTAGTTAATGTGTAATACCACCAAATCATAGTACTTCACATCAGGTTTCATACGAAAGAGGGTCGAAAAAAATATTCCCTTGAATTTAATAGTTTTAGGAAGTTCCCTTGAATTTGACAGTTTTAGGAAGTAATCCCAGGTTACCCTGCATTTCATTGCAGAAAAATATGTATGAGTCATAAACATATCTTGGGTGTTTCGAAGCACCATTACCAAACATCATGAAACTTGTAATGACTATTTAAATTGATGAAGAAAACTTTGGATTGTTGTTCCCGAGATAAGGGATTTTCTCTATGAAATATAATGGAATTTTTGGTATATCTCAATCTTACTGGAGTATGCTCAGGTAGATTTACTCTAAACTTTGGATTGTCATTCGGATTGTTTTAAATAAAGGAAGCTTTCTTTATATTAAGATAATTTTCTTGTTTGTTATTCCAGAGTTTGAGGACTTTAACTGTCAAAATAAATTTTCATGTTTGCTACTAAAGATTTACTTGAAATTTACTTTACCCAATTGTTGGAATTGGTCAAGGGAAGGTACATTTTGAAATTAGAATTTTTTTTTGATTTTTTATTCCAGAGTTATGACTCGTTGTTGAAGGCTGTACGGTGACCTATAGTTGCCATGTCTGTGTCATTTGGTCTCTTGTGGAGAATGGTCTCATTGGCAATCATACCACATCTTCTTATTTTTATATTTATGGCACTTTACATTAAATTTAAAGTAGTTTTTTCACATGTCATGCACTAGCTCTGGTATGCCTTGAAAAATCATTATAAACTTTAAATTGTTATTTGAATTAATGATTGTAGGGTCCCTTTTAATTTTGAAAATTTTCTTGTCTGTTATTACAGAGTTATGTAACTTTTAACAGTCATATTTTAAGCCATATTTACCGGTATATATTTTAGGATATCATGCAAGATGTTTTACAGGGCGATTTTTACTAATGTCTTATTAAAAACCTTCTCAATATTCTATTTTATTCTGACAACCATATCAAAATGCAAAGGGAAGGCGTATTATGCCCTCCTATCATAGCTGTTTATTTATTATGAATTTGTCATTTGAATGTTCACTTGTGGATTTTCCAAAATCTCTTAATTGGAAAAAACATTTTATACAAAGAAATATCTGTTAAAGCCCAAAGGGGAAGTGAGCTATTTTCATCAGTAAATCTGACATAGGGTAAAAATGTTTATCAGGTTAAGATCTATCTGCCCTGAAATTTTTAGATGAATCAGACAACCTGTTGTTGGGTTGCTGCCCCTGAATTGGTAATTTTAAGGAAATTTTGCAGTTTTTGGTTATTATCTTAAATATTATTATAGATAGAGATAAAATGTAAACAGCAATAATGTTCAGCAGAGTATGTTAATACAAATAAGTCAATATGACAAAAATTTTCAATTGACCCCTTAAGAAGTTATTGCCCTTTATAGTCAATTTTTAACAATTTTTTCGTAAATTTTTGCAATCTTTTACACAAATCTTCTCCACTTAATCTACTGGGCCAAATAGAATTAAACTTAGCCACAATTTTCAATAGGGTATCTTGATTGAAAAATGTATCTGATGACCCTGCCATCCAACCAACATGGGCACCATGGCTAAAAATAGAACATAGGGATTGACTATAGAAGTCTAAGGGAAAATTGTAAAAAAAACAATTTCAAATGGTCACAATTGAAAACTAATTTAAATAATGATAAGGGGTCTTCAGTAACTATTGTAAGTCTAGTTACTAGTGGGATGACCTGCTTTTAAATTAACTATTGGGCCAAATTAAACCAAACTTGGCCTCAATCATTATTAGGGTATCTAATACTATTTATTATGATTTAAACCTTATTTTACATGATTTCCAAAACCACAGTAGATACAGGTGAGCGACACAGGCTCTTTAGAGCCTCTAGTTGCAGTAGTTACCCTTTAATGAAGATTTTTACCTTTTTTTGCATTTTGCCTTATATCTGAAAAACTGTAATAGATGGATAGAAACTTAAATAAGTAAAAATTATCAGCAAGACCAGATCTATAAATAAGTCTTCTTGCTCAAATTGTCAGTTCACTCCTTGTTGAAGTTATTGTTCTTTATTGACAATTTTTATCCATTTTTAGCTCACCTGGCCCAAAGGGCCAAGTGAGCTTTTCTCATCACTTGGCGTCCGTCGTCCGTCATCGTTAGCTTTTTACAAAAATCTTCTCCTCTGAAACCACTGGGCCAAATTTAACCAAACTTGGCCACAATCATGATTAGGTCATCTAGTTTCAAAAATGTGTCCCATGACCCCGCCAACCAACCAAGATAGCCGCCATGGCTAAAAATAGAACATAGGGGTAAAATGTAGATTTTGGCTTATATCTCTGAAACCAAAGCATTTAGAGAAAATCTGACAAAATAGGGTAAAACTGATTATCAGGTCAAGATCTATCTGCCCTGAAATTTTCAGACAAATCTGACAATCTGTTGTTGGGTTGCTGCCCCTGAATTGGTAATTTTAAGGAAATTTTGCAGTTTTTGGTTATTATCTTGAATATTATTATAGATAGAGATAAACTGTAAACAGCAATAATGTTCAGCAAAGTAAGATCTACAAATAAGTCACATTACCAAAATTGTCAGTCGATCCCTTTAGGAGTTATTGCCCCTTATAGTAAATTTTTAACAATTTTTCGTAAATTTTTGTAATCTTTTACAAAAATCTTCTTCTCTAAAACTAATGAGACAAATTTAACCATACTTGGCCATAATCATTATTAGGGTATTTAGTTTAAAAAATTTGTCCGATGACCCTGCCTTCCAACCATCATGGCCGACTTGGTTAAAAATAGAACATAGGGGTAAAATGCAGTTTTATGTTTATATCTCTGAAACTAAGCATTTAGAGCAAATCTGACAGGTGGCAAAAATGTTCATCAGATTTAGATTTATCTGCCCTGAAATTTTCAGACGAATCCGATAACCTGTTGTTGGGCTGCTGCCCCTGAGTTAGTAATTTTACAGAAATTTTATAGTTTTTTGTTATTATTTTAGATATCATTATAATATCTAATATCTAATACTATTAATTATGAGTTTAACCTTATTTTACATGATTTCCAAAGCATCAGTAAATACAGGTGAGCGACACAGGCTCTTGAGAGCCTCTAGTTAGTGTTTTGCCTCTTATCTTGAAAACTTTTGTAAATAGATAGCCACTTTAAATAAGTGCTAAAATGATCAGTAATAAAAGATCTTCAGATAAGTCATATTTTGCAGAAATGGTTAGTAGACTCTATATAGGAATGATTGCCCTTAAATGACAATTTTTTTAACCCTTTTTGTGTTTTGAGCAAAAACTAAAGAAGATAGGGAGAAACTATTAACAGATAAAATGATCAGCAATTCAAGATCAACAAATACAGATTTTTGTTCTGAATTCTATGCTAGTCCACAATGTTGGAGATGTTGAAGATGCACATAGACCTAGGTGAGCAACAGGCTCTTTAGCATCTGTTGCGGGGAGGAGGTAGTAAAATGGTAGCTTTTATGATATTTTCTTAGAGATTTCCTGGCAGCATTCTCAATCATTCTATAAGAGAATTGGAAATTTGTTATATTTACTTTATATTTAGACAGAACAGTAGTTATATCTCAGGATGAAGAATATACATTCAGAGATATAAATATGATGGCAGAAGATGTTCCAATTAGATCGTTCTTCCCAGAATCTTGGATGTTTGAAGAAAGTTCATTGGAGTAAGTTAGAGAATATAGATAAGATACTATAAACCAAACATTTTGGTTTGTGTATTTATTGTAATATGAATAAAGGGTGGTGGTGGAAGATGTCAATGACACATTAAGATGTCAACACACAGAAATGGTATGTGACATCTGGACAATACATTCAAACAAATGACGTTCTACTATGATTGTCTGGATGGGGGGGGGGGGAGGGGGGGGGGGGGGGGGGTGGGGGGTGGCCTTTATTTCTGTATTCTTTAATTATTTATGCCATTTTTAGCTCACCAGGGCCCAAAGGGCCCCATGTGAGCTTATGCCATCACTTGGCGTCTGTCGTCGTCCGTCGTCTGTTGTCGTAAACTATTTCAAAAATCTTCTCCTCTGAAACTACTGGGCCAAATACCTTCAAACTTTAACTAAATGTTCCTTAGGGTATCTTGTTTATAAATTGTATCCAAAGTTTGTATCCATCAACAAACATGGCCGCCATGGCTAAAAATAGAACATAGGGGTCAAATGCAGTTTTTGGCTTATATCTCAAAAACTTAAGCTTTTAGAGCAAATCTGACATGGGGTAAAATTGTTCAATTGGTCAAGATCTATCAGCTGTGTAATTTTCAGACGAATCGAACAACCCATTGTTGGGTTGCTGCCACCGAATTGGTAGTTTTAACAAAATTTTGCAGTTTTTTGTTATTATTTTGAATATTATTATAGATATATATAAACTGTAAGCAGCAATAATGTTCAGCAAAGTAAGATCTACAAAAAAGTTAATATGACCATAATTGTCAATTGACCCCCTTAAGGAGTTATTAACCTTTAAAGACAATTTATACTTTGTTGAGCGTTCAGAACCATAGTTAACCTATACCCATGAAATACAAAGAAAATTGTTATCCCACAAATAATGATTAATCCACCGTTTGTAGAAATTATGAAGCATTTGTAATTAATAACAATTAAGGATTTAGTTAGGTGAAATTAAAAAATCTAGAATTTAAAATTGATACCATAAGTCAAAAGAGCATTAGTTAAGGAACAAAATAAGCTAAAAATAATGATAGGTTATTGAACTCCTTTTCGAGATATTTGATTTTTAAAAAATGGCGGAAAAAGGCTGACTCGGACTTTTACCTTATATTTAGCATTGGCATTTTTTGGGTCTCAACTCTTAAGAAAAAGAATCTAGAATCTGCTTAAATTTTGGTAATGACCCTTTTATGAGCTATTGAAGTCTTAAATGAAAAGAAAAGTGAGTGATATGGGGAAGAATATTTTATCTTGTATTATTGGATTAAACCCTGGAGGAGTCCGAACATCTGACAAAAATTCCTGAACCTGACCTGACTACATCCTTAACACAGATTTCTTGTATATATATATGTATATATTACAAATCCAGAAAATAAAGAACTGACTGAAATGCAAAATCACCACTCCTTTTATAATATGCACGTTGATTTTCAGTAATACATGCATTCAATTAATCTATCAGTAATACAAATAATAACACAAAGGTTATAATCATATTGGTTTGAATTTCAGTGCGAGTGGTGCTTTAATCAGATCTGTTATTATGCCAGATTCTACTACAACTCACGTTCTGCAAGCTGTCAGTCTGTCCCCTCTTTATGGCATGTGTGTTGCACAATCTGTTGATGTTATTAGTACCAAGGATTTCTTTGTTGACCTTGACCTTCCTTACAGTGTTGTCAGAATGGAACAAACAGAAATTAGAGCTACACTTCACAACTATAGATCTAGAAAACTACCGGTATGTACCAATCGTCTTTGATTTTGAATTCTTGTTTTCAAATTTTAGTTTTTCCTTCTGTTAAACATTTTAAAGACTATTTTAATATTAATGCTCACTTTAGTTGAAAAAAGTATGCTTGTTGACAAGAAACCTATATATGCTGTCCAAAAAAAATCTTTCATGAGCATATAGTTGTCACTTTGTCAATCTGTCAGTCTATGTGTCTGAAACAAATGCTTTCTGGATGGTAACTAAAGCTTCGGTTGGTTTATTGGAACCAAACTTATGAAAAACATAGGGAAGGAAATAGGACTATTGATCTAGGTGTTCAAAGTGAAAGCTGGTCACTGTTACAAAAAAAAAGTTTTTTTTTTGAAAAATGGCTTCCAGATGGTTAGTTTTAAATGAAAACTTTTATTGATGGAATATATAAGGCTTATTAGGATATTGATTTTAAATCTTCTTTTTTCAAAATTGAATTTTTGAAGGAAACATATTATTCTTATTTTTCAGTGTCATGTACGTCTGCAAAACACAGAGGGTGTGTGTTCTACAGAGCAGGATACTATTCGTATTGAGATAGAGCCTAACAGTGTTCAGCTTGTCAGATTTCCTATAGTGCCTATGAGAGCTGGAGAATTTATCATTGATGTCATAGTTCTATGTTATAATGTAGGAGACAGAGTAAAGAAAACTTTAAGAGTTGTGGTATGTAAAATGAGGATCTACTTCCTTATGTGTCTGTACCAAGTCAGGAAGGAGCCTGTAAAAAGTAAAATAACATAAAAACAGAACTCCAAGGAAAATTCAAAACGGAAAGTCCTTTATCAAATGGCAAAATCAAAAGCTCAAACACATCAAATGAATGGAAAACAACTGTCATATTCCTGACTTGATACAGTCATTTCCTTATGTAGAAAATGGTGGATTAAACCTGGTTTTAAAGCTAGCTAAACCTCTCACTTGTGTGACAGTCATATAGAATTCCATTATATTGACAACAATGTGTGAGCAAAACAAACAGATATATTAGGTAAAAATTACAAATTTGGGGTACAGCAGTCAACATCGTGTTATAATCTTAAACACTATAAAAACAAATAACACTTTCAACAAAGAAAAACAAAATGGCTTATAGACACTCTATAGACAAAGTACATAAGCAAATATGAAAGAAGAGTAATTTTGTGGTTGTTGCTTCAGGTCTCATATTTGTTTTTTTAATGCCCCACCTAGGGCATTATGTTTTTCGGTCTGTGCGTCCGTTTGTCCGTTCTTCTGTCCGTCCGTTTGTCCGTCTGTCCCGCTTCAGGTTAAAGTTTTTAGTCACTTCAGGTTTAAGTTTTTGGTCGCTTCAGGTTAAAGTTTTTGGTCAAGGTAGTTTTTGATGAAGTTGAATTGTCATAAATTATGCTTTTAGTTTTCTCGTTTGAATTGTTTCACATTTTTCGAATTGCTTTTATCTTTGTCATTTAAAAGTGGATATCTGTCTCATTGGCAATCATAACACATCTCCTTAATTATATAGAAATATAGTAAGTAGGGAATGGTGTCCTATGAACACAGAGTCTTGTTTTAATTCTACATACTTTTTATTTATTATTTTATTTTAGAATGAAGGAAGAGAAGAAAAGAAAACAGTATCATTTTGGCTTGACCCTAAAGGTCAAAGGAAACACTATCATGATGAATCAGATCTTACTGTTCAAGGTTTAATTAATTTGGTTTATTCATAAGCTTCATTATTTATTTACATATGACTATAAAAATTCTCTTTTCTCATTGACTAAAAACGAAGAGAATCTTCTTTGATAAGACGGTATATTACCTAAAACACGAGAGGTTAATATAAGATTTGGAACAGCTAATGTGTACCTATAAATATTTATGCCCCTGCTACCCTTGTCCGTCCGTACGTCCCAAAGTTGGTTTCCGTTCTCTAACTTAAGTTTGCCTCAACCAAATGTTATGAAACTGATACACAATGCTAATTACCACAAAAACACAGATTAAGTTTGAATTTTGGTGTCGTCACTTTAACCGTTCTAGAGTTATGCCCCTTTACAAATGGAAAAATTGCTGAATTTTTCATTTCTGTTCTCTAACTTAAGTTAGCCTCAACCAAATGTTATGAAACTTATACACAACGCTTATTACTACAAAATACAGATCAAGTTTGATTTTTTCCCCTAATAATGCCAATAACGTAAGCTTATTACGTCATGCAAATTCTCATTTTTCTTCTTCTTTTTTATGTTATTTTATTTTATATAAATCTTACTGAATATTTCAAGTTATAAAAGCTTAGCAACTGCTAAAGCAGATCATGTATTTAGTATAAAAGGAGCTGTTAAATATCTTGAGCAAATACTAGAAATTAGAGATGGATAAAAAAGTAATACAGTTAACTCTCGTTGTCTCGAACTTGGTTGACTCGAATTTTCAGATGAGTCGAAGTTTTCTCGTGGTCCCGAACTTTGTTCCATATAAATATATGTATTTCGACTCCTGATGAGTCGAAATTGGATGAGTCGAAATTTCGGTTGAGTCGAACTAAATTTACGGTCCCAAGGTTAACAAAAGCATTCAAAATTCATTATTTATCTCGAACTAATACACATATGTCAAAACATGACCTCTGGGATTTAAATGGATTGAAGAGTTAATCTGACAATACACGTGTTATTAAATTTCCGGTTACTGACCAAGGTATTGATTTATGACATTCTATTTCCACTAGTGTTTACCTAAGATTATCTTTTATCACCATGATAAATAATTAGTGTTAAAGTTTATGAAATTTTTTTTTAAATGTTTACAAAAAAATTAATTAGATTAATCGTGATTTACTCTGATGAGCTTGGATGTGTATAAAGTGGGGATTAAGACTTCTGTTGGTGATCACATAAAAACTACTCAATCGGCGTCTTTTATCTTTTTGTATTTTTTCTTTAAAAGAAAGATTGAGATAACAGAAAATAAAAATAAATCTAAATTTCTAAAATCTCTTGTATCCCAGAATAAACAATTTTGTCAAATTTAAATGACTTAAATAACGCTAAGATCGATTGGAAATTACTCTCTCGGATAAAAGCCACAGGAAAAAATTGTAACTGTTCAAAGAAATAATTAAATAAGTGAAAACAATGTTATAATAATGAAAGACCATAACATACAAATCCATCGATATGAGACCAGAATATCGATCCCCTTCTCATATTAATCCGGATTTATTTTAGCTTTACCAAGGTAAGCAAGAGTTGTGTCCCTTGGTCTGTCAAACTTCCGGTTTTCGTTTGAGTCGAACTACGGGTATCTCGAAATATTTCTCTGGTCCGGCTGACTTCGAGATAACGAGAGTCGACTGTATAATAAAACATATGTTGACTTTTGATATCAGTTGATACTATATAAATAACACATAGCTGAGAGGTTGATAGAGCAGATTGTTACCCTGAGAAAACATTATCAACTGAGGCGAAGCCAAGGTTGACAATGTCTTTTTGAGGGATAACAATCTGCTCTATCACCCTCTCAGATATGTGTTATTTAATTTATTATACTGAATGTTCTGTTATTACTGTCTATTAAATTTTAAATTCCAAGTAATAAACTATGACGTCTTGTGCATAACAATCATCCGTATCTATTAAAGAGCAAACTTGAGCAAGCGTCTCCGTGAAGGGTAATAGAGTATTTGCCATGGGATAGAGTAAATTGTCTCCCTCGTATTAACCAATTAAAATCTGGCATTTTGACATGAAGTATAATAACATGATTTATCAACCTCATGAAAAGACAATAATAGTATAATGTACATGTGTTATTGTTGGTATACTTTGTTAAAGTTTCTGTAGTGGTATTTTACATCTAATATATCGACATAGATTTGAGTTCTACTGGGTATCATACAAATCTGTACTCCATGGACCCAAGGTGACTTTTAATTATGATATCTATTTCTTTAACAAATAACATTCAGTATAAATTTATTATCTCACCTCAATTTAAACAATAAAATGATGCATTGGCATATCTCATTTTTTCATGGGTTTATTTATCAAAGTTACACTCTTGTTATTTAATTTGAATAGTAATATTAAGCTTGCCAAAGGTTCTTGATTATTTTATTGGTATTAAATACAGTAAAACCTGTATTAACCGGCCGGCTATGGGACTTTGAAAAAGGGCCATTTTGGACAGTGGGTAGGTTTATTCAGGTTTTCGTTTTGACAGGAAGTTATTGACTTGTGACGTCAGATCTTTTGCATGTAAAAGTTCTGACTTATTGTAAATTGTACACTTTTAAATACAAATACTGTAATATAAATATATTTTTTAATGTCAGAATTTGTGTTAAAATATTGTGGCATGGACATTAAAAGTCAGTTCCCTGCCTTTTCACCATTAAACTTTACACAGTCGTTGGGTTGAGTCTTCGTATTCATTGGCTTTAGAAATTTCAGAAATTGGTTGTTCCACTGAAATTAAAATAAAAAAAATTTTAACTACTTTTTACATATCCTTATAAATAAGATGTGGTTTGAGTGCCAAAGAGACAACTCTCCATCCAAGTCAAATGTCAAATTGACCTTGGTATCACCAGTCTCCAACTTGTCAGTTTTAGTTTCACTTTGAGTTCATTGTTTTAATTTACATCAGAATCCTAGCGTTGTTTGAATTGTTCAATGAGAGTTTCGTTTTACTTCCATCGTTCATTTCCTACGTTGATAAAGCCAATTAAAAAGCAATAATTTTATCAAACAAACTTTCATCATGATCGAAACATTGTCGTTCAAGGTACGATACCCATAAACTCAAAAATGGAATGTTGTCATCTTGGTCTTCTTCATTATCAGGGTCATTGGTTTCGGGGTTCACAACAGGGAACCCAGCATTTCGAAAAACACAATGTAAATTTCTTACTCTGCAATTTGAAAAATTTATCAAAGTAACAACAAAGTTTTATCTGAGATATGTTCGGCGTTTGTTTTAATTAAAACTGAATAGTGTTTCAATGATAAAGCTCCCTACTGTAAGTTCACGGTTTAACACCTTGCTAATTGATTATCCTAAAAAAAGATCCTGTATGAACAATTATGTTTTGATTGCATATCGATCACTGTTATGATGTTAAATTATTAAAAACAAACCGGTTTTGACATGTAATAGTTAATGTAATTAAGAATATTAGGACTGCATAATTAGACTGGAATTCGAAATACACAGGGTCCGGTTTACAGGGGGTATTTTTACAATGACTTTGAAGGGAAAAAATTGGACTTCAATCTTCAGCTGGAATTGACAGGTTATTCAGGGTCCGGTTTACCCAGGTTTGACTGTAACTCAATAATATCAAGTGAAATACAATTTTCACTAGTTATGAAACCCATAAATTTTGATTTGAACTTAACATTTTAGTCTTTATGAAAAAAAATAATTTCATCTAATAGTCAGTGAAATTATGCCTTTATAAATTAAACTTTAAATAGATGTACTTTCGATAAACATTTTGTATAATACAATGTATATGATAGTTATTGTTTTTTTTTGCAGTATCACACCCTTTCCACCATCTTGATACACAGGTTACAACAGTAGACCTTACCTTGCCAGAAGAAGCTATCCCAGGCACAGGACAGTGTAAAGTGTCAGCCATAGGTTTGTTTTTTTTGTTCATAATAAGGAAAAGTCAATCTCATAATGTTGTTTTCAATATTAAATGCTATCAAAATTAAAATGTTAGTTTTTATTTTTTTCAAAACCTATTCTGTCACAATGTTTCATTAATAAAAACATCACAACAATTTTCTGAATTTACAGTTGTTGTTTCCCTGTCACATACTATCATATTCACAAACATTTTAAAAATTTTCTTGGTTATTTCACTGATTTTGCAGGTAACATTATGGATGCCGCCGTACAGACTGTATTAGGAGGTGTAGGGACACTGCTGGACAATATACCCCATGGATGTGGAGAACAGACCATGATCCTGATGGCACCTCTAGTCTATGCTATGAGATATCTTCATGGTACCACTGGATTGACACCACAAGCTGAGAACAGAGGCAAATTCTTCATGAAAGTAGGTAAGATTTTCACTTTCATTTTTGTTTCACCTTTATATGTTTTTTAACATTTATTATACAGTACATGACCATAAGTATTTGTTTTCAACAAATTTGCTATATATTTTGTATAATTAATTAAATAAAAAAAAGTAGATATCATTTACAATTGCAATTTTTCAAACAAGGTGTTGTGAAAGATGTAGACCTGTTTTAAGTGAATGATTTTGTCTTGAGTTTGCATTTTTAACTGGATTTTCGAAGGAAAATCAGATATTGATTTTGGGATGTAGGGCAGGTGGCTGCCAAACAGTGTTCATTAACATGCAAACACTTTGACGAAATTTTTTCAAATTTAGATATGTTGTTTTCTGTGACTAAATGAAGGTCAAGTTCCATTTTCACGATTTTAGCTGTTCTCGTTGTTGAGTTGTAGACCTTTCAGTAGCCAAAAATGATACTTATTATATTCTCCTGATGTAAACAGACATTATTATCGTTTACAATTTAATTTAGTAAAAATATATATCAAATTTCTAGATAAAAAAATCATGTGTTTACATCATCAGAAAATAAAGCAATATAAACAAAATTGAGCTGTGTCTACCCAACCCAAATGTCGTTTTAAATGAAATATTTTGAAAAGTCGCAAGTGAGGAATAATTTTTTCCATGTGCTGAAAGACCAAATCTTTAAGGGATTCAACTTCTTGAACAAATCTGTTGAAAGGGTTTTAGCTTTTCCTATTAGTTTATCAGAATGAAAAAGAAATTTGAAGGTATATTGAGTTTACCAAAACATATTTATTTCATAATAATCACAGCTAATTTTATAGTTCAAAATTTTGGTCAATTTTGACCATAGTTCATAGCTGCAGCTACTTCTTTTGCATTTGAATACTTTTGCAAATTTTTGTTGTTACAGTATACATGCAAAAGAGCTGTAGTTTGAATTGAAAGCTAAATAGATTTTTTTTGTAGAAAATGTAAAAACAAAGTAAATATTCAGATAATGATAGAATAACAGTATATTGGACTTTTTTTTAAATACAGGGTACCAGAGAGAGTTGGCTTTCAGGAAACAAGATGGTTCTTTTTCTGTTTGGCAACACAGACCTTCAAGTACATGGTAAGAACATTTTAAATTACCTGTTTGATTCTTAGACCCCGTTCACACTTGGACATTTAGATCGATTTAAACTAGATTAGTTCACTTAAGTTCGATTTAAGCTGAATGTGAATGCATTGAATCGATCTTTAATCGGTCTAAACTAAAACACCAAATGAGGAAGCTTAGTTTGAATCGATCTAAAGTGAACCAATTGAACGTTAAATGTGAATGCAGAGATCGATCTTAACTAGTACGATTGAATTGAAAATAATGTGTGCGCATGAATGGCGGCAAAATTACAGGTGCAATTTATTACAAAATAAATGACCAACATGAAAGGGCTGAAAATTATCGAAAACTATACCAACAGTGGCAACAACATTAGAACTTGTAATTCAAGTGAAACAATGAATTCATCCATTTTTTGCCTCGCCTTGACGGAGTCAAAAAGCAGGACATAGATAGGTATGCTGTGTCGTCGGCAGTGTCAACAATGTATTAGTTTGTGTCTAGTTTATAGTGAACCACTAGTGGTAGGTCAATGATGTTTGGTATGCAGTTGTATTAGCATTGGCACATCTCATTTCCATGGAGATTATTTGGCCCCACCACTCATCATTGGCTTTGAAACTTTTACATAGTTTACAAGTTAATGTTTGTGTTTAGGTTAGTCAATGGTATTTGGTATGCAGTTGTATTAGCATTGGCACATCTCTTTACCATGGAGATTGTTTAGCCATGTGCCTTCAGTCATGGTTCATTAACTTTGAATATTTGCATAACTTACATGTTAAAGTATTGCTATTTTAATTTCAACATTTGCATTATCAAAATTACAAAAAGGCAAGACATATCTCTGTGTTAACAGTTTATTTTGTAGAAGCATGTGTATCAACACATTAATTTGATTAGATATTTCTATTTATACACAGTGTTTACAATTTCATGGGTAACTAGGTCATATTGATTGCATTTTTATTCGACTGCAAAAATTTTTTGCAGTCGTATATTGGTATGACGTTGGCGTCGTCGTAGTCATCGTCGTTTGAAGACACATTGGTTTTTGCACAATAACTTTTGTTTAAGTGAATGGATCTCTATGAAATTTTACCATAAGGTTCAATACCACAAAAGGAAGGTTGGGATTGATTTTGGGGGTTATGGTACCAACAGTTATTGAATTAGGGGCCAAAAATAAGTATTTTTGTAACTTCCAGACAATAACTTGTGTTTAAGTGTATGGATCTCTGTGAAATTATACCACAAGTTTCCATACCACAAAGGGATGGTTAGGATTGGCTTTGGGGGTTATGGCTCAAACCGTTTAGGAATTAGGGGCAAAAAAGGGGGAAAAACAAGGGTGTCCTGGTTAATGGACAATTTAAAAGCAGTGTAAGGGAGGTAATCTAAAAACAAAATTGTACAATGTGTACAATGTTGGATTACCTCCCTTGTGATCATGACCATATCTTGAGGGAAAGATTTTTTTTTTTGAAAAAGGGGGGGGGGGGGGGGGGGGGGCAATTTTTTCTCATTTCAGATTTCAGAAATTAAACAAAATTTCTTCACATATTTTTTTTTTTGCAAAAAAAAGGTGGGGGGGTCAATACGAACAACAGCATAGTGTTTTGCACAAAAGCAAAAAAAGATGGGTTAATTTTTATTTATTTTTTGGGTGGAGGGGGAGGGGGGGTCAATTCGCACAGGCACAGTGTATTGCACAAAAGCAAAAAATTGAATATAAATTCAAATCATATAACCAATTCTAAGTTCTTTGACTCCAGTTATTCTGTGTCTTAAACCTATTATGTGTAAAATATTTAATTACAATCCAAATTCAGACCTGTATCAAGCGCGAATATTGTGTCCATTTTTGCCCCAACTGTTCAGGGTTTGACCTCCGCGGTCGTATCCAGCTGTGCCCAGCGAAGCAATTTATTAATTGTGGTGTGAATGCAGTGGATCAGATTAGAATGATAGAGATCGTTAGGATTAAAGATAGTGTAAATGCTAACTGGTTTTTTTAATTAGATTGATAAAAAATGCTAGTGTGAACGGTGTCATAGATGATCTAACATTTGTGAGAATTAGTTGCCAGTATATAGGAAAACACATTAATTTTGTTCATCATAATTTTCCAACTGTCAATGGAAAAAAACCTTTTTATGTAATCAGGTAATTGTGTCGCCATATTTTGTCCAGCTGTAGCTAGCAAAACATAGGATCACTTCTGACCTGTTGCGTTGTCATCATTGGTGTTGTTGTCCAAATCATACATTATCAGTTCTCCTTAAAAAATGGTAGGACAAACTTCATCCAAACTTGCAAAGGAAATTGTTCATATACTTATATTATTTTTTATCTACATTATTTTAGGGCTTTCCAATACCAAAATATAGACTTAGCAAATTCTATTTTTATCAGTTGTTAATCTTCAACTTCTTGAAAAGCAACTCAACAGAATATATCCAAACTTTCACATATTCTTCTACAGGTTGCAATTCTGTAAATAAAGACAATGCAATTTCCCATAGGAACTCCCTTTGCGGCTGAAACTGTGACACTTTTACTATGAAGTTTCGTGAAAAAAAATATCCCAGAACGGAAAGTTTATATGAACCACTATTTTATTCAAAGGTCAAAATATAGGGCTGTGCGGCATATTTTCAACATTTATATGCCCTGAACTTCTAAGAGTTAAAACTTGTACTAAAGTTCTATACTACCCTTACCTCCATATTTGGACCTCCTAAGAATTAAAATTTAGGCACTACCATGTTTTTCTATACTGGTTACATTCCCAAGTGATGTCTCTATGAGATGAAACACAGAGATCATAAATGGGAACCAGTACGTTAACAAATTAACATATCTATGAATATTATATATCTCCCCAAAAGAGGCGTGGTTTGAGAAACAGCTGTATTTACAAAGTGCAACCTACAGGGCATGCAATTGAAAACCTGATTATTCAATAAGAGTTATTTTTTGGGTTTCCCATGGGAAAACATGTACATATCTGCTTATATATAAATTCAGATGACAACAATCATTACATATGGTATTATTTTGCAGGTTAACAGCTTTTGTATTGAAAGTGTTTTGTCAAGCTAAAACCTACATTGATATAGACCAGAATATTATCTGTACAGGGATGCAATGGCTCTTTACAAAACAAAACGCAAATGGATCATTTACTGAATCATCTCCAGTTTATCACAAAGAAATAATGGTAAGTTGTTTCTGTTTGGAATAAGATATGAATAATTTCTGTATTTCCTTTATTAAAAGAAGGGCTGTGGTGGCCAAGTGGTTTAAGTTGTTCATCTACTGTATCACTGGCCTGTCAACACTGAGGTATTGAGTTCGAAAACACATGTGGCAGTTTTGTTTGACTCCAATTTTAATTGACTATGGTTGTCAGTTTTCCTGTTATCACCTGACACTCTGGCTTCCTCCACCAATAAAAACTGATCGCCATGATTTAGCCAATAGGGCTGAAAATGATGTTAAATACCAACAATCAATCTTTATTAAAAGAGTTTTGAAGAAAACTTGTAAATATTTTTGATATCTGGAAATTTGTTATTCATACTTAGTCAGACAGTAGTTTTATTGTTGAGCCTGCGACTTTTGTTGCAGAAAGCTCGACTTAGGGATAGTGATCTGGTGGCAGCAGTGGCGGCGGCTGAAGCGGCGTTTACTAACTACTTAAAAGCTTAATATTCCAGAAGGTAGAAGAACTGGATGCTTAATACTTTGTATATAGATGCCTTATGTTATGAAGTTTCTGTCTGTCATATGTCCTTTGCCCTTGACCTCATTTTCATGGTTCAGTGACTACTTGAAAAAAAAGTTTATTAGTTTTTTTATAATGTTAATTTCTCTCTTATTTTGAGTAATTGGATAACTATATTTGGTATGTGCATACCTTGCACAGTCCTCATGCCTGTCCGACAGTTTTCACTTGGCCTCGACCTCATTTCATGGATCAGTGAACAAGGTTACGTTTTCGTGGTCAAGTTTATATCTCAGATACTATAAGCAATAGGTCTACTATATTTGGTGTATAGAATGATTGTCCAGCTGGCAGGTGTCATTTCTCCTTGACTTCTTTTTCATGGTTCAGTGGTTAAAGTTAAGTTTTTGTGATTTGGTCTATTTTTCTAATACTGTATGCAATTGGTCAGCTATATTTGGTGTATGGAAATATTTTATGATGTACATGTCAGTCTGGCAGGTTTTATTTGACCGTGACTTCATTTTAACAGTTCATTGCTCAATGTTAAGTTTTTGTGGTTTGTTCTGTTTTTCTTAAACTATAAGCAATAGGTCAACTATGTTTGGTGTATGGAATGATTGTAATGTTTATATGTCTGTCTGGCAGGTATCATCTGACCTTGACCTCATTTTCATGGTTCATTGTTCAATGATAAGTTTTCGTGATTAAGTTTGTTTCTTAGATACTATATTTAATACATCAACTATATTTGATCCGTGGAATAATTGTAATTTGTACATGTCTGTCTGGCAGTGTTCATCCGACCTTGACCTCATATTCATGGTTCATTGGTCAAAATTTTTATGGTTTGGTCTGTTTCTTGTATACTATAAGCAATACGTCAACTATATTCAATGTATGGAATGATTGTAAGGTGTACATGTATTTCTGGCTTGGTTTTTCTGACCTTGACCTAATTTTCTAGGATCATGATAAGTTAATGTGATACTTGTACTAAAACTTTATATTTAGGGCTATCAACATGAAATCAATGGTAGTAAAGCAGGCGAGTCATTTCAGCGTGTGCACTCTTGTTTGTTAAGAAAAAATTTCTTTTTAAAGTATTTTGATTAACCTAGTGGACATCAAAGATGTCAATCAAGAATATTAGATTCATCAAAGTTTAACATAATACAAAGGTTTGTTCAAAAATTGGTAACAGTTGGCATTTGACCTTTTATCAATCTTTTCAGGGTGGTATAAATGGAGAGACATCCCTAACAGCTTTTGTATTGATATCTCTGTTGGAATGTGATTGTAGATTACAGGTGAGTCAAAGGAATGTGATTTTAGATTACAGGTGTGCTCCAAACTTGAAGTGATCCGCAGATGGTATGATGAAAATAAACCTTGCTTCAAACTAAAAAAGTCTGAACTTTCAACTGTCCTTAACCAACAATTGTCTGTAAAATGTGCTAGGGAAGGAGGTAGGAAAAAGAACATTTTTTGGCCTAAGATAACTGAAGGTTGGTTGCTGAAACTGTTCTTTCTTTAAGGTGGTACCAAACACTTTGAATAAAATTGATTTGGCTCGTTTAATTTTCATAAAATTTTGAAAAAATATTTACTTTGACCCTTTGACAAAAATATAAAAATTTCAAAAAACCTTGAACCACACACTTTATTAGAAAAATTTCATTGGATATATAGCAGTTTGACAAACACTAATTTTGATCATTTAGAAGCTTAATACTTCCTTCACATTAGAATGTGATTAAAACGTTCAGCTGATTTTTACAGAGTTATCTCCCTGTAGTGTTATGTACTACCTAACTGTTCTGACTGAGATATATGTCAACCATTCAACACAACAAAAACTAAAGGACATTGAGAGGTCATCATACAGTCTTCAAAATAGATTTGTGTATATATAAACTCAATGTTCAAAATCTAAAAAAAGTTGTAAGTGAAATAAACAGAGAGTAATATCCAAGATCAGCCATCAGCTCAAAATTGTCTAAATCACAAAAAAATACAAATGTTTAAATATGACACATAACAGAGAAAATTTGCAGAACTTCTGCTACTATTCCCCCCCCCCCCCCCCCCCCCCCCATCTGATTAGAAGCAGTGGTTGTTGGTTGAAACTGTTAAATGATTTAGCTTTTGTTAAATATATTTCCTGTTTTTTTTTTCAGATTTTTTCACTTATTTATGTTCTGGTTTTTTGTTACAGGGAACGAGTGATAACATCAGAAGAGCTGTAGATTTTCTAGAAAACCAGTTTTTAAGTACCCACCATCCATATTCTCTGTCAATAGCAGCATATGCTTTAGCTTTAGCCAATAGTAATAGGAAGTTCAGGGTTAATACAAAACTAAAACGATATTCAAAGTTTGTTAATTTCCCTGGAGAGAGAAGAAAAGGTATACACTTAAATGATATGATCTTAATAACAGTGTACTTAAGAGAACTTTAGGTGCCGAAACAATACAAGATGTAAAATTTGTTTTTGCTCTTTTGATCAGCATTGCAAGAAGTCTACTATTGAAGAATTTTACAATTAGTATTGTGGCACTTATACAATTATGTTTCTTTAGAACTACTGATGCCTGTAAACAAGAGTCTATTTGTAAAAATGAATCTCTGATAGATGGTTTAAAACTTTATAAGTACTGTGAATTCCTTACTATTTGTGGGATAGCAATTTTCGTAAATTTCATGGGATTAGGTAAACCAAGTTTCTGATTAAAATTATACTTAAAAATATTTATTCTTCGCTTTAAAATATTTTTTTTTAGGTTACAGATATTGGCCAATAGAATTTTATGATTATCGTAATCAGACAGATATTCCTTATTGGTACAGAAAGAACCCCTCAGCAGTATCCATAGAAACAACAGCATATGCTCTGCTCACTCAGCTAGAACTAGATAAGATTATATACAGCCATAACATTGTTGAATGGTTGGTTGAACAACAGCAAGCTTCTGGAGCTTTTGTATCAACACAGGTTTGTTAAAAATGGTGCCATTTTAGATTTAAGCTTCAATTATGGACAGAAAACTCATGATAATTATTCAACTAGAGATTATCTTCTTTTCCTTTGAAATCTTTTACTATATTTTTATCAAACTATTTTTAGATATAGTGAAATTTAGAGCTTGCCATGCTGTTTGAGGAATTGTCTGTATTTAAGGGCTCTATGGTGATCTGTGTTAATAAACATGTGTTGGATTGCTGTCTTATTGACATTTACCTTTAATCTGAGTCCTTGTGGTTGGATGGAAATGTCACAAATGATCTGAAGTTGGGACCTGCCTGGTAATACCATTAGGTCCGCACATTTTACCAGAGTTATAAAGATAATTTTAATTCATTAGAGCATTTAAATGCATTTAATAAAAAAAAAAGAAATTTGATGTAGGAAAAAAGGAGTATCTGATAAGGACACATTTTTCCCCCGCCGTAGGCGACCAGGGCTTTAAGTGTTACCCATTATTGTCCATCTTTCCATGTTTTCGTCCTTCTGTCCGTCCCATTTTCGTTTGTTTGAAGCTTGAGTGGAGCATTTGTGTCCTCAGACACATTCTTCTTGGTATTTTGTCCTTTAATCATATATAATTCTTTATCCCCTTCTCATAATTACAAAACAACTAAATGAATTGTTCTGAAATTTTCAGAGCTTTTTCATAATATAATGTCATGTCATATTTACAGGATACCATAGTAGGACTACAGGCCCTGTCCATGTATAATGTTAGAACATATGCAGAAGATGTGAACATGAGGTGTACTATAACTTCAGGACACAATAGCACATTTAGAGAACACCTCAATTTGCAGGAACGTGAATCTATGGTTGAGAAATCTGTTCATGATGTAAGTATAAAGTTACCACAAGAAGCCCACAATTTAAGAAACAAATGCATTTACATGAACTTAAATCTATGGTTGGGATATCTGTTCATGATGTAAGTATAAAGTTACCACAAGGAGCACACAATTAAGGAAACACCTGCATTTACATGAACTTAAATCTATGGTTGGGAAATCTGTTCATGATGTAAGTATAAAGTTACTACAAGGAGCCTTTAATTTAGGAAACACCTGCATTTACATGAACTTAATCTATGGTTGGGAAATCTGTGCATGATGTAAGTATAAAGTTACCACAAGGAGCACACAATTTTGGGAACACCTCCATTAAAAGGAACATAAATAGATTCTTAGGAAATTTGTACATGATGTTAGCATACCATTACCACAAAGAACACACAATTAAGGGAACACCTCCATTTAATGGAACGTAAATATATGTTGAGAAAATCTGTGCATGATGTAAGTTCTTAGTTGTGGCATTTTTAATTCATGTCATTGCTTCCTTCATAAAGGGTTTCAAAGTATGGTTTTACAGTCTATTACCAAATTCTAATATTTAAGATGAGCAATGAAAATTCACAGCTGCAATAAGTACTAGGGATTCATTTATTTTTTCGTGGATATTAATTTTCTTTGATTGTGAAAAAATTAAAATTTCCTGGATATTTGATTTTGTGGTTATACCAAAATCTCCATACAGACCTACAGAATATCTGTACTTCGTTGGACTTTTAAATTCGTTGTTTACCTATAACCATAAAATCCACAAAAATTGGTTTTCCATGTCATGAATAATAATGAATACTGTAAATTCAGAAATTATTGCAAGGTTTTTATTTATGCGAATAATGCGACTGGATGAGTATCGCAATAATAAGAACTCACATTCTGATATCTGATACATAAATCTGTATGCAAATTTTTCCTAAAATCTCAATTATTTATCTTGCATTATAGTCAATTCTTCAGAAATCGCAATAATAAATGCACGCAGTAATTTCAAAGTTTACAGTACATAGTATTGATATTCAATAGTTTTGATACTCATACCATTCTTTTTTGTCACAATACAGATCCCTGCCACTGGAAAATTACATGTGACAACACATGGAAGAGGTGTGGCTCGTATGGAGGTAGAATTCCGTTATAATGTCAATGACACAGAGAGAACTGGATGTAAATTCGACATCAATATAGAAATTGATGATATTGATGTAGACATACTACAGGAAAAACAGTCACAGAGGTGGGTGTAAATTTGCTCTCAGCATATCAAGGGGAGAGGAGGGGGACATCATGAAAGAAAAAACATACTTGCATGAAAGTTTCCATGAATCATATAAAGTGTGATAATGGATCTTTAACCTTTTTAGCACAGCGTTTTGATAGAACATGTTTCTCAAAAGTGCCATTTGTTTTGAATTCAGCTGGCCCAGGAACACAGTTATTTCTTAGTGCAATTCTTTTAAACAATAAATTCAAATTCAAAAAATAGCATCTGCTCTATCTCAAAAAGATTTTTACAGTGTAGTGTCATACTTTTGGGACAATTAAATTATATCAAAATTCTACCAGTGCATCATTAGAGAATATAGAAATTCTGTACATTATATTTAAGGAATAACAGTACTGTAGTTGAAGAGTTGCCACTGTCAATTGTTGATATGACGGTCGCAAATGCAGTTTTACTGGCGACGCGTTGTGGATACAGTAAAACGGAAATTTGCGACTGTCAAATCAAAATTGACGGTGGCAACTCTTCAACTACAGTACTGTTATTCCAATTCTAATGCATTACAAAAAGAAATAATACATTAGAGCTTTAAAAAATGTATAAACTTGACACAAAAAATTTCGCGAAACTTCATGAATAATTTTGGTGCAAAGACGTCATGGCTAAACGTGACGTCATACAAATGAAAACTTACAAACTGGAGGTTATTACGTTACTTCTACGATTCAAATTCGGTTAAAAATCACATTTAAACGGCAAATTCGAGGTAGGTGTTGTTTTATTTTCGATAATATTGTAGTAATCAAACATTTGTTAATCCAATCAATTCAAAATAGAGGGTCCCTCCTTAGTTACGCCTGGTCAACTGTGGATTTGACTGTAACTTTTAGCCAATGAAAAAAATTGTTACATAAAAAATGCATTAGAATATTATTTTACAGAGACCAACACTGCGATGTTTGTGGTAAATGTGAGGACATTGATTATGATGTGGTACTAGACAGATACAATGTCCCAGATCCTGACCCAAGAATCGGTTTCTCTAACCAGAATGTGAATCCACCTCCAGATCGTGTTCAAGGACCACGGCCACCCTTAGGTCCTAGTGGGCCTGACCTATTAAATGTTGATTTGTCTGGTGAAGTGGATATTGAAACATCAAGAGGGCGAAGTGGTAGAGGGCAGAGTGGCAGAGGGCGGAGTGGTAGAAGGAGAAGTAGTGGTAGAGGGAGAATCAGTGGTAGAAGGAACAACAGGAGAAGAACAGGCAGGTCTGCCCGTCGCCGTGGTGCCAGTAGGCAACAGAAGTGTATGGAAATTTGTGTTTCGTAAGTATCATTTTTCTGTACAATTATAAAAAAACATTGAAAATATTTTAGGTTTATCACGGTTACTAGATAGGTAAAAAAGACTCATAGATATTCTGAATATGAATCGAAGGAATTGTGAGGTGTACATCAATAAGTAAGAAATAAAACATTGACATACAGTTTCCATTAATTAATGTGTATTGATACCATATGTCAAGGTCTATCAAAATTGTCCTGTTATGAATAAATTTATTGGACTAAAAATCTGAAATTTTACAATTGTCTTGTAATGCAGAATAGCACTAAAATGAAATAAAGACAACCATCTCAGGTTCCCGTTTAGGAATTATTATATTTCTTTTTCAGATGTATTCAAAACAAGTCAAATTTGATAATTATAATCAGTATTGTTAGAACTGGAAAAGATTTCAATTATTTTGATATCAGTTTTGTAAATACACACAGTGCAATTTGCATAGCAATACATATATGTGCACATCAAGAGAAAGGATATAGGATGAATGTACATGAGACAACAGCCAATTAACTATTGAATATTATCCTCTTTGAGTTTTGGTTACCCTATGTACCTTCAAACATGGCTGCCACAATTACTCAAACAGAAAATTGGACGATTTTCTTTTTTTTTTTAAAACCTTGTGAAAGACCAATTGCTTAAATATACTTTTGTAAAATGAAACATTTGTTATTCTCCATCTGAAATAATTTTAATTTTGGTTGATGTCCCTATCAACCTTAAAACAATATTGCCATAACAAAATTATATCCGTACTCCATGTATACCTTACAACAAAATTATTTTTATTTACCTGTGTACGTTATTTTATTTGGCGGCATTTTGTCCAAATTTATGGTTGTCTTTCTTATATTGTTTTATATCTAACCCCCTTGTTTTATTAATTTTGTATTTACATTGTGTCATAGATCAAATTTATTCGTTCAGTGTATGATCACATGTTTTTGTTAATATGTCTTTTGATTGAGCTAAGCCATTTCAATTGATATTTTATAGTGTGTCTTTCTATGTTGTGATGTTACACTATTGTTTCAGGTAGGGTGAAGGTTGGCGCCTATTTAAACATTTAAACCCGCTGCATTTTTAACACCTGTCCTAAGTCAGGAACCTGATGTTCAGTGGTTGTCGTTTGTTAATGTGGTTCATAAGTGTTTCTCGTTTCTCGTTTTTTATATAGATTAGACATTTGGTTTTCCTGTTTGTATGGTTTTACACTAGTCATTTTTGGTGCCCTTTATAGCTTGCTGTTCGGTGTGAGCCAGGGCTCCATGTTGAAGGCCGTACTTTAATCTATAATGGTTTACTTTTACAAAATTGTGACTTGGATGGAGAGTTGTCTCATTGGCACTCATACCACATCTTCCTATATCTATTGTTGAGTTTTGATTTATTTTGATATTTTGAAAAAAATAATGGAAAGAAGCAATTACTAACTTTGATTAAATGATATAGTTATGATCCTCTCTCAGATTTATGATAAATCGCATGGTGTCCGATGGATTCTTTTTTTTGTTTAATTGGTATCATTTAGAATGTATAATCTATTTTAGGTACATAGGAAATGAAATTTTAGACATGCCAGTGATAGATGTTGGACTACCTACAGGATATGTTGTTGAAGAAGAGGACTTGAAAAAGGTATGGCTTCTTATTTATATATATCGGAATCTGAGGTATAAGGTATCCCTCTTATATGAGACTTTGTGATGACACCAGTTCATATCGTGTACAACGTTATTTTTAGTCCCCTACTGACGAAGTCGAAGGGGACTATAGGTTTGCACTCCGTCCGTCTATCCATCTGTCCGTCTGTCCGTCTGTCCATCCGTCAGTCCGGCAAATCAGCTTTCCACACTTTTTTTCTTCGTTCTTTAAGATATTGATTTGATATTTGGTATATAGTTTTATCATGACAAGTTATAGATCAAGTTCGAATTTTGTTCCGGTCTGATGATTTAGTCTAGTGTTATGGACCATAACTCTGGACCATATCTAATGTTAGAGTACTATGTTAAACCATATTTCTGTACAAAAGGAGATAACTCACTTTTTAAAAGACATTCTTTGTTAAAATATTTGAAGAATTTTTTGGCAGGTTTGTTTGTTATTTAATATAAACTTATTTTCTGAATGCTATATATATAAAAAAAATTATGAAGAGAAATCCTTTAATTAGATAATAATCTATTTTTATTAATGTATATATTTCAATACATTACATTGTGTAGATAAAAGTTGTTGACATTTTATAGATAAGTTACAAAATTAATCTATATTAGTTTGTGACAAATGAAAGAAAAAATATTTGGAACTATTAATTATATTTGATTATAATTTGAAAATAGATATACACTGTATTACATCATCTCTAATTTTAGAGAACTATTAATCATATCTAATGTTTTTTTCATCATGCTTATAAGATATTGATTGATAATTGGTATATAGTTTTATCATGACAAGTTATAGATCAAGTTCAAATTTTTGTTTCGGTCTAATAATTTTGTGCAGAGTTATGGTCCTTGGACTTGAAAAAATTCACTCATATAATCAGTTTTCCACACTGTTTTTAGTCATGCTTGAAGATATTGACATGATATTTACTTTTTGTTTACACCATGACAAGTTATAGCTCAAGTTAGCATTTTTTTCAAGTATAAAAAAATTTTACCTGGTAGGGGACTATGTATTGCCATGCAATACTCTCAGAATGCTTGTTTTTGGATCACTTGGTTGTAGAGGAGTGTGAAATTTACTGTTGTGTTCAATGAAAAGTTTAAATAATATTTCACCTCTGAAATTGACAGAAAATACGGGATAAATTTTAGATAGGAAGCTATCAATCATCATACAGCATCTTAAACAGTCATTTTTGACAGTTTAAAAAGAAGCAATAATTTGGATTCATTAATTTTTGTGGACGTTTGCGCTCTGTTTCCTAGGCTTTAATGTGGTTGAAATCGGGTTAATTTTGTAAAATTTCGCAAAAAACCTCGATTTTTGACCTATTTGGAGTGTAAAAATCAACACTTTAAAATAAAAATTTGATAAAGATAGTTGTATTTAACTTTCTCACATGTTTTTTTGTCAAGTCAATTCATTTATTATCTTGAAACATAGAAATTAATAATCGGGGCCAAATATAAAACTTACCAAACTTACTCCAGACCTTTAAATGGTTTTTCATTCATTCATTTCTGCCTGAATGAGGCTGAAATATTTGCACATGGATGTTAAGCAAGAAACAATCATTTTAACAACCTAAAATTGTGGTTTAAGACCCAAAAAATCCCATATCATTGAATGTTTTGAATATTTTTTTAGATAAGTTATTTCGATGTCTCATCATCAAAACAGAAATATTGGTGTATATATAAAAAGAAGATGTGGTATGATTGCCAATGAGACAACTCTCCACAAGAGACCAAATGACACAGAAGTTAACATGTCTTTTTGATGATATTATCAGCACGTTTTCTTTTCTTTTAACAGGTGACAGAAGAAGATTTCATCGACAGTTATGATGTGTCTAAGAGAGCTATAACATTTTACTTACAAAAGGTTGGAAATATGAATTATTTTATGACTAAACTATTGTTCTCTGATTTGGAGAAAGTACCCTTTTGGGCTGTCATCTGGAAACAATGACCTTTAATAATATGACCCCTGCTACAAAATTAAGGGGTACCTAGTTTGACCATCTACATGGTAATATGATTAAATACTAAAGTTTTAACCTGTCAATTTGAATAAAAAGAGATCCGCATGGGGACATCAATGAGACAAACCAAATGACATTGAAAAAAAGAAAGTTTAGATGGTCAAAATATTGTCTTCAACAAATAAAAATTGTTCATGCAACTGAATGTAATGCCAAGCTCTAAGTGACCCTGAGTCTAAGGAGTTGTGAATAAATTTTATAGAGACAGTTTGAAATCTGCAATTTTATACCTGTTTGTGAATATATATATAGATTTTACCACTGCATCAAATGTGATATTAGATTTTTCACTTGAGACAGTTAAATTTTAAAATTAACTCGCAAGGCTCACCGAGCGTTTTTAAATATTCAAAATTTAACTGTTGAGACAATAGAAATATCGTATTGCAAGAGAATTGGCAGTAAAATCTGTTTTTCTAATGATTTTTAGACAATATGCAGACAAACCTTATCCTTCTTTTCCAATGATTAGCAAAAAGATGTGTTATTTTTATGTAAAGTCATCAGACATGGTCGCCTTTTTTCATGACATCACAATTGGAAATTCAAAGGAAAGCAAGAAAATATGATGTCATAACTGAATTTTGACCAATGAAGAACTGAGATCAAATTAACCACACGTTGATTAAATAAAAATAATCAACAGGTCAGGACTAGGATAAATCGGCCAAGAATTAGAGAAATTAATTGCTCTTTTTTTTTTTTTGCAATAGATACCACAGGATGAAATATGTTTCAAGTTACGAATGATAATGGACTTTGAGGTAGAAAATCTTCAGTCAGCAAAAGTAGAAGTTTATGATTATTCAAAGAAAGGTAAATCATTTGTAAAGAATGTCGGTATTATTTTGTCTACTTTTTACTGTAAAAACAGAAATTTCAGTTGGGGTTTTCAACTGCGTTTACTATGTAGAATTTTGTTTTCCACAAATTAAATCCTAAATGAAACAATACTACTTTCTCAGACTGGAAACCATGGTTAGAAAATTGGTGCACAGTAGTACAAAGATAAGAAGATGTGGTATGATACTATAGGTCACCCAGTGTTTTCACTAGAAGTTTTAGGCATGGGGTGCCCCTGTGCATTAATTTTGGCCCCTATCCTTTGAAAGTTGAAATTCCCTATTACTCTATATAAGCCCCCATCTGTCAAAATTCATAACCTCTGTCATGATTATCCTTTCAGTCAATCCCCATCCTTCAAAAAAATTTCTTTCAACATAAGCAAAACCCATACCTCATAGCAAACTGCAAAAGGATTAGAAATGACAAATGTAAAATCAATACAAACGAGAAAACTAAATAAATTTTATATCCCACTAATTGATATTTAATAAAAATTACAAAACAAAGCAATAAAAACTACTTAAAAGGATAATTGGAAAACAGACCATACCAACCACAAACAACAACTAACAAACCAGCTCCTCTTAAAAATTGAAGTACAAACATAGGAAAACAAAAAAAACAAAAAACAATTGGACCAGATAGTCAGTTTGTTATTAAAAAAAAGTAATTTGATACTTGGCACTAAAATAAAAAGATTATTGTAATTAGCATAACATACGGTGGTACAAAACACTACAGGGAGATAACTCTGTAAAAATCAGCTGAACATTTTAATCACGTTCTATTGTTAAGGAAATATTAAGCTTCTCAATGATCAAAATTAGTGTTGTCAAACTGCTATATATCCAATGAAATTTTTCTGATAAAGTGTGTGGATCAAGTTTTTTGAAATTTTTATATTTTTGTCAAAGGGTCAAAGTAAATATTTTGTCAGAATTTTATAAAAAAATAAAAGTGAGGCCAAATTAATTTTAGTCAAAGTTTTGGTACCACCTTAACAAAGTAGTATGCAATTTTGTGGTTTTCATATTTCATTCAACATGTTAATCAGAACAAAATGGTAAAACTTATTATTATTATTTAAAAAAATGTTGCATACAGTTTATATTTCATTTTCTGTCCATATAAAAGTTAAAATAGGACATACACTTAATTATGGTACCTAACATTTTGATGAGAAAATTTGTTTTCAGATGAGAGATGTGTGAAGTTTTATAGTCTACAGTACGAAGTTGCAGAATTGGATGTTTTCTGTAGTAAAGAGAATTGTCATTGTGTTGAAGGTAATTTAATTGTAGAATTGTACGTCTGTATTGTAAAAAAAAGATGCAAAAGATACGAACATTCAAAACTCATAAGTCAAAGAGAAACTGACAAAATCATGGCAAAAAAGAAAGATGAAGAAAAAGAAACAGCACTCCACAAAACAATACATATAAAACTAAAGACTTAGCAACATGAACACCACCAGTGATATCAGGTGCACAGGAAGGGTAAGCAGATACTGCTCCACTAGTGTAAGTTGGAGGTAGCATACCTAATATATACTGGGAAATTTTTTTTTTATTTTCAGAATAAATATTAGAAAATAAATAAAAGAAACCCAGAATAATGGTATAGTGACTACATGTACATATGTTAACCATGTTCAGTATCTTCTTTCAAACAAATAAAAATTGACAAAATTCATATCATGTCTTCTGAGAAAAACAGAGGGCCATTGATGCTTACAATATTGTGACCAAATTTATTCAGTTTGTTTCAGTGTGTTAAATATTATAGAAACACCATTAAAGAGAAGACCTCTAATGATAATCCTTCAGCTCTTTTCAAACAAAACTGTTATGAGTAAAGTCTAATTTTGATTATACTGAGATATATATATCAGACTCAAATATGATTTTAATCATAAGATTATTAAGATTATATAACATTGGCAACTGATTTCTATACCTTCTCTTTTTTTTAAAACTATGAGTATTATGAGGTACTTTCGTTATGAAAAATATTTGAAAATGATCTCTCTACATTTAGTTTTGAAAATCATTGATAAAAGTTTTATTATGAAAAAAGATGAATTATGCATGTGATATGAAAATATTGTCTTATAGGTGAATGTGCAGAAATTTGGGACAACAAACTGAAAGGTTCATTGATAGATGCTGCAGCAGTGTATGAAATGACTTGTCATGGATATGATTATGGTAAGTTAGAGGTTAAAGGCCAATGCTTCAGCAGTGTATAACATGACTTGTCAGGGATATGATTATGCAAAGTTAAAGGTAACAAAAAGGTCAATGTCTCAGTGGTGTATGACATGACATATGTCATGAATATGCATGGCTGATTCCAGGTGTTTTCAAATGGGTCCCTTGACTATCAAATTTGGGAATTTTTATCCCAATTGGGAATTTTTTTATGCATAAAATCTTAGACGAAATAACATTATTTCCTATAAAAACGGAAAATGTATTAAGTTTTACCTGTACACTGTTGTACGAAGTTGTAACATTTGGATAATCCTGGACGGGCTATTGATTTTGATATACATTTGATTACCAGATCACTTGACATTTAGTGGATTGAGACCAGGGAAGTTGTTACATGAAAATCATTGCACATGATGCACTATCTTTTGAAGGCATGCATCTTAGTTAGGTGTTACCTTTTACATATAAAGCAGCTAAGATATACCACTGAAAAAAATCACCCATTGGGTATTTTTTTTCAAGAACAGGTCATCTTTATAAATTTACCTTGATGTAAATGGATTTCAAATTGAAATGGATAACTGTTGAATTCAGCGGAAAAGTAATTACAAAAGTTTTAGTACTTAATTGATAAGATATTTTTTGGTGATGTTTGCTTGCTTTTAATATGTAGGAGGTTGCCATAGTTTTACTCTGGGACTATTATACTAATGTCCCAGTTTTACCTTAGGTGTAACCAAGGATTTGTTACTATACAAATCATTGGTGTAACTCTAAGACACATTTAAGCATTGAACCATTGTATTATAATATTATTTGGATCATCTTCACAACTTTTAAACAGTTCCATAATGTGTCGACATCCTATTTCATGAATAATCTATCAACATGTAATTTCAAAAAAAGTTCAGACAGTCAGACTTTTGTCTTGAGGAAATAGAGCCAGACAAAATATCAAATATAAAACGTTTCCATCATATTTATTATATAACTGGCTCTGCTGGGAGATCTGCTTTTACGAGATTGGCGCCCATTAAATTCATCAATGTGATATCAAAATTTAAATTTTGCTCTTTGCCAAGGTCTGCTTTTATGAGACCCATTTTGACCAAAAATCATCTTTTTTATTGACCTGCTTGGCGATCTGCTTTTACGATAGTCCAAATAATTATGACGTCTTGATAGGCTTTTTAATTGTTTTTGCTGTCGTAGTAAGGCATCACAGCAGAAAAATAAAATTGATCTTTCAAGACGTCATAATTATTTAGATTACTTTTACGAGATCAAATACTCCCATATCGTATTTTCGTCAATTGAAAATGAGGGGTCTTATTCCACTGCATGTTTACAACATGTTGAAATAATTGAGTCGTTGTTAATAAAATGCGATCGGTGACAGCATTCTTATACTGATTTTAAAACGCTTTGAAGACAAAATTAGAAAATTATAGTTGCCTAAAACAGCGACGAAAACATTTCAGGAAATATCGAATTTTATTTCTTTTCCTGAATTGGGAATTTATGTTTGCATAAATTTTTTTGGGGCCGCCAGCCAACTTTAGGGCCGCTTAGCGGCCCTAAACTATATAGTAGAATCATCCCTGATATGATTATGGTAAGATAAAGGAAAGTTCAGTGCTTTAGCAGAGTATGACATGAGTTGTCAGGGATATGATTATAGTAGGTTAAAGGTCAATCTTCAGCAGAGTATGGCATGACTTGTCAGGGATATAAGATTATGGTTAGTTAAAGGATAGCGTTCAATACTTTAGAATTGTATGACATGACTTGTGGGGATATGATTATGTGGTGTTAATGTGATTATATAATTTAGAAATTGTGCGAAAAATGGCCTGTATCACTATCACAATTTTCTGATTGATTGTGATAAAATAAATATGCATGGTTTATGTAAACAATACTGTAAATTCAGAAATTATTGCGTGCATTTATTATTGCAATCTTTCAAGAATGGACAAAAATGCGAGTTTTATTATTGCGATTTCGAAAAAAAATGCATACTGGTCTATATTTCAGTTATCAGAATGTGAGTTCTTATTATTGTGATACTCACCAAGTCACATTATTCGCATTAATAAAAACCTCACAATAATTTCTGAATTTACAGTATCACATTGAGTTCAAAAAGAATCTGCTGATTGAAAAATGGTATTATGGTAATTCTTCTTTGAAATAGAGAGCATGTGAAAAATTGCCTTAAAGTGTTCTTTTGATTTCAATATGTAGATGATCATAATTAATAAACCTTTTTTGGTCAGGTTGCATGGAGTCGTATCAAACTTATAATATGGTAAATGTCCAGTAAGAAGTGGGCAGGCAGACAGGATAAAAAAGCTTTTTAAAGGATATCTGTTTTTTGTAATCAACTCGTCCTGTACATATAATTATCTAAAACCTTCAAACTTTCTACATATGTTGAAGATGTGCATCTCATTTTGTTTACACATTTTTAGAATTTTTGCACACTTTTAAGATGGTGAACATTTTCAACTAGCTTTCAGACCTGCAAATATAGAGCACATGGAAGTATCAACTTAATAGTTTACCTATGAATCACCTTTCCATCCAATATATTTTCCTTAGGGCATATTGAATATTACAAGATAGTGTTATTACCTTTTACTTGGCCTTTCAAATTAAAAGCCATAATTATTGCAATCTAGTTATTTGTATCTTTTACCCATTTAACACATATTGAATTTCTAATTACAGTGTTAAGGATAAAAGTGAATGGAGCCAGGATTGCTGGGAATCACATTGTCATTTCTACTGTTATTCAATCAGTCATAAATACAGGTAAGGATCAAAATGAGTAGAGCCAGGATTGCTGGGAATCACATTGTCATTTCTACTGTTATTCAATCAGTCATAAATACAGGTAAGGATAAAAGTGAGTGGTGCCAGGATTGCTGGGAATCACATTGTCATTTCTACTGTTATTGAATCAGTCATAGATACAGGTAAGATGTAGTACTTATTACAATCTATATCTCTTTTTAATTGATCCTCCTTGATGGTCATTTTAGTAGCTTGCCTGTCTTGATTGGAGGAGGTCATGGACTGGAAATCTTATCAGGTCAAACTAAAGTATTTAGGGTATGTTCATACAATGTTTTTAACATGTTATTGTCCAGAATTAGCATGTAACAGTTGCCTCTAAAAAATTATGCATACATCCATCTGTATGCTCTATGTTAAGAATCACCCTATCAATCAATCATTTTCTCTATTCATTAAAAAGATGTTTTTTTTAAAGAAAATATGGTTGAAAAATGTTTTGAGAAAAATTATGAATCAAATTAAAAACCAATGGCTCAGAGAACAATTGAAGGTCTTTCCATAACAAATTCAGACTTGTTGATCATTTAAGTCCAGATGAACTTGAATACAGTTGAATAAAAAAAAAGATTTAAAAAAAAAAATTGCTGGTCAAATATCAAGGATTACAAATAAAAAGACCCAAGTCCTCTGATTATATCTTTAGGAAGTTGTCCTACTAAACAGATTCTTTTGAATATTGAAGTGGAGAAACATCCTGTAAAAGTCACCACATCACTTTGTCCTTAATGATCTGTGTTGTGTCAACTTATAATTTGACAAAAAAACTATGTCTATAACTTTTACTGTTACACAGGAGTTAATTTAGACATTTGACCTTGACCTCAATTTTCTGCCTATGAACCATGGACCTTAAAATCAAAAGACTATAAGTTTCTATGACTTACAGCTTATGGTTTACACCATAATATCATTTACGTCAAACACAAAAATGGAAATAGCTCTGATTACATGTAACTGGAGCACTTTGGTCCAAATTGAACAGATCATCCTCAGGAAGTAATTAAAATGTTGGACCCATATTCTTGTTCATTGTGAATAGAACCATTTCTATGCTGATTAGACATTTTAATGACTTAACCATTTGCACTGTTCCTGCAATTTACATAATCCAGCAGTTATTGACTCAATAAACAACTTCAAATAAGTTGAGAACTTACATCTTTAACAATGAATTTAAAATATGAGTTTAAATGTCTTTTTCATCTGCTTCTTATGATATCTTTATCAGTTTATTTGAAGCATCACTGCAGTATGGAAACTTGCTAGTTTCAAAGGAAACTATGACAAAGTTTACTTCTTGCCAATACAGAAGAAGGTTCCACACAGTATCATATAACATTTCTGTTAAAGTTTACAACTCTTTACCTTAGGACATTTTGAAATTCTAGCATCTCAGAAATATGATGGATGACTTGAACAAATGGAAGTGTTCATTTTGAAATAAATTATTTTACGTATAAGAGCAGATGCGGATCTAGGATTTGATGTTAGGGGTGTGTGCTCCTGAAAATTAGGAATTAGATGACTAAATTGGCTATATTTTTACCTTTATTACATTTTCTTTTTTTTTTAGGAAGGGGGATCTGCACCTGAATAGTTATATAGTATATTTGAACTATATGCAATGTTATTCAACAATCCCCACTGACATTACAGTTGGTATTTAAGTTGCAGTTAATTTCCTATGGTTTCAAAAAGAAAAAAAGGAAATTTTCTTTGATAAAACATGATTCAACATTGATATTCTTGTGTTATTACATGATGTGATCATTCCAAATTTAGTAAAAGCTGTTTAGACACAGTAGACTATATAAAATGAAAACCTGTCCAAATTGTATTCATGAATCATATTATTTAGTCCAATAATCTGTAAACTGCACACTTGTTGAATTGAACTATATATTTTGTTTAGAAATCATTGTAAAGCCAAAAACAAACCTCAGGTAACAGTTAATTATTGTGGTTAGAATTGCAAAATGTAAAAAGACCCTCATATATCTTAATAAACCCTTGCAATGTATAGCTCCAGACAGAACAGATTCAGGTTAAGGGTTAACAATTATAGTGGTTAGAATTGTAAAATACAAAAAGAACCTCACACATCTTAATAAATGAACATCATGCATCTTAATAAATCCTTGTAATATATAGTTCCAGACAGATCAGATTTAACAGTAGATAGTGAGGTAGATTTTTGGATGAACCTAAGATGTACTATAGAGCTATTAGAAAATGGGCATTACTACATCATATATGGTAATGGTGGCTACCAGTATATTGAAGAATCAGGAACAGAAAGGTAATAAAGGAGGGTCTGGATTGGATCTTCTTTTCTGTTTTTTATTTTAATTTTAGGACATTTTTCTCTGTACTTTTTATATTTTGGCCAATTATTCTCTTTTGTTTATAATTTAGCACCCTATTTATCTTTATTCAATAATTTTTTTGGTCTCTATTCTTTGATTTTTAATTTTATTCTCTATTCTTTAAATTCCATCCTGACCCTAATATAGATTCTGGCAACTTATATTACAATCCAATGTTCCATTCATTCAATGCAATTACTCCTGTTCAATTTATGTCAACAATTGATAAAAGGAGATGTATGGTACAAGTCAATGAGACTTAATGAACAAAATAACCAAATGATATCTTCAACAATAAAAATATGTCTATACAATTTAAATCTTCATTTGAATTTGAGAGAAACCAACATCTGCCATTCTCTAAATAATGAAAAAACATTACCTTGATATTTGTCATATATAGAAAATCACCAGCTAACTCAATAATATTTCAATCTTCTGACTTACATTTTCACTTTCAAAGGTTGAAAGGTAAACATGATAAAGAACTGCTGAAGGAGTAAAATGTTATAGCAAATCTTCAGAAGCATCTAAAATCTAGGAGACCATTTTAACTTTAGATGCAGCTCATTATTGAAAATATACTTAACAACACAAATAATTCACCACATTTAAGCATATAAAGGAGTATTACAATTTCTTGTTTTTGCTAGAAATTTGTGGAAATCTATTATATTTTAAGCTTAACCATGAAACTAATGCCAAGTTTACAAAGAAATTTTATTTTAGTGGCAACAATGAAGATTTCAACCACAAAAATAAAAAATCTAAAGTCTGAGATAAGTAAATTTCAAATTGATCATTAGGCAAGAATTCGAAGAAAACTGAAAATCAGGCATTTTCTTTGCTTTCAGTTTAAAAGATACACTCGACTTTAGTTTTTTCACAACAGATTGTGACTTGGATGGAGAGTTGTCTCATTGGCACTCATACCACATTTTCTTATATCTATTCACAAATCTGGCAGCAGTTTTTTTGGTTAAATTTGTTTATCAAAAATATAATTTTAGAAATTTTCATTTCTACAGAATTTGGTGCTTTTGTCTACATTGTGTCAAAATTTTAACTAATTTCAATCACTTTTATATGAAATAGAAATTAATATAGGTGGTGCGTTTCTTTTGATGTTGAGTTTACATACATATGTTTTTTATGGTGTATTACAGGTACCGGTATTACCTCCAGGGTGATTCTATCATCATGAAAGATTACACCAGGGATATGTATAATCCAGAAGCTGTTGCCCACTTAAGTTATTGGAAACGTTTCTTTACAAGGATGGAGACACATATTAGAGTAAATGGATGCTGATTTGTGAATTAATCATCATTTTACGATGAACTTTTGTGCCAAAGTTCTAATTTACATTGTTTATGTTTTGATATTATAACTTTTTTCTTAAAACATTGTATTTTATTGTTGAGATTTCTGTTGTTAATAAATGTATCACTGTTTTTTCATTATTTTGCATGATTGAATTACATGATGAAGGTAAACCCAGAAAAGTGCTCCAGACTCATGAAATTTGTAAATGTTGTTTTCATTTTTCACAGCACTTGGTCAATACAGGTGCTGATGGAATATACTGACATGATTTAAAGCAAACTTTTCTAAAATTGTTCATATATAGATTAAGAAATTGATAAGAAGCTATGGTTTTAACTCCCTCAGGCAAAGTTGCTTGACCTTAAATGGAATATTAAATTTGAGTATTATTTTTAGGTCTTTTTTTGGTCAAACAGTACTTGAGCTGTTTCAGTTTTTAAAAGAGCTTGGATTTAAAACATTTGACATTGAGAGTTGCTGGTGAAGGTAAATCCAGAAATGCAATTGAACGCACATAAATTATAGTGAGGTAATCTTATTTTTTCTTGCATGAGTTATTAGCAAAACGAGTTTGTTTTGGTTCTTTGAAACTATTTTCCCTCAAATTTACATTGACATTAGTTATCTTGAGGAGATAATCTTGTTTTCAAGATCCAAATGGTGCTGGTATCCATGAACAATTATTCCATCAGTTTTAAAGTAGAAACTAAAGTCAATGCCAAGATGCTTTTACCACAAAGAAAAATCTTAATTCTTCCAATCATATCAAAATGTACCTGTAAAAATGGGCAACTACTTCAGAGTTTTATCTGTATGTGACAGTACTGTGCAGTGTTTAAATAAACACAGAATTTGAAAATTGTGAAAAGTACGTTTTAAACTGAAATGCAATTTGAATTTTGAACAATCTTATAGTTTATAAAGATATTTTAAAATAAACAATCAATATCTTTAAGCATGAAGAAAAAATTGATTTGTCGGACTGACAGACGGACAGACAGACAGACAGACAGACGGACAGAGTGCAAACCTAAAGTCCCCTTCGACTTCGTCGGTAGGGGACTAAAAATTATCATTTGAGTAGTCGAGACCTAGTATAGCTGGTGGTCTTAGTAGTTCGTTTACTGTAATCACCAGCTTGTCAACACTGAGCTTGTGAGTTCGAGCACTGGCAGATGCATTCTACTCAGATCTTACTCGATTAGGATTACTAGTTTATCAGCCGAAGTTTGGTGGTGCTCTTGGGACACACCAACTTCCTCCATGATTAAAAGTTGTCAGCAACGATATAGGTAAGTGTGTTAAAGGTTGCGATAAACACTATCAATCAATCATCTATTTGAGAATGTTGACAGTAAGAAGTTAATCAGGTTTTACTTTGAATTGAAGTAGAGAGGGGGTCTCATTGGGGTGTTCTGATCCCGGATCCCGCTTACTGTTTTGTCAGATTCCCGTATTCCGCTTACACTATGTACGTAAGCAATTCCCATTTTTTCGTAATTTCCCGTGTCCCGCTATACTTCATTTCCCGTTTTCACGGCACAATAATTTGACTTTCACGTGTCACGCTTACAAAAAATCGGCAATCACGGGTCACGCTTAGACCCCAATGAGACCCACTAGAGAGAATAGGAACCATATTCTCATTCAGAAGTGCTGACATCAATACAGTATAATATAGACTAAAGAAAACAATATAACTTGTAACAGATAGTGTTTAAACAGTGAGAGGGAATAATCAGTTGTCTTTTGTTTCTCTATGTCATTGGTACCTGGCACGTGAATTTGACTTCAGTCTTAATTAATGATTACCAGTTATCAAGCCAATGTAAAAATTTGTTTGTAAATAGATATAAGAAGATGTGGTATGAGTGCCAATGAGACAACTCTCCATCCAAGTCAAAATTTATAAAAGTAAACCATTATAGGTCAAAGTACGGTCTTCAACACGGAGCCTTGGCTTACACCGAACAGTAAGCTATAAAGGGCCCCAAAAATTACTAGTGTAAAACCATTCAAACGGGAAAACCAACGGTCTAATCTATATAAAAAACGAGAAACGAGAAACACTTATGAACCACATCAACAAACGACAACTACTGAACATCAAATTCCTGACTTAGGACAGGTGCAAACAAATGCAGCGGGTTAATAGAACGTATAGCATCATAAGCTATTCAGTGAGCAAGTTCAAATCCAGGCCAAAGTAAGTATATGTAAGTTACTATTCCTTAATCACTAACCATAAAGCAAGTTTGATCAGAGTTTTCTCAGATATGATAGAATGTAAGGATACTTTTTGCATACAGTAATATCCTTTATATACTGTCATTTATTATTATTAAATCGAAAAAATGATGCAATTATCTTTGATGTTTCTGCAATATTACAGATTGAACTTTTAATATACAATGTAGAAAGCACATAAAATCGCCGAAAATAAAATCATAAAATCTGTATTTCAAATCCATACATTTTTCTTAAAAATATTTATGTTGTTGATACATAATTTCCGTGTCAATGATATAAAATAATAGTCGTATTTAGTCTATTAATCAATCTGTTATCCATTCGTATGATGTCTTTGAGCTTTTGATTTTGCCACTTGATTAGGTACTTTCCGTTTTGAATTTTCCGCGGAGTTCAGTATTTTGTGATTTTACTTTTTACTTAGTTGGTAGTGCAAAAAACGTCAAAAATCATCCACATCTCGTAAAACGACTTAGAAGAAACAACTCAAGAAAAAAAAAAAAACCCCGAACTCCAAAAAAAAAAAAAAAAGGAAAGTCCATGAAAACTGACAAAATCTAACGGTATCAACCAACAGAACGAGTGAATCACAAATTTGCATTTTGGTACACACATATCCCGAAGAAAATGGTGAGTTAAACATGGTTTAACAGTCAGGTGGACCTATATATGACAGTTGCTTATGGTGCCGTTAAATTAACAAAATGAAGTGAGCAATCCAAACAAACATAATAGGTTAATATGACAATAATTGGGATGCAGCAGCCAAAAACTGTGCCAACATACATCACAGACCTATAACACAATTGACTCAAAAGTTCAAACAAACATACGTACGGTGACTATAGTTGTTAACTGAGGTTGTTAATTTCTGTGTCATTTGGTCTCATGTGGAAAGTTGTCGTATTGGCAATTATACCACATCTTCTTATTTTCAAACAAATGAATTTAACAAAGACGCCAATATATAGCAAAAATATCAAACTCCAAGGAAAATTTAAAACGGAAATTCATTTATCGGATGGCAAAATCAAATGATAAAACACTTCAGACGAATGGAATACAACTCATATTCCTGACTTGGTAAAGACATTTCCTCATTTAGAAAATGGTGGATTAAACCTGGTTTTAGAATTCAGCTAAACCTCTCACTTGTATGACAGTCGCATAGAATTCCAATTTTGTGCGTTTTTATTTTAGTTTTCATTATTTTAGTTTTCATTAATTTTGGAATTTACCTTTTATATCTATTACTGTTTCACAAATGTGCCTTCTTTTCTATTTTAAGATTACGTCCTAATATAAACAAAGCGGTTTTTTTTTCATATTGGAAAACCTAGTTTTCATTAATTTTAGAACTTACCTTTATATCAATTGCTATTTCACAAATGTGCCTTCTTTTCTATTTTAAGATTACGTCCTAATATAAACAATGCGGTTTTTTTCATATTGGGAAACCCAGTTTTCATTAATTTTGGAATTTCCCTTATATATTATACTTTTTGTAGTATATTTAGAAGCAAAATAGTTTTAGATGTTTGAAGTTTCTTAAGCCTGTAGGACGTACTTGTGAAATATCGATTTGTAAACGGTAAATATTCATTCAGTTAAAAATATTTTAATGACGGTTTGACTGAGTATATGTTTCGCATAATATATGTTTTACATGGAACAAAAACTAAAATGATGTTTTTTCCTTCTTCATAAAACAGTTTCCTGGCACATAAAGCCCATTAAAATTTATTCTTAATAACAGTAATTTACGATATTATTTTTTTTCTACACGAGATGCGCATTTCAACAATAAGTGTATCTTTCATAATGCTCGATGCCAAAATTTTGTAAACCCAAAACTGATTAAAAAATGAAGATCTAGCTTATAAACGAAAAAGGACAAAAAGTGTAGTCAAAGCCTGGCAAAGATAAGTTTTGCAAATATAAAAGATATTAAACAGAAAATTCCATGGGAGATATATAAAGGCAACAGTAGTATACCGCTGTTCATAATACCGTTTCCAAAATTTTGCAAATATAAAATAGATTGTTTTGAGAGATTTTTAAGAAATATTAGATAAGTGGGACAACTTATGCATGTAGTGATATAAGTAATATACCCAAATATTTCGAAATTATCCACTTGTTTTATTTTTAATACCTCCACCATAGCGGAGGGGGCATTAAGTTTTACCTTGTCCGTCTGTACGTCCGTACGTCCGTATGTCCCAAAGTTGTTTTCCGTTCTCTAACTTTTATTTTGCCTCAACCAAATGTTATGAAACTTATAGACAATGCTTATTACCACATAACACAGATCATGTTTGAAATTTAGTGGCGTCACTTTAACCATCTAGAGTTATGCCCATTTACAAATGGAAAAATTGCTGAGTTTTTCGTTTCCGTTCTCTAACTTTAGTTTGCCTCCACTAAATGTTGGGAAACTTGTACACAATACTTATTACCACAAAATACAGATCAAGTATTAATTTTGGCGGTGTCACTCTTACTGTTCTAGAATTATGCCCCTTTACAAATGGAAAAAATTGCTGAATTTTTCGTTTTTGTTCTCTTACTTTAGTTTGCCTCAGCCAAATGTTATGAAACTTATTAACAATAATATTGCTACAAAACTCAGACCAAGTACATATTTGGATATCATCACTTTTACGTTCTTCAGTTTTGTCCCTTTATAACTTTATATGATATGCAAGCAAGGGCATCATCTGTGTCCCATGAACACATTCCTTCTTCATTTTTATAGAAAACAAAACTTCAATCACAGTAGGAGTCGTAAAACGTCGAATTGTTCAATACTCAATATTATCATGTAGCAAACTTTACGGCTTAATAATGTCATATGCAAATGATGTAAAATCTTCATTAAAATATAACTTCCAAATCGTCCTATTTTATCAATAAGATTTTCCCTTTCTCTTAGGCACCGCCGACCATTCATCTTTAATGCGCGTTGCTTGGTGGAGTTGACTTGTTTTTTTTTTTCTCTCGAGACAAATATATCTTTTCAACTCTAACAATACAGGACCAAAAAGAAAAAATAACAAAAATACCGAACTCCGAGGAATATTCAAAACGAAAAGTCCGTAGTCAAATGGCAAAATCAAAAACACATCAAACGAATGGATAACAACTGTCATATTCCTGACTTGTTACAGGCATTTTCTTATGTAGAAAATGGTGGATTAAACCTAGTTTTATAGCTAGCTAAATCTGTTTTCAAATCCGTTTTTTGTAAATATATCGATTAGAAGTAATTTTTGTCCTCTTCCTTTTACAACAATCAAATGAGGTAGGATCAATTTTCTAATTTTCTTGCATAACCACATACTTTCGACTGATTTTCTCTATTTTGAAAATTTAAGGTATCTTATACTTTAAGTTAAGGAAATTTGAGAAGTTTTCTTAGTTTAAAGGATTTTATGCATACTACTTAAGTTTTATGGGCGTCATAAACCAAATAATATTTTACGAAGGAAATACTTAGTTTAAGATGCTTTACGCATTCTCAAGTAAAACGGACGGAGTATCCTAAATTTAAGTGGTTACTAAGGAAAATCCTAACTTAAGTAGCTTTAAACATACGGGCCCGGATATAATCCATTGTGTGGTTCCATTTTTATTTGTGTAAATAAACAGATAATAAATAAATCATTGCTTTTCAATTATTTTATTCATGTCAAGTCAATGCATTCTTCTAATCATTTAGAGGGGCATTAGCTACGAGATATAGAAGAAATTAAAATAATATTTTTCTTTGTTCAATAATTAATGATAGCGAAATAATGAAATAATAGTTCGCTTTTAATAGGCAGTTTAGTTCAATTTATGTCAAAATAAGCTAAGAAACATTGGAAGCGAATTAATCACTTGACTTGGAATCGAATAATTGATCTCATTGAATCCGTATTCATGTGACCATCAATTTAACCCATTAGCTGGAGATTAAATACGCATGTGTTAGTCGTGTCCAGCCATAAAAAGGAAAAGAATGTCAATATTTAAATGAAACAAAGGTGAACCATTTCGTTGACTGATTCGATCCAATAACATGAATAACTATCATTCTTATACAGATAAAACGATGATTAAATTATTTTCCTAACCTATAACATGAAATCAAATAGACCTAGAAAAATCCAATTGCACGTGGTCGGAATTTATTTTTATATATATATGTTTATGTTAATAAGTCTAAATTGAAAACAACGTTCAAACCTATGATTGCGTTGGATAAAAACCGCAATTTTTATACGTGTGCATGCAAAACAAATTTCTAAATACAGCACAAACAACATTTTCCAAAAGACCAAAAAAGTGAAAAAAGTATATTTTAACAAAACCCTGCTGAGTTTAAGAACATCAGTTGTTCGACCTGCTAGTCAAATGCGTTTTGTTAAAATATACTTTTTCACTTATATGTTTATGTTTATATGTTTCTATATTTATACAAGTTTGAATCCCAGTTCCTCTGAATGAGGAATTTAATGTTTCTCTTGGAACTTGTTCAATATTCACCCGCTCTTTTATGTACAGAAACATGGCACATTATCCAATCCAACTAACTAGGCGAAAAACCTACCATAACAATTTTCTTTAACAATATGATTAATGGATAACACGCTTATGTGCTAACTAACAAGACAAGAACAAAAAGATGTATATAGACAAATATAGACAAAAATGAAATTACTTATTTCAATACACATTTTACCCAAAAAATGCAACCGAGAAAGATACATGGAGATCCATCACAGATTATTATAAAAACATTGTCAATACTGACATAACAAACCCGCATTGTGATTTTGAGGATTAATTTAAAAAAAAACCGCTATGTATCAAAAGCAAAAATGTCATAAAATACTCGTACTCTGACAAAGAATCAAACATCTGTTATTGGCAGTTTTCACATAAATACAACAAAAGAGCAACTTAGAGACGACACGCACATAAGCTGGTCTGGTTTATATTTTCCACTGCACCCTAAATTAACGATGGTATTTGGTCTCAACTTTACGACAAATGATTTTCCAATGCTAAGATTTCCATTTATATATAACAGCATTTCAGCAGCACCTGCATATTGAGTATATACAATGCAGCCAACAACTTGCAACCAGCAGTAAGGCACATCCACTATACTAGAACATTTACGTCATTTTTGTTTGTTTTGTGAATGAATACTATATAGATATTTATTTTTAACCCAAACTAAACAGGGAAATGTCGTGGTCTTTTGAAGAAAAATGTAGGAGCAATTTATTAGAAACTTTCCCCCACCGCAAATGTAGAATTATCCCTCAGATAGACAAAAGATAGTTCTTTGTAACTGCCAAAAGAGATATTACTATTTTTACCATTAAACCATATGAACAAAATTGGTATGACATCGGAGATAAATGCGTTCAATGATATATTTTTTTCAAATTTTGAATAATCCAATATTTATCAATTCTAGTCAGATTCTGATATGATTTTACCATTGTGTCACAAATGTTGACATAAAAAGCATCGTAGGGCATACAAATAAGGAAGAGAAAATATTTTGAACATTTAATACCTAGAAAATATAATAGTTGTGCTTACACCAGATATACTAATACAAAAAGAGGATCTGTTTATTCTTGCAATGAATCCTTTATCGTTTATTTTGTCTGTGGCAGCCGATGAACAATATGGTCCCTCACTACCCACACTTTCTCATGATAAAGTTTACAATAGTTACATATAGCCTTCCTGCATGTTTTACACCAATACGTGGCTCCACTGTGATCGATACACAATTGACATTTATTTGTATACCTCGGAAATGACATTTTCCGTTCTAGCATGGTTTGTTCTAAATATAAAAAAAAACAAGGTTAAGGTGAAAAGAGATATATAATGCATTATGTATTTACATTAAAAAACTGAAATTATATATTGGAGAAACAAGACTTTTCAAGAGTTACTTTATTTCTTCACTAACAATAGTTTACTTTTATTTTTTTCAATATATTCGCTGAAGCGTGCATATTAAAAAAGAAACAAATCTTGAGTAATGAAATGTTGCAACAGATGCAGAATCAATAATTACCTGTAGTCAAACTTATTGATTTTAAACCATAATTGATATTATGTGTTAATTGCTCTAAAAATAATTTTTTTCATTTTCAGAAATGGTTGAATTTTCTTAATCCTCAAAATTTTATACAGTTCCTAAACACATTTTTTCCCGAAAATTATTTGTTGAGACCAAAACTGTTATAATAGATTGAAATGAACTGTATTCAAATGACACCCACTTTCGTTGGCTAAGTGTAGGCCAAAGTACAAAGCAGGCCGGACAGTTTCTGAAGTATTTTTCATCGAAATTTTAACAGAATGTATACGATAACAAACTCAGCATTTTTCCAACTTCCAATGACACCAATTCATCTTTTAAGAATGATGATAGCTTCATTCCATTTTCCCGGAGAAACCTATGCATGAGATATACGTTATATAGATACAATGAATAAGCGTTGATTCTTGAAAAAAGAAACCATGAGCCCGGAGGGCGAATGGTTTGTTTTTCGTGAATCAACGCTTATCCATTGTATCTATAACTTAAACTATTGTGTTAATGTCTTTTCAAAATTAAAGCCTTTTCTTAATTAGAAGGTATTGTAAGTGAGTTTAAATAACCATGGTATCATGTTCAACGATGCATTACTAAATATAAGATCACAACTAATTGGTTAGAAAAATACAAATATAACACAACACGTCTGCCTTTATATTACCAGGCATCTGAATATTAACTGTGTTTACAAAATAAAACATATTCGATCTTATTTCTAATAAAATTGAAAATGGAAATGGGGAATGTGTCAAAGAGACAACAACCTGACCAAAGAGCATATATAAAGTATATATAAGAAGTGTGTTACCGAAATTTCTAGCAAGAAGCCTAATTCTAGGCGATTTACTCGCACAGGAATTTGCGAATAAACATTTGGAAAATTATGTAGTAAAATAGACGAAGTCTTACTATATTTATAATACAAAAATGGACAAATTGAATGTAATCATTTTCGTTTCAAATATGTAAAATAGCCAATAATAATCCAAAAATAAACGATAAAACTTGCTATTATTACAAAAATATCCACAATAACATACAAAATAAGAAAAAAAACCAGAAAAACTAAAGAATAGGGACAACAAAGAGAATACAGGGATTTGAACCTAAACCGACAAGTCCCTACCTTTAACTTGACTCTTTAACTCATTGATCTTAACCATGCTAACCTCGCGGCAACCAACATATACTATACGAGTGCCTATTATGTATATATATAAAGGTACAAGCCCTGTGTGTCCGTTGTACTGATGTATATCATATGTTCATTTATATATATAAAATATACATATAAATTGTAACCAATTGGTAGCCGAGAGGTTTCGTCGATGTGTTGATGTCAGTCACACATAACAGATTTTAAGGACGGGTTCGATTCCCAGTGAAGGCATATAAAAAATACAAAAAATAAAGGTAGGTTTCTAAATTAATTCCATTAGTGAACAGAAATCAGTAAATTAGCTAATTCAAACTTAATGAAATTAGGCACACAAAGGAAACAATTGAATATAATTTGGTGAATCCATTTCAGCGACAGATTTAGAAAGCGTTGATTCTAGAAAAAGAATCCACGGTAAATGAATAGGCTAACGTCACGACAATGGTTTAAATCGTATGAATGCATAAATTAGTCGGCGTAAAGGAAGGCTTATTGACTCTCAGGTGACTGTAATAAAATATTTACCATTGAAATATCAAAACGCCAAAAAGGTTGTGACCACATCGGAAAAGAATACTGTACACGTTATTCCATTTTCAGCATCCTTATTGCCTTACGCTAAATATGACAAAACAATGTAAAGAATACTGATTCGAAAACATTAATGACATTGTTCAAATTCGAAACAATATCAAAACTTGAATTATTTTAATCATCCCCAAACACTACTTCTCATCATCAGAAAAAGTTTATTTGTGGTAACCGTTTTTGCTGCTTTTTATTCTAACGGTAGAGTTAAGATAAAGTCATGTGTCGAAACTGATAATGGCGGATCGAACAAGAACAGTTTTGCCTCAAAATTATCGCTGGACTACTGATTTTTCGGTACGTTATACACAATTGAGTATCTACATCATGTGATCAATGTGAATTGTATGTTCAATTCTTCCACATACTTCGTAAAATTGACAAAAGACCTCAAATTTTCATTTTTTCGACAAAAGATTATTAGTCCGTTTCGTCTGTCGATATTTTGCTTGAAATCCGAAATGAATTCAGGTAGGCGGCCACTTACCAGATGCAATGCCATGAGCGGCGTCAGACCTTTAATGGCAGTAGAAATGTCCGTTATCAAAAGATTTAACAAATTTCTTTCGATTTCTATCATAATGGTATAATTTATGATTTACAAAGTCACACACTGTATTTTCCAAAAATCAGTTTGAGTCAGTTCAGTCAGGCTATCCCAAAAACCTCCGAATCACAATGCTTTTTTGGAAAAATTTTTATAACTTTTACTGTTTTGATTTCTATTGGTATTTTGAATATGGTGGTCTCAGTTTGACCTGCTAATCCTTTCGACGCACGATTTGAATTTTATTGTGAAATCGTTCACCATGGTTTTAGAACAGATCTCCATGCAACAAATCTCTTATCGTAAAGATTTAAAAGTAGTCCTCGGACAAATCTGTGACGATCTCGGGACGCTGCGCAAATATAAATTTTCATCAGTTCGTTGTATTGTTCTTTTATGTACAGAGCGCCTATGATGTTAACACCGATAAAAAGGGATAAAAGTCTTGAGACAGCAATGAAAGATAAGATACCATTTCACGCAATCCTGATATCTTAATACCTTGTGGTACAATTTCATAGAGATCCATAGACTTATACTCAAGTTATTGTCCGGAAATCCGAAAATTGTTGTTGTTTGTCCCTAATTCCTCAAGGGTTTGGGCCATAACACCCAAAATCATTCACAACTTTCCGTTTTTGGTATGGAACCTTGTGATACAATTTCAAAGAGAGCCATATAGTTATATTTGATTTCTTGTCTGGAAACCAAATGTGGTAGGACGACGTCGACGACGACGATGATGGCGACGATTTCGCCAGTCAATCTATTATATGGCCGCCAAAACTTTTCGGTCGTATAATAACCTGACAGAAATGTGAGAGCGCCGATTAAATAAAAAATGGACAAAAAATATTGCCAAACCAAGACCAGGAATCAAAATAGTAAAACTATTGCATATACATTACACTACAAATCAAACAATACAAAAACATTGAAAATAACTAAAATACAGTACTTACTTTTTTCGTCTCCTCTATTTCACAAAGTAATAATCTTATTCATTTCGTAATGTGTATAAATAGAACCTTTGCAACAGAAATAAAAATAAATGTTTAGAAATTTACCTGAACTGCTGTGCTTTAAATAGCAAGTTATTTATGATAATAGGCAATACAGTTTATGCCTGTTTAAATTTAGATGTCCAATCGTTTCAATAGCTGCACTTTTACCAAGGAGCTGCAAAGCGTTCAGACCTTCGATTACTGCTGCAAAAGTTCAAATAACATTTATAAGGTAAGAGAGCAATCGTGTAATGTGACAATAAAATTAGAGGGTGGCAAGGTGACGGGTTTCTAAAAAAAGGGTAGAAGAAACTATATATATTTTTTAAATTAAATGCATTACCTTTTTATGCACTGCGATAAATATAAATATGGGATCTTTTCTGAAAAAAACAATTTGAACAACTGTATTAAATCTTTGACTTACCAAAGACTCAATCATCATGGTATGTTGTTTCAATTTCAACTATTTAACAAAATGATTGCCCTAACTACAGGCAGGGCAAAATTTACGAAGTATTTCAAAAGACAGTTTGTAAAGAAGATCGATTGTCTAAATGATTCATCATAAACATGTGAGTTAAGTGTAAAAATTGTGGGAAGTGCCAATAAAAGATCGCTATTTTATATTGAGGTTTTCCAATTAAGTTAACTAAATCACATTTAAACCTAAAACATGAAACAGATAAAAATCATTTCGTAAAGTTTTCTTTTCCAACAAATTTCTACGTGGGCAATATCGTCCATCATAGAATTAAAAACAAAATAACTCCCTTCCTTAAAGATCAGTCTGTACCCATCATTCTAAGACCTACACCAAATCAATTACGGCTTAACTTTCAATAACAAAAACGTGTTGAAGGATCTCAATATTGTGTTATCTAAAATATCGCGAGTCTTAATTCATCAATCAGAAACAAAAATTCAAAATATTTACGAATGCAGTCTAGGATTATGCCAAACAATGTGATAATTGCAAAAAAAAAAAACAACATGTAGATACTCTTTTTCAATTGGAGGCTGTTGATTCAAATTAGAATAAAAAAATGAATGGATTTATGAATAACCATACTATCTTTTAAGACCAATATGTTGCTAAGAACTGTCTTCGCTGTTTTAAAATTATGTTGCTATCCCCGCACACTGTGGGTCTGTCTGTAGTTCACCTTACATAAAGCGATTGAAAGTTAATTTATGGATATTGATAATTGACAGGAAACTCATCATATACCCCACAACACTTACCAATGATAAAACCATAACTAATCATAGATCTGTTCTATTTTCCTTTAAAATTTCCCCTAATGAGGAACTAATGAGGATACCTAATTACATATTTGTCCTTATAAAAAGTGTTATATTGTGCTCCACAAACTATTAACATCAATTTTATCAGCAATCAAAGCCATCTTAGTCGCTTTCCTCTTGCAATGGTATTTAAATATTTGACCTTTCTATCCTTTACACACGTATTTCCCATTTGAAATACAGGACAAATTTAAAGTGAAAGAATTGATCCATAAAAAAGATGACCAACGTAGATACAATCATCTTGTTTTAGGGAGAGATAGATAAATGATACTCTGTAAAATACCACTTTGGTTCAAACAGTTATCTGAAACTGACATTATCAAGATTTATAGATTGACAACAAACGTGTTACGTTTAGAGGACTTTGTTATGGAAACCAACTTTGTTCCTCTTTTTATCGATTTTATGAGGTAGACTTTATAGAGGAACTTCTTGTGAAAAATGATAAGAAGTTAGCATACTCTTTTAACTTCACATCCCGCAATATAGATGATGTCGTCTGGCTAAATGACTAAAAGTTTGTTGAATGCACCTGTCCCATCGAACTTGGAATAAAAGATTTAACAAATACAGTTGAGTCTACCTCATATCTCGTTTGTTTACATTCTTTTATTACGGCTTTCTCCTCCAACTTGCGATGTGCGGTTGCCGAAATCCTCGTAGATGAAGGACAATGCATACGAGAAAATATCGACGAATTAGTGTACGGGAAGACATTGTTGAAATAGCAGTACATTTATGAAGATTTTGGTAATTTCAAGGATTTTCATTTATAAGAAAGTTCACGTACACTTGATTCTATTGTATAACTTAGCTATTCTAGTATATAAAACATATTAAACTTTTCTTAAACTTGATGTTTCATATGACATGAAGAGAAACATTGAAGTATATTCAAAATAGGATTACTTCAGTCTTATCGGCTTTATATACCTATATGGAGTTATTTCCTTCCAGAACGACAGGTCATTAGATTGAAGAAACAACCTGGACGATACGAAGTTTCAATGAAATGTGCTTCAAGGCATTAAATAATGACCTGCGTCAGGTCATTATTTTCCATTATTTACTATGATACAAATGCAAATTATATATAGTACTTAAATATGTAAAACGTGTGTTCATGCCAATTGGGGATTTACTGTACAATTTACTATCTCGAACATTTTTTTAAAGTTTAGGCAGAAAAGTCCTTCCTTCCATTTATTAATCTGAAAAAAATACCAGTTACTCTGTTATATGACAAACTTTTCCTTGGATTGATAAAACAGCGACGATATTTAAGGCATCTTGATTCTCAATTTCCGAAGAAAAAGAATGCATTGCCAGGCATAAGAGAGAAAACAATTATTCTGAAAAGTTCGTTAAAAAGTGTTGAAAAATAATCTGCTTTTTCAGCGATAAAAAATGTCGTGAAACAAGAGAAAAAAATATAGCACCTCCTTTATTTAGTTTATATGATAAATTACTTACAAAGTGATCTTTCGTCATCTTACAATTCGTTTGCTTCTTATTTCATGCATTTACTGTAACACTTATATTGCAACTGGACAGTTATTTCTAACGTTTATGTCTAGATTATTAGTGAGTTTTGTTTCAAATTAAAATTGAGCCGTAAGGCGTATTTATACCTAAACTCATGAGGAATGAATATCACACTTCAATGTGACCGGTAAATTGGATACAATTCTTAAAAACATTTACAGTTAATAGTATTTTTTTATTGTACATAAGTCAGATAATGCATATTTTAAGGTTCTTCTTGTCGTGTAACACACCTTCTGGTGTCAGGAATGCCCAAAAGAAAGACCTCGCTACGGTTGGTCTTTCATTTGATCAATCCTGACACCCCTCGGTGTGTTAAACAATAAGAAAAACCTTAAAATGTGCATTATCTATAACGTAATCATTTCATTGAACCAGATCAAAAGCAGTGAGTAGCCGAGGTCAAAATATGAGCGATCTGTATATTTTTCAACAAAGAAAGTCAGTTTAAAATTTCGTCTACCTTAAACAAATCTTGCAAGCACTGTTTAATTTACAGATACATGATGGGTTTACTATTTAGATATATTTGGGTTTACGCTTATAAACAATCCTAAAGTATTTTGCAATTAGACTTCTTGTATCCTGACATCTTAGCATAGAAATGAGCAAAAAGTAACCAATTCCCATTTCTTATAGCTTCTGCATGCATTTTTGCATGTAAATATGTGCTACGGCCTAAATTTACTCTAAATAATTTTCAGTCTTACATGGCCTAAGACCATTGTATACTCATGGTGTATGCTTTTTGTAACTTTTCTTTCCATTTAAAGTACATTCGAAATATATGAAAGAATACTGTATGGTAAAAAACTTCCAAAAACTTTAAAAAGTTGAAAAAAATTCAAGTTAATGTAAGGCTCCGCTTCGAAAATCTCTACTTTTAGGCACGGGCTCATAGAAATTTGACTTTTGAATAATTGTAATAAATCTGATAAAAAAATTTGTGTTCAGTTGCTTTTAGTACTTAATATATTAAATTCAAGAACATTCAAAAGGCAAATTTTTGCAAAATTAATTTTTTTAAGGTCTAAATCTTGATAGTTCGATTAAACGTCAAAATTAAACATCCAAATTTCAATATCAAAATTGCCATAGTTTCTATAATATAATATCCTATGGCCATGACACATGACCAACTATATTATATTTCCCACAGCTTAAGTCATGCACAGTCTTTTTATCCCATTATGTCTGAGGACATATCGTCGTTTGATTTGCGTTGTCTTCAAAAATAGTCGAAAAATTAACCAACTCAAATTCGTATTTTAAAATGATGTATGTTTTTTATAGAACTGAATTTGTCAATATCTTTAATTGTTAAATTAATACACATGCATTCTTTAAAATAGAAGCATACACATTGTTCTTTTGCAGGCCTTCGAATGGATTTATGGAAACTATTGCAGTAAAATGTCGGTCTGTTTTAAATTATTTAAAGTTTCATGGATCTGAACACCTCGGAAAAGAAGAATCAGGAGGTGAAAAGTCGAATGTAAACTTCGCTTTACGCAAATGGACATCTTTCAAATACAATGATGCAATACGATGCGATTCTTGTACAGAGAAGGGTAAAGCTATTGGCTACTGTAAAACATGTTCAGGCTTCATCGATCAATCCTGCCTCGGCTTTCATCAGAGGATACTAAATTGGCGTACTCACAAATATTTCATCTTTGATACAGGCAGGAAAGATCTCAAAATAACAGATTTTGCACCAGAATCTGTTTGCCAAATTAAAAAGCATGATAATGGTGTGGCTGATTCATACTGTAGGAAATGCAGAGTTGTTGCATGCAATAAATGCATTAAAAGACACAGAAAGAAATGCAAAACGATAAATCCATTACAAGAATGGTACCACCTTTTACAGGCTGTAATTAAAACAAAGGATATAGTAGAAAATTTAATAAGAACAATTCCAAGAGGTCGAAATAATGAAAAGTTAGTCATTTTGTCAACCATTGTTGTATGGTTAGACCAGACACTTGGAATAAATTCTAACAATATGCCATATTCATCAATTAAAGAGCGATTAGAGCTGGCAGCGTCAACAGAAAATCAAAGTTATTACATCGCAAGCAACACAGTTGAAGATAAATTCTTTGAAATACAACAGGAATTAAAACGAGAATTTAATTGTCCATTGGATGTACTCGACGGCGTTCAGAATGAAGTACGCCGACAAACAGTTGAACAACATGACAGACAAATCAGAGTCACAGAAGGTTATATATATTTTGCTTTCTCTTCCCATTTGATTTTGATAGTTAATCCTATATGTATAATTACAAAAAAAGTTACTGATTAGACTCGTCAGTAGCAGTTAAAATGACCCCTCAAATATGGCCAGTTTAGTCTTAAACAATAATCTTACCATATTATGTAGTATAATATTTTGTCATTTGGCTTATTTTATGCTTTGTCATCTTTATTATTAAATTTTAGTCTATGATATAGAAACTCACTAGAGTATACTAGAAATTATAAAATATATAACACACTTTCTAATCTGTCTAGATACAACTAACCTAAAACAACCAATCAACAGTAACCATATTGATGATCACATTGAAGAAGAAAATATGTCAAGTTCAACAGAAGAAAGTAGTTCGTAAGTTCATATAATGTTTTCGGTCGTTAAATGGGCTTTAGCTACCAATTTCATCTCAACCTAGTTGACTTAATTATCGGACCTGATTTATTAAACAAATACTGGTACTATAACATGTATCCAAATTAGAAAAGTTCATATGAGAATCAATAAACAATATATCGAATTGTTAAAGTATAAAATTTCGTCCCCTTGTTTATACCATCAAGATGACTTTCGAATATCTCCAAAATTCATGTGACCCAATATAAAATCAGTTATGTTCTTATTCAATGCTACACCAATATTTAGTAATCAACTCGCCCCGACAGCACAGAAAGCTTATCTTATTACAAATAAAACACAAATGTCAAATTTGCTGTCATCGACCGCTGCCATCACATATAAACACAATCTACATTAGAAAAGTATTCTATAAGTTGAAGAACAAAATCTTTACATTAATTTATACTGATCATATATGCTATTTACTATATAACTTATGTAATTTCCTCTGGAGTAAAGGGTGGGTGGGACATGATACCTATACTGTCGGAAAGGCGAACATCGAATGATAATTCTAGACTATAATATTATAATTTAGCGCTAAAATTCTAGCATGAAATTATCATGATGAATATTATCTAAACAGGTAATAACTTACTGTTAGTCCAATCAAATTAAACATAAAAATGTTTTGATTTGAACACACGTGCTCAACGTAAACAAATACACGTGTTCCCGAGTAACCATTTATAAATACATATGTCGTACTGACTTTTCTGCTGCGTCTGATGACTTTTAGCGCCTGGTGTAAAACAAGAGAAAGTTCTAGTAAATATAGATGTTTATTATTGGAAATCAGTAAAAAAAGTGCTACAGATTTTACACAATAAAATAGCAAGTCTCACTTGATAATAAATTTAGAATTTCACAACTGAACTAAATTAAGGGACATAACTCTATACAAATTTTAATCAATTAAATAAAACTTGCCCAAACTCTATTTTATCAAGTGAAACAGCTTTACAAAACTTTACGTACAGGTTAATGCATAATACAATATGATAAATAAACCGAATCGTTTCAACCTAAATGGATACCTAATTTCAAAAGTTTTGCATAATTATTTGTTGCTATGGAAACAATAAACTTTTAAAATTAATAAAATCTTTGTCATACTATCTTAATATTTAATCACATAAAATCTAATACCAAATACAATTTATTTATGAATAAATTGGTATGTAAAATAACCTTGCATAATGCTTAAACAGTATTTACTCCTTTTGCAAAATATTAAAATAAAGAATATATCCATGTTCATGTTGCTAAGCAACAAACATGTACTTCTGTCACGAGTTCCGTGTATGTGTGTAATACAATAAATTAACTAAATTCAACTTAGATATAAGTTCTAAAGTCAATTCAAATGTTCAAACAATTTTGTAAACAAACTGAAATCCTGCGGAAAAGTGTCGCTTTCCAAAACCTAATTTATGAACTAAATATGCAATCTATATACAAAATATAAAAACACAGCTTACAGAATAATGAAGTAGAAAATAAGGTTTCATGTCTTTGTTATTTAGCTTTCGATAAAACTCTATAATCATTGCTTTTATCAACAAAAGACATTTCTCCCGGCAAATAAAAATTACAAATTATCTCCCCTGGACATTATAATATTTAAAGTCAATACGGATACAATATGAAATATTTCCGGACTTTCAATAAACTTTTGAAAATAACTATTATAAAATCAACTATATATTTCTAAACATAGAATAGATTTGTATTAAAAAAATTCTTGAAACATTTATCAATTGTTTACATAAATAAAAAGCGTCGCGTCCTAAGCGTAACAAAAAAAACTACAAAATAATTAATCACAATGGAAACGAAATAAAATCTTTACAAAATATATACAATTAATTTAAGTGAATATCATAAAATGAATTTTAACTTTAGTTTGCTTTACCCAAAAATATAAAGTAATTAAAACTCTTTAATTTAAATAAAACAAAAATACAAAACAACTTACCTGGTGTAAAACAAGAGAAAGTTCTAGTAAATATAGATGTTTATTATTGGAAATCAGTAATCAAAGTGACCGTTGAAAACCTAAATTGTTTCCATGCGGGCGTGGTCACATGATCACTGATTTCTTAACTTTCTCCTGTTTTCACAAATCAAAAAGTACCTTGTATCGCTCCCTTGACCACAACCTATTTTCACTGGTTGGTCAATAATCAAGTCATGGGTGACAGGTGTTATTAACAATTTCACACATGAGTAAAAGGAAAAGGTTGTTTAACAAAAAGCCTTAATTTACATGTAAGGTACATAATCCAAAGTAAATAATTTAGCACTTACATGTCTCTTTGTTATCCGGCTTAATTACGTAATCTAAATATTCAAGTTGTATGTCATTCTTCTTTATCAAAAATTAACATTCCAAAAATAATGTAACTTACATAAGGAGAATTTTTTTGAAATAAAATAAAAATTTAAACTTCAAAATACTTTAACTCAAATTGTAAAAATTGAATAATTTTCACTTTAGTTTGGTCTGTTATATTAAAATTTTGTCTTTGGCAATTCATAATTTTACTATAACAACTCTTCCTCAACCTCACTAAGCTTTGTCCCAAAGCTTGAATTTTAAACATCATCTGAACAGATAAAATAAGAATAATAATATATACCGGTATATATACATGTTTATAGAATGAAGATAAGTATGATAAAATATAATGTAAATTTTCATATTGAGTCATTGTTTATATATCACACTTATGTGAATGTAGTTTTGTGATCTAATGCCCATAAAATACTTAAGTTAAAAATAAAAAAAATATATATATGTATGGTCATAATTGCAGATATTCAATAAGACACTTCCAAAATTTCAAAGGATGTACGTTTATAGGTTTGTAACGAGAAGGCACTGAGGTATTGTGTGTTTGCAAATATGCATTTAATCAGTATTGTCATTTTGCATGTGAGGAGGGATATTGACACTTCACACTAAAATATGTGTGTTTCTAAAATAGTACTGATGCAGTTTTCCAATAATGAAAAATCAAGAAAACCAGGTGCTAGTGCAACAGAAAAGTCAAAGTACCAATAAATTTTCATATTAATAGACAATGAACAATATAAAATTCAAATATAAAACATGAAAATGAACAATTCATTACATGCTCACTTCTTGCAAGCGCATGTTCTGCAATCTCCATGGTATAATGTAATCTACAAAAATAAATGTTTAATATATCTGTGTTCTAAATCCTACAAAAGCAATAAACTAAACATTAATATGCTCTAAACTCCTCCACTCTGGCTCTCGGTAACATTTCACTGAACACTTAACTTCATCATACATAAGTATAATATTGGAATGGATTCTAGTTTCTCAGGACACTCAGTTGCTAAAATAAAAAAAAAAGTGATGATTAGTCGAATGAGCACGGCCGTACTCTAGCACTTCTGACAACAAAACACATATGCATTCTATTTGGTTTGACTTCACATCATAATTTGCCTATCAAATTTCTGAAATTAGAAAAAAAAAGTTAATCAAAGGGTCAAATAAATAAAGAATGGTCCACTGCGCAGATTCGAAACTGGAGTACAATCCAGATTATTTGAATGTGAGTTATTCACCATTAAAGCTTTATCTGTGTTATTCCAGTGAAATTTATACAGTAATTTGTTTCCACCTATGGCCTCGTAAAATATTTCCTCCGTTTTCTCCTCCTTCCTTTCCTAGTTTTCCTTGTAAAATATTCTTGTATCAAGCCCTCTCCTATATTCTGTTTTGGTTCCCATGTCGGTTTGGAACCATCTTTCCATTTTACAAGAAAATATTGTATACCTCTTGTATTCCTGTTATTTAGTAGTTTCTCAACCTCATGAAACGTATCATCAATAACATTGTTCGGTTCATCTCCATTATCACTGTTAGTTTCTGAATCTGAACTCTCATTTTCTGCAACTTGATCATTATCTGCAGGTGGATTATTTTGCTCATCAGGTGCATTATTTGGAACTGGGCGTTCTGGAGCTTGTGACGGATCACGGAAGTCAGTGGGATCTACATATTGCCTAAGATTGCTCGCATTGACCACAGCTTTAAGTTCCTTTTGGTCACTACAGCGTCTTAATTTATATGTAAAATTCGGCCCACAGTCAGTTATGTAATAAGGACCATTAAATTTATCAACTAATTTTGGTGAACGACCGACAGGAACTACATGTTCTTTAAGTAAAACTTTATCTCTAAGCCTAAATTCAGGAATTTTGGTATTTTTGTCGTATCGTTCTTTCATTTTTGCTTGTTTAAGATTAATATTTTCAGCAGCCAAATCTTGGGTAATTTTGAGGTTTGAAATTATTTCTTCTAAATGGTGTTTTGCATCTTTTGACAGATTGTCTTTTGGCAAAACAGATGCATTAAAAGGTAAGGTCATCTCCTTGCCGAACACCATTGAGAAGGGAGAATACTCTGTTGATTGAGTTGATGGAGAATTTCTAAAAGCCATTAAAATACCAGGGAGTTTATTTGGCCAATTGTTCTGGTCCTTATCACTATAAACTCTGACTGCCTGTATCAGTGTGCTATTGGTCCTTTCCACTAATCCATTTGTCTGTGGATGGTATGAACTTGTATGATGCCTTGTAATATTCAACATTTCACACAAAGCATTCACCAAATTCGATACAAAATTTCGACCAAGATCTGTTACTAGACACTTCATTGCACCGTAACGACTAATAATCTCACGAAATAAAACCTTTGCAACCTCAGAAGCTTCTTGAGTTTTCATAGGAAAGGCCTCACTCCATTTTGAAAAAAAATCTACTAGTAACAACACATAAGAATAACTAAGTTTCAGAAAATCCATATCCTATCTTTCAAAGGTTGTGTCAACTGGCAGAGGATTAAGAGGTGGTTTCTTACCCTTTGTATCTCTTTTAAATCTCTGACAGCGATCACATGATCGAATGTAGTTTTCAATACTTTGGTGCATTTTAGGCCAAAAGTACTTAAGACTCAAAGCATGATAAACACGTTCAATCCCAAGATGTGCACCACCTACAAAACTGTCATGGTAACTTAAAAGAGCATCCTCTCTTAGAGCTTGAGGGAGACATAATTGTTTGATCCACTTTTCACCATTGTCAACTCTGACTCTCTTCTGAAACCACTTATACAGAACATTATTACAGATGGAGTAATCTTGAGCAGATTTTTGAACTTTTGAACTCTGATCATTGTCTGCAGGAAGAATACCCTGAGTAAGAAATCTGTACATATTTCCAAAATCATGACAATTTTGTTGCAACTTTGCAATAGCAGGCAGGTTTGACAATTCTGGTCTGGCAATAATGGGATCTAATGGAGCAACCATAGTGTAATCATCATAAAAAAATTCCACTTGGATACTCTCAGAAGTCTTATCATTGCCACTAGCTTCTGTTCTAGTATTCACTTCAGATACCTTTACAGCTGCGACTTCATTTTCATCGTCAGGCTGTTAGGATATGAGCGTCTACTGAGAGCATCAGCTACTTGATTGTTACAACCTTTCCTATACTTAATCTCAAAGTTGTAATGCTGCAAATCCATTGCCCATCTTGTAAGTTTACCTGTATTTGCCTTCTGATTCATTAGATATGTCAATGCTTTGTGATCAGTATATATAGTGAATTTGCCAGTAGCGAGATAAGTGTTAAATGTTTTTACACCTTGAACTACTGCATAACACTCTTTTTCAGTTGTATTCCAAACCTGTTCAGTTTTAGATAAACTTTTACCACCAAAAGCAATGACACGTTCTTTTCTCTGACTGTCTAATTGACCTAGACCAAAACCAATAGCTGAGTTTGAAGCATCACAAGTCAGCATAAAGGGTTTATTCATGTCAGGGTAAGCCAGGACAGGAGGTGTTAATAAAGCCTGTTTTAAATTGTCAAAAGCTACCTGACATTCCCTATTCCATTTAAAACTTCTTTCTCTTTCCTTCTTTAACAACCCATTTAAAGGAGTGGCAATTTTTGAATATGAATCAACAAAGCGTCGGTAATAATTGCACATTCCCAAAAATGACCGAACCTGTTTTTGTCTTGTAGGGACAGGAAAAGTACTAATAGCTTTTGTCTTTTCAGGATCAACCTTAATACCTTCTTTTGAAATGATGTGACCTAAGTATTTCACCTCTTTTGCTGCTACACACATTTGCTTGGTTTCAATGTGAGATTTGCATCACGAAGACGAGTGAAAACTTGTTCTAGATGCGAAAGATGCTCTTCAAAACTCCTACTAAATACCAAAATATCATCCACATAAACTAAAACAAATTGCCAATTAAGACCACGTAAAACATTTGACATGAGCTGTTGAAAACTAATAGGAGCATTTTTAAGACCAAAAGGCATTCTGAGAAATTCATAGACACCATTGCGAGTAATAAAAGCTGATTATGTCTGGTTTCCTCGTCCATCTCGACTTGCCAAAAACCACTGTGAAGGTCGAGACAACTTAGAATTTGAGGCTGCACTTCACCAATTGTGTCAAATACGTTTTTGAGATGACGAATTGGAAATGATGAATTTTTTGTCTGGAGATTCAATTTTCTTAAGTCCACACAAAATGTGTACTGCTGAGGCTGACCCGGTGCAGTTTTCTTTTTCACTAATATAACAGGTGAATGATACTCACTGGTTGATTCTTTGATGATGTTGTTTTTCTTCATTTCTACCAAATGTCTTTCAGTTTCTTTATGCATATGAGGAGACTGATTATAGAATCCCATTTTGACTGGTCTGGCATCCCTAAAAGTTTCAATTCTGTGCTTGTACCCATTAGTAAAACCTAATTCTGATAAATTAGTTGCAAAAATATCTCTATAGGAATCAAGAAATGTCTACATTTTCTGTCTCTGTTCAGAACTTAAATCAGAAGTGCTGAAATCAAAATTTATAGGCTCCTTGACTTCCTTAGTTTGCTGTAAACTAGCTACAGATGGCATGTTATTATCTAAATCATTAATAAAATTTGAATCAATGTCTGAAACAGAAGCTAGCACTTTTGTTGCGGGAATGTGTATTTCTTGATTTGTAGGATTCATCAATCTTATGACCGCTCTTTTCTTAATAATTTTGACCAAACATTTAGCACTCGTAAGATTGGAATCCACTAAATTACTTACTGGTTCTAAAAGAACTATTTCTCCTGAATTTCTCTTTGAAATTTTGACACCAACATTCATTTCACAAAATGGAGAAATAGTGACAGGGTAATACGTTCTAGCAAGGCCAGTACTAATAGTCTGTATCATACATACTTTAGGAATATCTGCATTTTCTTTATCTGGTACCTGTAAAACACTTTTAGAAAAATCAATATTAATCTTGTTTGCATGTAAAAAATCCCAACCAACTATAAAAGAATGATGTAGCCCATCTATAACATAAACATGATAACTAAAAACAGCACCTTTAAATGAAATTGGTAGATTAACTTTTCCTAGCACTTGTAACCTATGTACACTTACACCTTTAATTGATGAAATATCTGATTGCGAAAGTTTATCAGAAAGGGCCAACTTGCTATAAAAATTCGTAAGGGTTCCGCGGAACCCAGTGTCTCGCCTTCTTTTTGCTGTTAATCACAGGCTCAGCAAAAATGAGGAAAAACATTAATAAAAATATTCCTCTCTTTACTATCTTTTGATTGTAAGTAGCTTCTGTCCAAGTTTGGTAAAAATCCAGGATAGTTTATGAATCTAATAAATGTTTTAAAAACTTAAACGGCAGACTGTATGTAATGTTAACTGGAAGAAAAACTAAGTCCATTTATAAGTAAAATACGGAAAAAATGGAACAAAATTTCCTTCTAGATACTAGCTTTTAATCATAAACAAGCTTCTGTCTAAGTTTGGTACAAATCCAGGATAGTTTAAGAAAGTTGTTAAAATTTTAAAAACTGTAACCACAGAGTGAATGAAATGTTAACTGGCAGAAAAACTAAGTCCATTTATAAGTAAAATACGGAAAAAATGGAATTTTTTTTTTACAAAATTTACTTCTGGATACTAGCTTTTAATCATAAACAAGCTTCTGTCCAAGTTTGGTACAAATCCAGGATAGTTTAAGAAAGTTGTTAAAATTTTAAAAACTTTAACCACAGAGTGAATGTAATGTTAACTGGCAGAAAAACTAAGTCCATTTATAAGTAAAATACGGAAAAAATGGATTTTTTTTTTTACAAAATTTACTTCTGGATACTATCTTATGATCATAAACAAGCTTCTTTCCAAGTTTGGTAGAAATCCAGGATAGTTTAAGAAAGTTATTAAAATTTCAAAAACTTTAACCACAGAGTGAATGTAATGTTTCCTGGCAGAAAAACTAAGTCCATTTATAAGTAAAATACGGAAAAAATGGAATTTTTTTTTTACAAAATTTACTTTTGAATATTATCTTATGATCATAAACAAGCTTCTGTCCAAGTTTGGTAGAAATCCAGGATAGTTTAAGAAAGTTATTAAAATTTCAAAAACTTTAACCACAGAGTGAATATTTGTGGACGCCGCCGACGACAACGCCGACGGAATGTAGGATCGCTATGTCTCGCTTTTTCGACAACAGTCGAAGGCTCGACAAAAATCAAAGCTACAGCAAGTAATTTCTGCACCAGTATCAATCAATGCATATGTTTTTCTGCCATTGATATCAATAATTGAAGTATTTTTCTGCATAGGCAATACCAAATTTACCTCTGCAAAAGAATTTCTACTTCTGTGCCTATCCTTTGACAAATGTCTAGGGACAGGCGCGAATCGCTAGCAGTGAGAAGGGGGGTTTTGACCAGATTTTTGAGAACTTCTGCATTTACGACCATAATGCCCTATGTTATGACAATTATAACATTCTTTATTTCTTGCTGGGCAATTAGAACCACAAAACATACCACAATTTTGACATGATTTATCATCTTGTTGTTGTTGTTGCTGCTGGTGATATGGATTTTGTACTGCTGCTGGCATTGGTTGGTTGTACTGTTGTCCATTATACACTGGCTGTTGTGGAATGTATTGTTGTTGGGGTAAAAAAGCATGTTGTTGTTGGTTACCAGTTCCTTGTCTGTAGTTCTGTCTTGGTTTGTTGTACCTGTTTTTGTTCTGTTGAGGCTGGTTTGGTCTTGCCATGTTAATCAATGTATGCAATCTTCTTATCTCCTCCAATGGTTCCTGCATCTTGGCTTCCAGTATTGCTGCTATTGTATCAGCAGTGATGGACGATGCTGGAACAAGTTGTTCAGATTTTTCTGCATTTTCTGCGATTGCCCTTAATTGTTCCAATGTAGTTGGCTTTGGGAAAGTGTTATGCACTGTTTTCCCTATCTCCCCTCTGAAACCTTGTATGGCAATACCTATCTTAATGTTGTCAGGAATGTCCTGTCCTATAGTTTTTCCCTGTAATCTTGCCATAAACTCATCAACTCGTTCGTTTAAACCTTGTTTTAACTGAAGTATATTTACATCAAAAAGTCCTTGGGATTTTTCAAAACGTTTAAAAAATTCATCCTTTAATAGTTGTAATGAATTTTGAACAGTTTCTGAAAGTGTAGCAAACCATTGTTTTGGTATACCATCTGCCATAAAGAATGGAAAGGAATTGCATTGTTGTTGTTCGCACATTTTTTGAATGAGTGTCCAACGGATAAAATATCCCCACCATTGTGCTGCGGATGATTTTCCATCATAATTATTTAGGTTGATTCCTGATGGCATGTTAACACTTACTTCTCTAATTACTTGAACTACTGCAGGTGTTGATGGTGTTGATGCTGTTGATGCTGTTGATGCAGTTGATACTGTTGATGCTGCTGATGCAGTTGATACTGTTGATGTTGTTGTTGTGGTATCTGTTGATAGGACAGGTACTGTTGATGTTGTAGGGGCTGTTGAAGTTGAAGCTGTTGACGTTGAAGCTGTTGTCTCAGTTGCTTGTTGATGCACTCTTGCTTCTGGTCTTATTGTATCCTGACTGCGGAGAAGGTAGCTATTCAGTGGTGCTGGCATTTGTATGTTGCTGATTTTATTTTCTTTCTTGTTTTGGGACTAGCTTTGGATCTTTCAGTCACTCCACCAAATGTCGTACTGACTTTTCTGCTGCATCTGATGACTTTTAGCGCCTGGTGTAAAACAAGAGAAAGTTCTAGTAAATATAGATGTTTATTATTGGAAATCAGTAAAAAAAGTGCTACAGATTTTACACAATAAAATAGCAAGTCTCACTTGATAATAAATTTAGAATTTCACAACTGAACTAAATTAAGGGACATAACTCTATACAAATTTTAATCAATTAAATAAAACTTGCCCAAACTCTATTTTATCAAGTGAAACAGCTTTACAAAACTTTACGTACAGGTTAATGCATAATTAAACCTAAATGGATACTTAATTTCAAAAGTTTTGCATAATTATTTGTTGCTATGGACAGTCAGGGATATAACTCTATAGGGTTATTACAGAAAAATAACATACATTTGTTATTGTGGATTAAAAAATCAAAGAACTGTGATAACTTATGTATGTTATATGTTTCAAAGGGACAATATACATCATTAGTTTAGTTAAAATGTTTAAAAGTTCTATTGATATTACTTTTGTCTATATGTATACTTAACTATTGAAAGATATAACAGTTCATAGTTTGCCAATTTTGCATAGTACACCTATATGTTATTACAGTAAAAATATGCCTGTAATAACTAAAGGGTGTTATCACAGCTTCTCTATATCACTTCAAAGCATTTGCTCAGACATACATCATGCTTAATTACAATGTATTTTAATTTATTGTAAGAAATAATGACCAGAGCATGTAATGAGGTTCTGCGCAAGTTTCTCAGTAATTCCCAAGTGTCTTATATAATAAGTTAAATTCCTTTAATAACTGAGCCTTGTTATCACAGCTAAGTTTATCCCTTAATAGCCTTGTCTCATTGATTTACCATGGTTAATCAAAAATGTATTAATTTAATTAAAAAATTAGTTATCAAGGCTATGCATTTAGTTTCTGCGCAAAGTCTCAAGAGATCCCTAGAGGCCACTATAAATGAAATAATTTTACAAATAACAAACATATGTTATTACAGATTTAGAAAATTTAAGGAATAAAGAGTAGACAACTCATGAAAGTATCTGTAATAACACACGCAAGTTATTTTCTGTAATAACCCTATAGAGTTATATCTCTGACTGATGGAAACAATAAACTTTTAAAATTAATAAAATCTTTGTCATACTATCTTAATATTTAATCACATAAAATCTAATACCAAATACAATTTATTTATGAATAAATTGGTATGTAAAATAACCTTGCATAATGCTTAAACAGTATTTACTCCTTTTGCAAAATATTAAAATAAAGAATATACCCATGTTCATGTTGCTAAGCAACAAACATGTACTTCTGTCACGAGTTCCGTGTATGTGTGTAATACAATAAATTAACAAAATTCAACTTAGATATAAGTTCTAAAGTCAATTCAAATGTTCAAACAATTTTGTAAACAAACTGAAATCCTGCGGAAAAGTGTCGCTTTCCAAAACCTAATTTATGAACTAAATATGCAATCTATATACAAAATATAAAAACACAGCTTACAGAATAATGAAGTAGAAAATAAGGTTTCATGTCTTTGTTATTTAGCTTTCGATAAAACTCTATAATCATTGCTTTTATCAACAAAAGACATTTCTCCCGGCAAATAAAAATTACAAATTATCTCCCCTGGACATTATAATATTTAAAGTCAATACGGATACAATATGAAATATTTCCGGACTTTCAATAAACTTTTGAAAATAACTATTATAAAATCAACTATATATTTCTAAACATAGGATAGATTTGTATTAAATAAATTCTTGAAACATTTATCAATTGTTTACATAAATAAAAAGCTTCGCGTCCTAAGCGTAACCAATACAAAATAATTAATCACAATGGAAACGAAATAAAATCTATACAAAATATATACAATTAATTTAAGTGAATATCATAAAATGAATTTTAACTTTAGTTTGCTTTACCCAAAAATATAAAGTAATTAAAACTCTTTAATTTAAATAAAACAAAAATACAAAACAACTTACCTGGTGTAAAACAAGAGAAAGTTCTAGTAAATATAGATGTTTATTATTGGAAATCAGTAATCAAAGTGACCGTTGAAAACCTAAATTGTTTCCATGCGGGCGTGGTCACATGATCACTGATTTCTTAACTTTCTCCTGTTTTCACCAATCAAAAAGTACCTCGTATCGCTCCCTTGACCACAACCTATTTTCACTGGTTGGTCAATAATCAAGTCATGGGTGACAGGTGTTATTAACAATTTCACACATGAGTAATAGGAAAAGGTTGTTTAACAAAAAGCCTTAATCAGAGACATATATACACATTTACATGTAAGGTACATAATCCAAAGCAGAGACATATATACACATATGTGTATATATGTCTCTGTCCAAAGTAAATAATTTAGCACTTACATGTCTCTTTGTTATCCGGCTTAATTACGTAATCTAAATATTCAAGTTGTATGTCATTCTTCTTTATCAAAAATTAACATTCCAAAAATAATGTAACTTACATAAGGAGAATTTTTTTGAAATAAAATAAAAATTTAAACTTCAAAATACTTTAACTCAAATTGTAAAAATTGAATAATTTTCACTTTAGTTTGGTCTGTTCATTCGAAGGACATTTTTTGTATAATGACTATTTTTCTTTGTCTTTTTGATTTCATGTCAAAGATTTAAAAAGTGTACAGTTTACATATTAAAAATATTAGTTTACGGGACAACTCTGTCATCGAATTCGGTCTTCATTCTTGTCCCTCTGCGCAAAACCTTGCAGGGGTGTTTATGATTGGTTTTGGGGACTTCAGGGGGTCATAGGAATACCGGGTGTCCGTTCGTTCGTCACATATCTCGATGATATTTAAAGTACCACTTGAAGAAATCTGTTGAAATTGTAACACATTGTATTATTGCATTGTATTGGACCATTAGTCCAGGCCTATGTCCATTTCGACATTAATGGTGTTTGTCATTTACTGTTCATGAATTACGCTCTTTATCTTTAAAAGAGAGGCGAAAGATACCGAGGGACATTCGAACACATAAGTCGAAAACAATCCGACAATGCAATGGCTAAAAAAAGACCAACCGACAAACAATACTACACAATACACAATATGGAAAACTAAAGACTGAGGAACACGAACTTTAAATTGGGGTTTTCTTTGATAATGTTATTACCATTTTACCAAATATTTTGAAACTTAAACACAATGGTATGTATCATAAAATACGGGCCAAGTTTAATTTTGATGGTTTGGCATTTGCCTTCAAGAATTAGGCACTTAGTTACTTCCAAAATTGGTATTTGTTTGGTTTCCAGATGATAATTAAAGTACCACTTGACCAAAGCTTTAGAAATTTCAACAATTAGATTTGGAATATAGAATACAGGTCAAGTATTGTATTGATGATTTTGACAAGTATAGTTCAAGAGTTATGCCCCTAAGTAGCCATAAATTTATATTAAAAAAATGGATTAAAGCTAAAATACTACTTCTTATATATGGACACATTAACCTGTATCATAAACTAAATGTCAAGTTCGATTTTGAAATTTACAGATCAAGAGTTATTTCCCTTACCTTAAACAATTAAACAATTGATTTGCTTTTTTAATGAGTTATTCCCCTTAGTTAACTTAACCTTTTGATATTTTTGTTTTCAATTAAAAATGATAGTACCATTTGATGAAATATTGTTAGACTTTAACATATTGTTATGAAACATAAAATACAGGGCACATTGAATTTGCATGTTGGTTTTGGCATCAACCGTTAAAGCACACCTAATTCTAGTTTATATTGTTTTTTGCTGATTTTGACATTACGTTCCGTGTTGATCATGACTTCTTTAGAACTGAACGAAGTAGTAGATTTAAATAGTTAAAAGAATTGCATGGTTGCCTTTTCGTATGTTAAATTTCGTTGTAAGAAGTGGGAATCATTAACAACGCAACGGTGTAACAAGGTGTAATACTACCAAAAAATGGTAGTCACAGCCTGTTCCATACGAAAAGGGTCGAAAACAAATTTTCCTTGAATTTGACAGTTGCTGGAAATTAACCCTGCATTTCATTGCAGGTCAACATTTCTAAGTCATAAACATATACCTTGGGGGATTAGAAGCACTTTTGTTTAGCTCACCTGGCCCAAAGGGCCAAGTGAGCTTTTCTCATCACTTGGCGTCGTCGTCGTCCGTCCTCGTTAGCTTTTTACATAAATCTTCTCCTCTGAAACCACTGGGCCAAATTTAACCAAACTTAAAAAATGTGTCCGATGACCCCGCCAACTAACCAAGATGGCCGCCATGGCTAAAAATATGACATAGGGGTAAAATGTAGATTTTGGCTTATATCTCTGAAACCAAAGCATTTAGAGTAAATCTGACAAGGTAAAACTGATTATCAGGTCAAGATCAATCTGCCCTGAAATTTTCAGACAAATCTGACAACCTGTTGTTCGGTTGCTGCCCCTGAATTGGTAATTTAAAGAAAATTTTGCAGTTTTTGGTTATTATCTTGAATATTATTATAGATAGAGATAAACTGTAAACAGCAATAATGTTCAGCAAAGTATGATCTACAAATAAGTTGTCATGAGCAAAATTGTCAGTCGACCCCTTTAGGAGTTATTGCCCTTAAAAGTCAATTTTTAACAATTTTTCGTAAATTTTTGTAATCTTTTACAAAAATCTTCTTTTCTGAAACTACTGAGACAAATTTAACCATACTTGGCCATAATCATTATTAGGGTATCTAGTTTAAAAAATTTGTCCGATGACCCCGCCTTCCAACCATCATGGCCAACTTGGTTAAAAATAGAACATAGGGGTAAAATGCAGTTTTTGGTTTATATCTCTGAAACTAAAGCATTTAGAGCAAATCTGACAGGTAGCAAAAATGTTCATCAGATTTAAATTTATCTGCCCTGAAATTTTTAGACGAAACCGACAACCCGTTGCTGCAGTTTTTTGTTATTATCTTAGATATCATTATAATATCTAATATCTAATACTATTAATTATGATTTTAACCTTATTTTACCAATTTCCCAATCATCAGTAAATACAGGTGAGCGACACAGGCTCTTGAGAGCCTCTAGTTTTTTTATTTGGAGTTTCTATAAAATATTTTGGAAACTTGAAGTGATATGGTTACTAAAGCTTGTACACAGGACAAAAAGGGGTTAAAATTTAATTGGTTAACTTCCAGTGATGTTAACTATCTTATATGCAATGAAATTCCATGTGAAATTTTCACTGTTTTACTGGACAGGATAAAACTATACGCATGCTAAGTCTTTCTTTATTCGAAACAAAGATAAATTCAGCAAAATGTTATGAAAAATAACAAATTAGCAAAAACTAATAGATAAAACAATGGTGGATTAAAATGTGAAAAATCAATCAACTCTAAGACAACCAAAAGAGAACTGACTTGTAGCATTTTCTGCGCTGAAAACAGAACTAACATATTTTCTTATCAAATATAAAATATATATATTTCCCCCTTTGATTCTTCTTTGTGAAACAAGTACGAGTAGTTTTCATGTTTTTTTTAATAAATATATATAAAGCTCAAATGGTAACACTCCACAAAAAGACATGCATCCTTACTTGGCCTATTATTTTGAATACGAACCGACCCACCCATAACTTTTACTGCTTAATTAATGTCGCATGTTAGGTTGAGAAGCAGTAAATGTTAAATTAGGTTTGTCTTAACCGATGATCGAATCCACGCCCTACATCACTTTAGGCTAGCACGATACCAAGACAACCCATATGCAGTATATGTTATGTACGCTTAAAAGTAATGATCATGTTTAAACGACATATTCTGCATTTCACTTGAGTCAATGTTCACATTACTTCACTGCATTTCAGGTCGGATGAACAATCTAACAGTGAGTGTGGTATTGGCCAACGAACTAATCAAATGCAAATGACTGTACCGTATCCTATTGGAAATATGGAGCAGAGCAGGTTTCAGCAGGTATTTTGTAATTAATGATAAAAACATCGTCTGTAATAAAACAAAATAATAGATCTACCTTCAGTTGATATATTAAAACTTTATAAATAAAAAGACGTGAGGTTAAATTCACTGTGACAGTAGTTGTAATACATTTTGTAATATCAACATTCGATTAAAACACAGCTATATTAAAATCAATACAAGATAATAACCCGAGTGCTCATAGTTTTCAAAAACAAACACTTCATCAGCTGATTTGGCTGCTCTCTTACGTTCTTTGAATTTTGCCGAAAGTTGGAAAACACCAAATTTGAAAGCTAGATGTACAAAGATGGTCGTTTGAATTGTTTTCATACGAATGACGAATATGATCAATATAAATAATGAATATTGCTTTATATTTATACGACCGCAGAATTTTTGCGTCCGTATTATGTCATGCCGATGTCTGCGTCGTCGTCCGAAGGCAGTTTGGTCCGCAGACAATTAATTACTTGGTCCACAAACATTTACTTGAGTATAAGTGGCTCGGGATGGATTTTTGGTTGTTATTGTTGATGCTGGTAAGTAATTAGGGGCCAAAAAAGGGACAAAAGCAAGCATGTCTCTGGTTAGCATACAATCACTAGCATATGTGTATGGATCTCTATGAAATTTTAGCACAAGAATGCATACAACAATTGGAAGGTTGGGATTGACTTTGGGGGTTTATTGTCGTAGCTGGTTAGTATTTGGGTCCAAAAGCAAGCATTTTTCTTATTTCTGAACAATAACTTGTGAATAAGAGTATGGATCTCGATGAAATTTTACCGCAAGGTTTCATACTTTAAAAGGAAGGTTGTGATTGATTT